TTTTAAAAAAATATACAAAATGTATTTGAAGTTCAGGTTGCAATCTGTCCACACGTCAGTAAAGATTTATTTTCCTGAGAGCCATGAGGTGGAAATGGCAGAGTAATTACAAGTGTGTGTGTGACTATGTGTGTGTGACTGTGTGTGTGTGACTGTGTGTTTGTGTGTATGTATGATTATTCGTGTGTATATTTCTGTAAGTGTGTCATTCTGAGTTTCTCATTAATAATGATAATAATACTTGCGTTTGACAAACCGCCTTAGCACGTCATTGAGATGTCTTGATTCTTGGGATACACTGTAGTGTGGACCGACTGTATATTTTGTGGATGAAACACGGCAGCCAGGTGCACACAGCAGTGTCCCACAAACAGCCATGGAGATGAGTGACCAATTTTATTTGGTGGATTCTTGGCCACAGGCCACAGGCAGACGGGACCTCGGTTTAATTGCAAGTGAGAGACCTGGGTTCAATTCCAGGCAGAGGGCGAAACCTTGGGCAAGTTTCCTTACTCCACACAGAGCCTAATAATAATCCCTCCAAAACAAAACAATAATAAATTGGTCATTTTCAATCCACGACTGTTTGTGGGACATTGCTGTGCGCAATTGGCTGCCGCGTTTCACCCACAAATATACAGTCAATTCACTTTACAGTCTATTCTGTGAAGTGCTTTGAGATGTCTTGAAGACGTGAGAAGCGCTGTATCAAATGCAAGGATTATTATTATTAATATCTCCTCCGAAGGACGGCACCGCCCAACATTGCAGCTCCCCCCCCAGCTAATGGTGTGTTATCAGATAGTCTTGACATCTTTACAATGACAGTAACTCAGCTACATTTATCATTCAGTCAAGTAATTACATGGCCCCTAATTGCTAGTAGACACCCAGTAAATGATTCAAATCAAGCAATCTGAATAAAGCCTGAAACCACACAAGCAAAACTCCCGGTTCACAGCTGTCACCTGGACACGAAGATTAGATTAGACTCTTAAGATCACTTCTTTGTACCAGATTTTATTTATTTTTCTGTGATTTATTATTATTAGCATATTAAAAATTGTGACAAGAAAACTAGACACCTGCTAATGTATAATGATTAATCGGACAGGTTATAATGACAACAATAGCCAACTATCTGATGAGCAAAAATATGGATCCCTTAACTTAACGTATAACAGACCTGCAGCCATCACAGATATCCCGATCTAATAAACCTAATCTAGTGATACATTTACCTTCTGGCAGAAGGATTTGATATGAAACACTTTACCTAGTGAGTTTGATATGACAAGCCTTAGTGCTAGTCTGACATAAACTCCAGAAAATTCTCAAAACCCAGAGCCTTGGAATCTGGATTTTCTGGTACTGTTATAGCACTGATATAATTGTTAACGTCCACACAGCACAGTGTGACTTTATCTCAGAACGTGCATCACCTGTAAGCGTCAGCTGTGAACAAATTTGTGCCTGAAAATCCTGTTTGTGGGAGAAAATATATTTTACCCACTTCAGGGACGGGAGCTGTCCCCCGTGTCCTAGCCAGCAAACTGCACATTAAATTGATCATTCACTTCATGGCTGTTTGTGGTATATTGCTGTGTGCAAATTGATTGCTGCTTTCACCTACAAATCCAGTCACTACACTTTTACAGACATTTTGTGAAGCATTTTGAGATGTTCTTAACATTATAGGGGCTATATCAAATGCAAGGATTATTATTGACTTGAGTGGGCTATTATGCCAAATAGATATTAAACAGAACCAGTTGCTTACAGGTAAATAATAATAATAATAATAATAATCCTTGCATTTGATATAGCGCTTTTCACGTCGGGAGGACGTCCCAAAGCGCTTCACAGAACACACTGTAAAGTGAATTGACTGTATATTTGTGGGCGAACGCGGCAGCCAATTGCGCACAGCAATATCCCACAAACAGTCGTGGATTGAAAATGACCAATTTGTTATTGTTTTTGGTTTTGGAGGATTATTATTAGGCTCTGTGTGGAGTAAGGAAACTTGCCCAAGGTTTCGCCCTCTGCCTGGAATTGAACTCAGGTCTCTCACTTGCAAAGCGAGTGCTCTAACCACTGAGCTACAGGACTCCTGTACAGAGGACACAACAGAGTATTGCTGTATACAGTACATAGCAGAGTATAATAATACTTGCATAGCGCTTTATCACGTCTTCGAGACGTCTCAAAGCGCTTCACAGAATATTCTGCAAAGTGAATTGATTGTATATTTTGTGGGCGAACTTTGGGAGTCAATTGCACACAGCAGCGTCCTCGCAAACAGACGGGGATCGAGTGACTAAATTATTATTATTTTTCAAGGGGAATATTACCCCGGTAAAGTGATCCGCCAATCGACTAACAAGCGGTTTCCTACTTACTGCTAGGTAAACAGGCGTGTGGAGTAAGGAATCTTGCCCAACATTTTGCCCTGCCCGGGGAATCAAACCCAGATCCTCTCACTCGCAAAGCGAATGCTCTAACCACTGAGCTACAGGACACATTTTTGGTTCACTGCTCACTTCAACAAATAAAACTGCTTCAGACATCAGATTTATATCCAAGAATATGAAACAAAATTTGTTGTTCTATGAACTGTTAAATCAGTAGTTGTTAATTAAACAGAGTTTAGTAATGGCACCAGAAACAAGACCTTATTAAAATTAATATTTATCTCAAACTGTTTCTTTTATTAGTATTGAATTCATAGAATTAAAAAATATGAATTGTAATTTATGGGCCATAAGTATTGGGTTACAGAGCTGAAGGTGGCAGAATATTAATAGAATATAATCCTTGCATTTGATATAGCGCCTTATCACGCTTCACAGAGTATACTGTGAAGTGTAGTGACTGTGTATTTTGTGGGCAAAATGCAGCAGTCAATCGCTCTGAGCAGCGTCCCATGAACAGTCATGGATTGAGTGACCAAATTTAAAAATTTTTTTAAGGGATTATTACTTCCGGAAAAGCGATCAGATGAAAAGTTTGTCAATCTGAGAATATTTTCAACATTAATCATCTCTGACAAGATACATCCCCACGATTCCCACAGCATTAGTCTGACACACTGATAACGTTAGTCATCCATGTCTATGAAGGTCCCAATAATCCTCAAACTATGTTATAACCAGCGTGATAAGGCGCTATATCAGCCTGGTTCAGATGTTGATCCTCTCTGGTAGTGCCGCGTCCCCAATTGGGCAGCCAGATGCTATCTACCTAAACAGGTGTGAAGGTCTTCACCACAAGATCCGACCAGCATTTTACTCAACAACAATTCACATTTACACCGCGCTCCTCACGCAGGGTAACGTCCCAGAGCGATTGACAGAGGCGGAGCATGACACCGAGCTGGGAGGAGAGTGGAGGTGATATGGTCAAAGAGGAAGATCTTCAGACGTGACCTTAAGATGGGAAAGGAGGGGGCAAGATAGAAGGATAGGGGGTGAGAGTTCCAGAGGGTAATGGCTGAATGCACGGCAACCAATCGTGGAACAGAGGGGACGAGGGACAAGCAGGAGGCCAGAGCCACTGAGCAGAGGCAGTGGTTTGGTGGATAAGCAGGTCGGAGAGGTAAGGAGATGCCAGGGCATGAAAGGATTAGAAAATGAGTGAGAAGATCTTGAAATTGATCCATTTTACGATAGGGAGCCAGTGGAGCCGGGCGAGGGCTGGGGTGATGGGGGGACCGGGTTTAGTGTGTGTGAGAGGGAGCCAGTGGTGCCTGGCGAGGGCTGGGGTGATCCATTTTAATTGAGCAACAAACACTCACATAGGTCCCCAGCTTCCAATACACAAAGGGGAGCAAGGTACAAATAAACTTATTGATTCTATTCCCTGAAGTAGTAAAACACATTCTGCTATTTTTGTGAAAAATAATTTGCTTTTGGGGTAACATTTACTGCATGTGGATAGTGCCCCCGGGTGGTCAATTGAGCATCACACAATACAATTGTATGTCATCTGTATTGTATGAAATGCTGCAAAAATAAAAGAAAACTTCTGATAACAGGCTGCCTGTGCGCATGTCTGTGTGCGTGTGTCTGTGTGGGGCTGTCAATCAGTCTCAGTTTGGCTGCTTCTACATCCGGCCAATCCTCACTGCTAACATTCACTGCTAACACTCATGACCATGGCTCATACATGAGAAACAGCCAATTGGGAGTTGGGAGTGGGGGGGGAGCTTACCGGATGCAACCAACGCCTGGGACTTGCCCCCACCAAGAGAATCAATGGTTTAACGATTATTTGTCCTGTTACTCAAATATTACAACAATAACTTGCATTTATTTATATTATTTATAGGCGTAGGTTGAAGGTCTCAAGCCATTCACATGTTCTAAACACAGAGGTTTATTCAGGACAGCAAGAGGAACTCCTCTCTTTGAACAGCATCACAAGATCTTCAGTATGAATAGATGTATACAATCCTCGATCATACAGGAGATCCCCAATATAAGATGATAGTTTGAGTCCATAAAATCTCCATCAATGTATAAATGAACGTAATCTCCACAGGTTAGTGAGGCACAATGAGGCAGTAGATAGAACAACAAAAACTTCCAGGCAGGGCAGCGTCTCAGAGCTTAACAATGGCGGAGCCTGACTCCGAGCTAAGGGGGGGAGTGGGGAGGTGGTTGTAAGCATGGTCAAAGAGGAAGGTTTTCAGGCGGGACTTGAAAGAGGGGAGAGAGGGGGCAAGGCGGAGGGATTGAGGGAGAGCGTTTCAGAGTTTTGGGGCGTAGCTGAAAGCGCGACTTCAATGGTGGGGCGGAGTGTACAAGGGATGAGCAGGAGCCAGTGCCAGTCGAGCGGAGCTGCTGGGTGGTGGATTGGGGAGTGAGGAGTCTGGGGAGGGAGGGAGGTGACAGGGAGTGAAGGGATTTGAACACGAGAGTGAGGGTCTTGAAGTCAATGATCAGATGAAGAACAAGCATGAACAGCAATGATGAAGGTCTTAACCTATAAAGCAGATGGAGCATCTAGTGACAAATAAAGTCACGTTTATTGTAACAAGAAAAATCCTTGTACTGACGGGATGTCCATGAACAGAAGTGGAGAATGAAAGGGTTTGCGTGTGATTACTGAACATTCACTGATGGTTTCTGGCAAATTTAAAGATCTTATCAACAAAGTTAATCAATGTTCTATTTTGTAGTTTCATGAGCAATTTGATTATAAATGAAAATGAATCTCTAGTCTTGTACAGTCATATTTGTAATAGTTTGTTCAGTCTTGAAAACCTGGGTTTCAAATGGACATTGATGCGTTACAGATGGTTTGGAGAAGAACAAACCAATGCTCAAAGTTATGATGAGAGACTTTCAGAGCTGAAGTTGTTTTCAATAGAAGAATGAATATGATTGATGCAAGATACAATGCAGGTCTTTAACAATGATGAGCCATTGGAGCTGGTGTCGATATAAGGAGACTTTAAAGACTTTAACCTAAGACCATGAGAGCAGAAGGTAATGTTATTGATTTTATATTCAAGAGCTTCATGTGGTATGTGATATTATTTCCTGACAGAGTCCATCAGTCAATGCTGAGGCCTCCAGCCCTTCATATAAAAAGCTGTATAAGAAGCTGCTTGGAAGCTCTATTGGAGGAGAAGTAAATATGCCACAGCACATAGTAGTTTCTGTGCTATTGAGGGAGTAGATTATGTAAACTCAAACAGGTGTCTGTGGAGACACGGACGACAGGAGGTTGTAGAACTTTCTGCCCAAAATACAAAGTGGTTGATGCAGAAAGGAATGAGGTTGACGACGTTTCTTATTCGTTCCACACGTTCTTACGTTTCTTACATTAATAGCTAAATCCAAGGTGTCCCTGTGAAGGTATATAAAAAACATATTATATTCTTGTGGCGACAAGCTGACACTGACCAGTAATAACACAGAATGATGGAGGGGAATGAGATTTCTCCACTGATGGATGTGTGTGGAGCTTATTTGGCAGCAGAGTGGTTGTGTGAAGGACAATAACATGACATTACACTGACAAACAGGACAATCAATGCTACAGAAATCCAAGCTGAGCAAACTGGAAAACTGGCCGGAACAAAATGACCTGTTACTGAGGTCTATCCCCCCTATTACCTTCCTTGTGTTATTGTGGTCTCTGTGATCATCGGTGATCAGCAAAACCTGTTCCTACGTCTCACGGGAGGAATATACATGATCGTTTGCCACTTGGTCTTCAATTTGTATCACTTCAATATTTGTATATGAGCAGATTAGAATGTAGCTAAAAGTGGCGTTTGAAACAAAATAAACTAGGATATGAAGAAATTGAATTTTCCAACTAGATACAGTTTATAATAATAACAATATTAGATACAGCTTATAATAATATTATTGGATACAGCTTATAACAATAATATTATTAGATACAGCTTAATGCAGATTTTACACAATGATTTTGTCTCCTGTGGGTAACTGATCAGGTAACGTGTTGGGTTTCATTGGGGCTAAAGTTGGGAATAAAATCTCTGAGTTGGAACTTCTGCTGTGGGAGAGAAGCTTTAGCTGGTTATTTGCTTCTCTTTAATGTGTGTAGAGAAACTTGCTGAAATGTTTTGTCACGGTCCTCAGCTGGAGCATTGGGTTAGACTCAATGCTTTTCTGGAGGCCTCAATGTCCACTATTTACCCACTTTAACATGAGATTGGTTAAGAGGGGTATTATTGTCTAGGAGAGAACTGAGCTGGGCTGACCACAGAAGGACCCACCTAGGCTTTAATCTTACTGTAAATCCATTTACCTGGTTCTGATCCTCTAATATCTCAACATTCGTCTCCAGGTCTGTCACAGCAAGGGGTTCATTGGTTTCTTCCATGAGTGATATCTAAACAAGAGAATACAGACCATAGCAATGAGAAACACAGCTTAGTTTAGTGTTTAACAGTCCATATCAAATAAGATCATGTTAAAGATCAGTTAAAGATTTACCACAGTATAGTGCATTTGGCATGTTGCATATTTTGTTTATTAAAAAACTACATTTATGAATCAACAGTGACAATCGCAATATTTAATACAAGTTATACCTTCTCTAAAATGGGATCTTTGAGATCTTTAAACAGGTTCTGTGTATGGATGTATAGAACAGCATCGTGGATGGTGAGGTAGAACATGTCAATTTTAACATTATCATCAAAAAAGCCACATGTTTCCATTTTCTTCAAAATATGGTCTGAAAGATAGAAAAACGATTAAATCTCTTCAATAATTATGCGGTGTTGATTGTATGAGAACATTGTGCCCGCAAATTATAAGCAACAGTTTGAACAGTTCTAAGAAGCTTTCTCCCCCAAATCCATTTTTAACTTTATTTTTAAACGCAGTAACTAGATGATAGGATAGTAGCTCAGAGTCAACAACATATATAATAATAATCCTTGTATTTGATACAGTGCCTTATCACGTCTTTGAGGTGTCTCAAAGCGCTTCACAGGATACTACACTGTAAAGTGAATTGACTGCATATTTTATGGACGAAAAGTGTAAAAAAAAAGTAAATTGATTTGAGAAACCAAATACCTTCATATTCGGTGATGTACACCTTTATGCCAATACGTTCAAACTGCCTGATAACCTGAAACAAACGAAAATCAGCAAAAATCTGCTAACAGCAACACCATTCTGTATGTTATGTGTTGCTTCACAATGTTTTCATCAAGAAGAAAATGTGCAATGGCAGATTATACATATACAGTATAATAATAATCCTTGCATTTGATATAGCGCTTTTCACGTCTTCTAGACATCTCAAAGCGCTTCACAGAATATACAGTATGTGCAGTCAATGCACAATAATGCACATTTATGATCTAGTGAGATACAACAGAAAGAATTTTCATTTACTCCATTCTCCAGAATATTACTGTAAGTACTCCAGAAGTAATACATATGCTTTTGTATTGAGTAACCAAATAGTAGCTAAGACTAGATTGTTTCATTAAACAAAGCCAGAATAGGACAGTTAGAAAATGTTTTGGCTCAAATCCCAGGTGAGATTTATCAATGAGGTTCCATTTATATTTGATATACTATAAATTGTACATTGTATAAATACTGAGTTTTGTATGAGACACTCTAGGGATTATTTTCATTCTATTGAGAAAAGTATTGAATTTAATTTTATGCATTTTAATAGAAATGTCCTATAATATAAAGCAAGTTGTCAAGGTAAGTCATTTGGTTCTAAGGGGAAAAATAGCCCTCACAGTATGAATAGTTCAGTATGAAATGTTCAGGTTTCCCTCTCGCTACTTGTTGCTTGTGGTCGGTGGCTGTGAAACACTTAGAAACTCATGAGCCTTGCATTTAGTGACTAATGTCTGATGCAATCACAACTTCTCTTTCTTTCTCTCTTTCCCCCCACACCCCCCCCCCCCCCAAATTCTCTTACAGTTACAAACATTCCATGTCTGGGGAAAAAGTTCTCAATTCGTGGAATTTGCGTTCAAAACTGATTTCCTTGTATGTGCTGTTTTTTTTCCCACACACAAAAACATCCCAGTTTAGCCTATAGGTTCCGGAGAAAAAAGCTCTTCCCACACCACTTCAGGCTGTTTTTGTTCTATTTGACTTCCCTTCCAAGAATCCTGTAATAATTTTTTTTTGAAAAATAAATACGCACGACCTTATTATGAATGTCACAGTTCTTCTGCCTGTCACATAAGGATAAACTGAAGGTATGCTGCATGGGGAAGAGCAAGCGAGAGACCTGAGTTCAATTCCAGGCAGAGGGCAAAACCTTGGGCAAGTTTCCTTACTCCACACAGAGCCTAATAATAATCCCTCCAAAACCAAAACAATAATAAATTGGTCATTTTCAATCCACGACTGTTTGTGGGACATTGCTGTGCGCAATTGGCTGCCGCGTTCGCCCACAAATATGCAGTCAATTCACTTTACAGTGTGTTCTGTGAAGCGCTTTGGGACGTCCTCCCGACGTGAAAAGCGCTATATCAAATACAAGGATTATTATTATTATTACTATTATTATTATAGTAGCTATAAGGGTTTACATACCATTTTCACAATCCTGACTCCAACAATATCAATGAAGGACACCCTGCTGAAGTCCAGGATGAGGCTGTGGATGGTGATTTGGGGGACAGTTACTTTAACAGGAAGCTCAGAATTGCAGTCTACCTGAACCTCCAGCTCCTTTGTGGGGATATTGTCATCTTCAGTCTCTTCTGAAGATTCCTCATCGGGTTCGTAGGCTTCGTTTGCAGAACTGCCATCAGCTAGAACACCATTCTGCTCAGTAAAACAAATGTTTTCCTAAATTCACCAACTCAATGACTGACGTGATAGAATTTAACATAAAAATAATAATCCTTGTATTTGATATAGTGCTTTATCACGTCTTCAAGATGTCTCAAAGTGCTTCATAGAATATCTTGTAAAGTGTAGTGACTGTGTATTTTGTGCACATAGCAGTGTCGTAATATTACATGAACAAAAGCTTAGGCATCTTTGGCCTCCCAGCCATTTTCTGTTATTTTTTTTAAACTCCTCTTTTAGGAAATATAATTACTAAATATAATTTAATTAGTTTGTTGCCTCAATCTTTCTTCTGTATGACTCATACCGGCTGTTTGTGGGACACTCCTGTGTGCAAATTGGCTGCCGCATTCGCCTATAAAATACACAGTCACACCTTACTGGAATTCCTGTGAAGCACTTTGAGATGTCTTGACCACATGATAAGGCACAATATTAAATACAAGGATTGTTATGTATGTTTTATCAGTATGTGAATATTACAAACGATAGATATAGCACATAGTGTAATACTTACTGACACATCGTCACACTGAAGGAGTTGGCTTTACCTTGGTTGTTTTTAACTGTCCCTTCTTTATCAGCTTCTGTATCTTCTTCAGGGCTTTAGCTCGCTTGTTGAACACACGGACTGGATTAAATCCAACCTGAAACAGTTTGATTCGTACAAAAGTAGTGAAAAGAAACAAAAATGTACATGAAAGTGTTTGATACGGAATAATGCCACAACAACAACAACTTGGATTTACACAGCGCCCCTCATGCAAGGTCCCAGAGCACTGGACAGTGGCGGAGCATGACTTCAAGTGGGGGTGGTGGGTGACCGTAGGTCCGTTCGAAGAGAAAGTTCTTCAGGCGCGACCTGAAGATGGGGAAGGAGTTGGCAAATAGCAAAAGCGAGTTACTCACAATAGCAATCAGTTTGTTTCGAAAATAATCGACACTTCCAAAGTATACAGGAGAAGAGAACCTGAAGATCTTCACACCAGCGGGTTCCACAATCTGTAAATTACCCACAATTATTACATATTTGCATCACATCAAATGAAGCTTTAATTTTTTAAAAAAAGATTAAAATGTTCTTACATTTTTGTAAGTCTTTATATTCCTGTAAATGTTGGTGTTCGGTACATTCCCCAGAACTGCATAAACTGGGCTGCGGATTTAACATAGAAAATACACAGATGAAGAATTCAAGTACTTTGATATACTATTAATAAAATTCGAGTTTAGTATTTCAATACTTACAACTGTGTTCTGAGCACCACAGTGAGAAGCTCAAATATCACACCAACTAAAAGGCCAATGTCTAGGCCCAAAAACACAGACGCCACCCATGTCACCAGCCAGATAAGCTACGAAAAGAGCACGACAATCATCACAAGATTAGTCTGGATGAACCAGACTCTTCAGCCCAACCGAAAGTGTTAAACACACATTATTTAACACTAACTGGTAGTATAGCGGCTTTCACATTGGTAGGTGGTCCCAAGGCACTGGACAGTCAAGGATTTGCAACTAAATTGAGGGTGGAATCAGGAATTATTAACAACATAAGTGATGTATAATACCCGAGCTGGCCCTCCCTCAAAATGCCCCCTTCCCTGCAACTCTCCCGCTCTGTCCTGCTCTCTCTCCGCCCTCCCCGCCTCCTGTCTCTGCTTGACACCCCCACTGCCTTCCTCTGCTCCAGGCTGGGAATCGTCCCCCGGCCTCATCGCGGCACTCAGTGCTGGCTGTCCAGCAGCAGCCACACCGACTGCCCCATTCCCCACTACCACCGCAAGCCACCCCGGACCCAGACCCTGGGGGCTAACCTCCCTCATCTGCATCCCCACTCACATTCCAAACATTCCACTACCCCCTCCCATCACACACATCTCCCTGCCAACTGTCCACTCCGCATTGGCCTTCAAAATGTCCGCTTCATTTCCAGCAAGACCCTGGCCATCAATTAACTCATCCTCGATGAGAACATTGACATCATGGCACTAACAGAAACCTGGATCACCCCAGGTGACACCTTCCCCCTCACTGAGGCCACACCATCCGGCTACACCTACCACCATACCCCACACCCCAACCGTCGTGGCATATCCAGGGCTTCACTTGCCCTATTTCCCTACTCCACCGGTTCGTTCCCATCCTTCGAACACCTTACCCTCTGCCATCCCTCCCACTTCTCTCTGAAAATTCTCTTACACTACCGCCCCCCAAAATCCTCTCCCACCTTCATCTCTGTTATCTCCACTCTCTTTGCTTCCCTCTGCCTCTGCTCCAACCGCCTCATCATTCTAGGTGACTTCAACCTCCACTTCACCCCCTCCTGCTGCATCTCCTCAGCCTTCTCCTCTCTCCTCTCCTCTCTCAACCTCTCCTTCCACATCCACTCTGCTACCCACACCCACAGTCACCCGCTCGACCTGGTGATTACTCGGGGCCTCAGCGTCTCGGATGTCACCATCACTGACAAGGCCATCTCTGACCACCATTTCATCTCCGTCAACTCCCATATCTCTCTCCCCACTGCCTCCAAACCTACCACTATCTTCTACCGCCCGTGGAAGAAGATCTCCCCACAATCCCCCTCTGCTGCCCTGGAGCCCTCTGATCTCCTCCCCCTCTGGCCCACCTCTCGCAACAATCCACTCACTGTGCTCACTCTTTTCCACAGCACCCTCTCCACCACACTCGACGTCCTTGCCCCCCCTCACCTCCCAAATTGCCTTCTATTCCCGATCCTCACCCTGGTTCACCAGCCACCTCCGCTTGTTTAAGGGCCAGGTGCGGGCTGCCGAACCCACTTGACTCAAATCCGGCCTAATGGTCCACCGCTACATCTGGCTGGACCTCATCAAGACCTACCTCTCTGCTCTCGCCTTAGCCAAATCATCCTTCTATTCCAGGTTAATCCTGGAGGCAAACAGCAATCCCAGGCTCCTGTTCTCCACCACTAACCGGCTCCTCTGCCCTACCTGACATGCCTTGCAGATACTTTCGTCCGACTCTCACTGCGAGAAAATGTTGGACTTCCTCGAGTCCAAAAGCGAGGGAATCCGCTCAGCTGCCACTGCCCTCCCAATTTCCAACCCTTCCCTACCCCCACCCCACACAATTACCCATCACTCCTTCCACACCTTTGAACCTGTCACCCTCTCCTGTCTTCAACACGGTAACCTCCATGAAGTCCACCAACTGCTCCCTCGACCCCATCCCCACCCTTTCTCCTTAAATCCCAGCTTCACATCCTTGCCCCACTACTCGCCAACATCATTAACCTCTCCCTATCATCGGGCACTGTTCCTTCCCCCCTCAACACAGCCACTATCACCCCCCACCTTGAAAAAACCTTCCCTCGACCCATCACAGCTGTCCAGCTACCGACCCATCTCAAATCTCCCCTTCCTATCCAAGGTCCTTGAGAGAACCGTTGCCTCCCAGCTTCGCTCTTTCCTCTCCTCTCACTCCCTCCATGAACCCCTCCAATTGGGTTTCCGTGCTGCCCACAGCTCTGGTCAAGATCACAAACGACATCCTGACAATGTGTGACCAGGGGTCCCTCTGCCTCCTCGTCCTCCTCGACCTCTCCGCTTCCTTTGACACCGTGGACCACTCAATCCTCCTCCACCGCCTCTCCTCCCACCTCAACCTTCAAGGTTCTGTCCTTGACTGGTTCAGGTCTTACCTTTCACACCGCCTTCACTTCGTCGCGGCAAACAGCTTCTCCTCCAGCCCCCGCACCATCTCATGCGGTGTTCCTCAGGGCTCTCGGTCCCCTCCTCTTCACCCTCTACATGCTCCCCCTTGGTGACGTCATCCGCAGACATGGGGTAGATTTCCACATGTATGCGGGTGACATCCAATTTTACCTCTCTGCCTCCACCCTGAACTCCAGGACTACTGGGGTCCTGACCGACTGTCTGTCCGACATCAAGTCCTGGACGAGGGACAACTTTCTTCAACTGAACATCAGCAAGATCGAGGCCCTCCTGATTGGCTCACGCCAGCGCCTCCACACCTCAAGCACTGGTAACATCAGCCTCCACGGCTGCACACTCCACCTCACTGAGCCAGTCAGGAACCTGGGGGTCTGGTTTGACCCTGAACTGTCCTTTCTCCCCCACATCCGCACCATGACCGGCACTGCCTACCACCACCTCTGCAACATTGCCAGACTCCGTCACTGCCTCACCCCTCTGGCTGCCGAAACTCTCACCCATGCATCTGTCACCTCAAGGCTCGACTACGGGAACTCCCTCATCGGCCTTCCCTTCACAAGCTGCAGATCATCCCAAACTCTGCAGCTCGTGCACCAGGCTCCGTGACCCCATCACTCCCACCCTCGCCCGATTCCACTGGCTCCCCACCCCCAGAGGATCGAGTTCAAGATTCTCGTCCTCACCTTTAAGGCCATCCATGGCCTTGCCCCCTCCTATCTCTCTGACCTGCTAACTCCCTACCAACCTGCCCACTTCCTCCATTCATTGGGCTCTGGTCGGCTCCATGTCTCCCGTCTGACCCGCCCTACCATCGGTGGCCGGGCTTTCAGCCTCTCTGCCCCCACATTCTGGAACTCCATCCCACGATCCCTTCGCCTCGCTTCCTCCCTCGCCTCCTTCAAGGCCGGTCTCAAGACCCTTCTCTTCGACCGTGCCTTTGGTTTCCCTCCCACCTCTCTGCCTTCTCTCACCCCTTCCTCACCCCTTCCCCAACCCTCCCCCATGCTCGGGCCCCGAGACCTGACTGTTCAGCGCTTTGGGACGTTCTCCCGACGTGAAAGGCACTCTACAGATGAAATTTTGTTGTTGTTGTTGTAATACAACAACAACAAGATTCCATTTATAAAGCGCCTTTCACGTCAGGAGGATGTCCCAAGGCGCTGCACAGTTGGGTCATGACCCGAGCAGGGGGGAAATGGTCAGGGTGAGGGGAGGGAAGGGAGGGAGCGAGGAGGGGGGAAATGGTCAGGGTGAGGGAGGGAAGGGAGGGAGCGAGGAGGGGGGAAATGGTCAGGGTGAGGGAAGGGAGGGAGCAAGGAGGGGGAAATGGTCAGGGTGAGGGGAGGGAAGGGAGGGAGCGAGGAGGGGGAAGAGAGTCGAGAGGGGAGCTGAAGGCTCGGTCAAAGAGAAAGGTTTTGAGACCGGCCTTGAAGGAGGAAAGGGAGGAAGCGGCGAAGGCACTGGGGGATGGAGTTCCAGAGCCTGGGGGCTGAGAGGCTGAAGGCCCGACCACCGATGGTAGGGCGGTTGGGGCGGGGGACGTGGAGCAGACCAGAGCCAGAGGAACGGAGGGTACGGGCAGGTAGGTAGGGGGATAGTAGGTTGGAGAGGTAGGAGGGAGCAAGGCCGTGAATGGCCTTGTAGGTGATACATATTAATATTCAAGAATGACCAATAATAATTAGTAATAATCATTAATAATCAATAATAATTATAATAACATTGAGTTATTGCAGAAACTGTACTTATTGAATTACTCACACAATCAATCTTATTTTGTCTCCACAATACTGGAATGTCAAAGAGTTGCCAGAACATGCCTTTCAGGTTGGCTATGACAATCGCTGCCAGGACAGACTGTAAAGAGAAGAGGAAATATCTCACACCATCGCAGGAGAAGTTTCCATTAAGATGGCTCTTCAGCCCATTTGATCTCCTCCTCCCTGAATACCCACTGTCTTCCCATCAAAGGAACAAGCTGGGGTTTTTATAGTAGTCCAGAGTGCTGGCCTCAGCCACCCTTCCTGGTAACCTATTAATTACCCTCTGCATAGAGAAATACTTCCTGGTGTCTGCCCTGAAATTGCCTCTAATCCTAAACCTGACTAAGACATGGGCGCCATTCTTGTGGTGACAAGTGTACACAGTGCTCTATGTGTGGCCTGATTTGAGCGCTGTACAGTTTGAGAATAAGTTCTGTGGATCTGTATTGAAATAATGTGACAATAGGGTCAATGCGGGTTATTGCTGCCGCACATTGCTTTGACAAATCAAGTGTACAAACACACTTTACTGAAAAGGTGCATTTTATAGTAACTTTCGCTCAGGGATTCAGGCAGCGCTCTGAGCTCTGTCCTTGTTGTTGTTAGACTAAAACTAGATTGGGAATACACAACACTGAACATCAGTCAATGCAGATAAACTGCAGCTGCCAGCGTCAGGATTCATTTGCTCGGTCATTGGTTTATGCTCCCAGCTGTCAAAACCACCTTATTTCACACAGAATTCGCTGAATAAATAAAATATCACCTTCTGCAGAGATTCCAACAGCTTGCCTACTATCAGGATGGCAATCATCACAATTACCGCGGTTAAAATCCCAGCAATCTGCAATAAAGTGGTCAACATCGTTAGGTAAGGGAAACAAATAAAGGTACGATTAATAATAACAATCCTTGCAATTGACGTCTTCAAAACGTCTCAAAATGCTTTACAGAATATACTGTAAATAGTAATAATCCTTGCATTTGATATGTCTTGGCTGTGTGTGGCAATGTGTGTGTTTGTGTGTGGCAGTGTGTGTGGCAGGGAGCGTGGCTGTGTGTGGCAGTGTGTGTGAGTGTGTGGCAGTGTGTGGCAGTATGTGGCAGTGTGTGTGTGAGTGTGTGGCAGTGTGTGTGTAGCAGGGAGTGTAGCAGTGTGTGTGAGTGTGTGGCAGTATGTGGCAGTGTGTGTGTCAGTGTGTGTGAGTGTGTGGCAGTGTGTGGCAGTGTGTGTGTCAGTGTGTGTGAGTGTGTGGCAGTGTGTGTGAGTGTGTAGCAGTGTGTGTGTCAGTGTGTTTGAGTCTGTGGCAGTGTGTGTGAGTGTGTGGCAGTGTGTGTGAGTGTGTGGCAGTGTGTGTGAGTGTGTGGCAGTGTGTGTGTGAGTGTGTGGCAGTGTTATTTATTACCTGAGTCTTGCCCCCTGTGCTCTCCTGCACCGCTGTCCGGGACAAAGCTGTTCCCGCCACAAAGCACAAGAAACAGCCTCCAAATATATTGCAGACTCCCAGAGCCACAAACTCCTGGAAAATACACAGCTGTGATTTAGCCACAGAAACCTCCCCACCTCCTGCCCTCCCCCACTCCCCCTCTCCCCACTCCCCCTTCCCCAACCCCCCCTCCCCACACACCCCCTCCCCACCCTCTCTCCCCACACTCCCCCTCCTGCCCCCCGCATCCCCACTCCCCCCTCCCCACACACCTCCTCCCCACACTCTCTCCCCACACAACCCCTCCTGCCCCCCACCCCCATGCTGAGTGGTCAGTGTTATTATTTGCGTTATAACATCGAGAATATCATAAAGGTTCTCTGATTGTGAAGTGATCCTATTGAAATACTCTCCTACCTGGTTGCCATCGATGCTGTAGCCATGTTTGGTAGCAAACACTTTAGCCACAGAAACAGCCACAGCGTAACCCACAATCGCGATCGAAAAGGCTGAGCCGGCCGTCTGGGCAAACAGGCTGACATTGGGAGCTACCGGAGCCAGGAATCTGGGAAATCAATGAAACATGTGATGCCAGGACAGCCATAGGTAGATCTGCACAACACAAGGATATAAGTCGTGCACATAAAATCCAAGGTTGGGATTTATGTCTCATAGGAAATAATCTAATTTATAATAAATAATAATAATCCTTGCATTTGATATAGCGCCTTATCACGTCTTCTCGACGTCTCAAAGCACTTCACAGAATATGCTGTAAAGTGAATTGACTGTATATTTGTCAAGTTTAACGGACTTACCCTGTGGGAATCTGTTTAATAATTCCAGCATTATATTTTTTTTCAAAATTGACACCATAGGAGATCCCTGTGGCCACAATGGTCTGTAAGAGAGAAATGTGTTCAAAGATCGGGCACATGTGTGTTGCATTTTATTGCAAGATCACAGATTATGTCGATAAACAAGGCCCTTAGGCTCCTCTGATATCATCGTTACCAAATTCCTCCACCCCCCCAACATCCCCCCACACCCCCAACACACCCCCACGCCCCACCCCACCCCCACAACACCCCCAACCCCCAACACCCCCAACCCTCCCAACAACCCCCAACAACTCCACGCCCCCCAACAGCCCCACCCCCTCTAACACTCCCACCCCTCCCCAACACTCCGACACCCCCCAACACCCCCACCCCCCCCATGTCGAGTGTTTACCGGTCGAATGTTTACCTGTCGAGTGTTTAGTTGTAGAGTGTTTACCTGTTGAGTGCTAATTGGTTGAGTGTTTATCTGTCAAGTGTTAACCTGTCGAGTGTTTAATGGTCGAGTGTTTACCGGTCGAGTGTTTACCGGTTGAGTGTTTACCGGTTGAGTGTTTATCTATCAAGTGTTTCCCTGTCGAGTGTTTACTGGTCAAGTGTTTACCGGTCGAGTGTTTACCCATCGAGTGTTTAGTGGTCGAGTGTTTACCTGTCGAGTGTTTACTGGTCGAGTGTTTAGCTGTCGAGTGTTTACCGGTCGAGTGTTTACCGGTCGAGTGTTTAGCTGTCGAGTGTTTACTGGTCGAGTGTTTACCGGTCGAGTGTTTACCGGTCGAGTGTTTAGCTGTCGAGTGTTTAGCTGTCGAGTATTTACCTGTCGAGTGTTTACTGGTCGAGTGTTTACTGGTCGAGTGTTTAGCTGTCGAGTGTTTACCGGTCGAGTGTTTACCTGTCAAGTGTTTACCGGTCGAGTGTTTAGCTGTTGAGTATTTAGCTGTCGAGTGTTTACCGGTCGAGTGTTTACCGGTCGAGTGTTAACTGTCGAGTGTTTACCTGTCGAGTGTTTAGCTGTCGAGTGTTTACCTGTCGAGTGTTTCGCTGTCGAGTGTTTAGCTGTCGAGTGTTTACTGGTCGAGTGTTTAGCTGTCGAGTGTTTAGCTGTCGAGTGTTTACCGGTCGAGTGTTTAGCTGTCGAGTGTTTACCTGTCAAGTGTTTACCTGTCGAGTGTTTACCTATCGAGTGTTTACCTGTCGAGTGTTTCGCTGTCGAGTGTTTAGCTGTCGAGTGTTTAGCTGTCGAGTGTTTACTGGTCGAGTGTTTACTGGTCGAGTGTTTACCTGTCGAGTGTTTACCTGTCGAGTGTTTACCGTCGAGTGTTTAGCTGTTGAGTATTTAGCTGTCGAGTGTTTACCGGTCGAGTGTTTACCGGTTGAGTGTTTATCTATCAAGTGTTTCCCGGTCGAGTGTTTACCTGTCGAGTGTTTCCTGGTCGAGCGTTTACCTGTCGAGTGTTTCCCGGTCGAGTGTTTACCTGTTGAGTGTTTACCTGTTGAGTGTTTACCTGTCGAGTGTTTACCTACCACAATGACTTCGATGGGAATCGGGACTTTAATCTTATCTTTGAAACGAGTGTTGATTTCTTTCACGGTGATGCAAACAACAAAAGTAAGCAAGCCAGCGATCAGGTCTGCAATGTTGGTTTTCCGAATGTTGGTAAATATGTCAATGACAGTCTGTAAGATAAAGAGAAACATAAGGAGATGTTCTAACAGATTCCCTCACTGCTCTGGTCTCCCCTTGGTCAGGTCTCAGATATCCTGTTCACCATGGGTCAAGTGATCCCAATATCACACAAACAGTTGTGAACCTGACAACTACATGTTCTGTGATGGAACCAAGTGCACAATCAAGTGGCGAACCATTTGTTGGGGAAACCTGACCTGACCTGCAGGAAGTCTGGTTTCTCCTGGTTTCCCGCCAACAAAATGAAAAATGCTATTTCATTTCATGGAAGTTTATGGGACATTATGGTGCACAAATTGGTTGCCACTTTTGCCAGCTCAGTCACAGTCACCACACACATAACATGGCACTATTTCAAACACAAGAACCACTATTTCTATATCACTGATGTGTGCTTAGAATGGGTGAAACCCGATTATAGGTACCCCACCAAGGTAGGAAATGTTCCTGATCAGTGGAAATGTGGCTCTTAGGTTTGTACAAAGCAACATAAGCGTGCCCATTGTGCTGCTATATTCTGATGGAATCACTGACACAAGGAGAATGCAGCATTCATTGCTACTCAAAACACTGCTTGAGAGATGACAATTTACAGTCACATTTTAATATAAATATAAATTGTAGTTTATATTTTGTGTAGAAAGTGGTTCTCGTTTATAACAACCAAAAGAAAATGCTGTACTCACATACACGATGGAGAAAACCCCACTGTGGCTGCTCGTTGGGACATTTAGAACAATTTTAAGTTGGGAAACAAAGACATGAAATGCAGCTGCCGTTGTGAATCCTCCCACGAGTGGAACAGAGAGATACCGAACAATGAAGCCGACTTGCAGAATCCCCAGGCCAAGCTACAATTAAACAGAAAAGCTTTGATCACCAGGGTAATCACCCACCTACCCTCACCTTCCCTGCCCTTCACTCCTCCTGATCCCAATCCCCAGCTCGGGTCCAAATCCCTGACTGTCCAGCGCCTTGGGATGCCCTCCCAACATAAAAGGTGCTGTGTAAATGTCATTTTTTGTTGTAATGTAAAATTGTTCAAAAACGTAATTACTAGTTTATGGCCTGCACTGACTCTCTAGACAAGGTACACCCTTTGGATGAGATGTTAACCCTGGTCCCCTCTGCCTGTTGGAAGTAAAGTTGCCATGAAACTATTGGAAAAAGAAAAGTGATTTTCTCCTGTGTGCTGGCCAGCAATATTCCTGTTAATTGGTGATTCACCCTCTGCCTGTTTCTGGGACACTGCTGGGCGCTAATTGACTGACGCCTTTGTCTACAAATAGACATAGGCACAGGACTTGTTAACTAACAGAAGCAAGAGTTTCTGATGACGGGTTTAAGGGTTAACAAAACTTGTTAAAATGTCTTACCTGAAAAATGCCGACAAGAACAGTAACTGTGGTTGCAATGGTTATTCTTTCAGCTTCGCGAGCAGCAATATCCAGGTGTGTAGCGTTAGATTCCGTCATGTTGCTGGAAATCAGGAATTTATCATCGGGGGTCATAGATATAACTAAAGACCCGATCATCAAACTGGTAATTGGGAAAGGTCCTGCAGAAAGTCAACCAGAGACAGTAGCCTGAGAGATTGGAATATGATCAACACCAAACAATCACTTTCAAATAGGAAAACTGCCTGTCAAACCATGTCATCCCCTACTTGAGCATTGGTTGGGTTGACTAAATGTCTTGAAGATCCAATGCTCTATCAGCCTTCCATTAATTGTATGCCAATATTGAAAGATATGCCACAAACCCATTGAGCTTTATATCACTGGTTTTTTTTAAACGTCAGTTTTGCTATCCCCAAAAAGTGATCAGATGTCATCTTTCCTTTCTATTTATGCTAATAAAGTCTAAAACCATTTTGTACCCTACAGGTTTATTAGTGGGACATCCTCCTGACTTGAAAGACGCTGTGCAAATGTAAGTTGTTGTTGTACGTTTATGAAGTCGGTGCCAAATGTCAATACAGCCAACTGAACACCAGCCAGCAGAATATAAAACAAAATGAGCTTCTATAAACCAGCAAGTTTTCAATTAGAGTGTAGACAGACAAGTGTGTGTTGGAGAAAATGTTGCCTTCAAGCAAATATCCTCATGAACATTGTGTCCTTTACCAGACTGGTGCTCCACTAGTGATGTGCAAACTACACAGCTGAACAAGTATAGGACGCCATGGCTGAACAAACATCCAAACCTTTTCCAGTTTTAGTTTCAACACAACCATGAACAACATTTCTTCACAAAAGGATCATAAAGGTGTGCCTACCCACAGCTAAATGTTTCGAGGTTCCCAAAAGGAAATACGGTAGAATGGGGAAAAAGGCAGAGTAAAGTCCGTAAGCAACAGGGACTTCAGTGAGCAGCGCAAAGGCCAGGCCTGAAACCAAACAAACACAATTAATGGACATCAAACACTTCCTCTATGTTTGGGGTAATAACTAAATTGCAACAGCTTGTTATGGTAACATCATTATTACAAACACAAGGTAAAGTAGGTGAATGCCTTCGAAGTTTGCGTTCCTTTCCTGGATCACACACTTGAGTTGAGATCTGTGAAAATGTACATTACAGAGAAAGAGAGAGAGAAGTTGTATTAATACTACATAAACAATAGTGTGTATCCCTAAACAGTGCATTCATTATCACCAGCAATAATTCAGTCTCAGTCCCAGCAAAATACGATCTTTGTCTCATATTTCACTTTATATTATTCTGGTTAGGGTTTTGGAAAAATAAACATAGCACAAGACGATGAGAGAGGTTTGGATAAGATTGCCCATTTGACCTCATGCTTCCTGAATACCCTTCTACCAGCACAGCATCAATTGGTTTGTTTTAATGAGGCCTGTGCCCTGATCTCAACTATCCCCCTGGTGACATGTTCCAGTCGTTAGTAATCCTCTGGGTAAACAAATACTTCCTGGTGTCTGTCCTGAAACTGCTCTTTGCAAATCCTAAACCTGTGTCCTCTTGTTCCGCTAACGTTAACATGTGTCACACTGTCCTGATCAGCACAGGAACCGTGTTGGCTAGAAAATACAAGTTTATCCTCACCCAGTTATCTTTCCACAATCCTAACCTGAATAATATGAAGTTAAGTAATGTACATATTGTGTTCTATTGAGATAAGTAAACAAACTTACCCTGCAGAGTAGCCACCAGTCCAGTACTAATGCCAGATATAACATCACCCAGTAACCATTCCTTTACTCTATACCTGGGAAGCCAATCCAGGATGGGGAAAATACTCTTCATAATAGCCAGAGCCTTCCTCGCTGAACAACTAGAGTTAGAGGAAAATAATCACAAACTACACGTAAAAGCTACACAATCAGTTATGAGCATTCCATTTTACATCATACACAGTAGTTTCACTTTGAATCATGCAACTCAATGATACCAACCTATCATACACAATATACAGTAATATTCTGTTAAGCGCTTTGAGACGTCTCGAAGACGTGATAAGGTGCCATATGAAATGCAAGGATTATTATTATTATCACCTGGCACTGTTTAGCATGACTAAAAATATCTCACGAGAAACTAAAAAAGCTCTCCCCAGAAACTCTCAACTGTACAGATTGGAAACAATGACAGGATTGAAATATGTTTCAAGGGTTGAGGTTCAGATGATAATAAATCACTCACGTTGGTTCTAGCCGTTTGATTCAATTAATAAAAGGGTTTATGAAATATAATAATAATAATCCTTGTATTTGATATAGCGCTTTTCACGTCGGGAGGACGTCCCAAAGCGCTTCACAGAACACACTGTAAAGTGAATTGACTGTATACTTGTGGGCGAACGCGGCAGCCAATTGCGCACAGCAATGTCCACAAACAGTCGTAGATTGAAAATGACCAATTTATTATTGTTTTTGGTTTTGGAGGATTATTATTAGGCTCTGTGTGGAGTAATGAAACTTGCCCAAGGTTTCGCCCTCTGCCTGGAATTGAACCCAGGTCTCTCGCTTGCAAAGCAAGTGCTCTAACCACTGAGCTACAGGTCTCCACAAGCTGATAGGAAGGTGGCTCACCTGCAGTGTGTAAGTAGCCGATGGCGCAGGTTCTGCGAAACCTTTTCATTTCTTTCATTTTCCTCTGCGAAACTTTGTTCGGAATAAATCGAGCGGGAAACAAAATAGTTGTCACGATCCTCTCCTAACACCATGTCAATGGCTTCAAGTCTCTCCCCTTCACTGAGCAGAGCAGAAAAAGAGTTATTTTTGGTCACTAACCTATAACCAAAGGATATAAAGCCTCATTGGACAGCAAATGCAAGGATTATTATTACATATATTACTATCTCTGAAGACTTTCTGCTCTACTCCAATAACCTACAGCAATCTCCATGTGTTTTTATTTTGGGGGAGCATTTGTCTGTAGTAGTTACCTGACGTGAAAGGTGCTACACAATGTCCCAACCTCGCCCGACTCCACTGGCTCCCCATCCCCCAGAGGATCGAGTTCAAGATCCTCGTCCTCACCTTTAAGGCCATCCATGGCCTTGCCCCTTCCTACTTCTCTGACCTGCTGACTCCCTACCAATTTGCCTCTCTCTCCGTTCATCGGGCTTTGGTCTGCTCCATGTCTCCCGCCCGACCCGCCCTACCATCGGTGGCCGGGCTTTCAGCCTCTCTACCCCCACACTCTGGAACTCCATCCCACGGTCCCTTCACCTTGCTTCCTCCCTTGCCTCCTTCAAGACCCGTCTCAAGACCCTTCTCTTCGACCGTGCCTTTGGTCTCCCTCCCACTTCTCTGCCTTCCCTCACCCCTACACCACCCCTCCCCCATGCTCGGGCCCTGACACCTGACTGTTCAGCACTTTGGGACATCCTCCTGATGCGAAAGGCGCTCTATAAATGTAATTTTGTTGTTGTTGTTGTGTTGTTACTCAAACACTGCACTTGGTAGAGTTGATTCTTGAACCTTTGGTTGTTTTTTCTTGGTTTCATTGTTCAGGTTTTCCTGCACATTAGATATGAGGGAATATTAACAGCCAATAGTGCTGAAACCCTCACCCTTTCCTTTATTACCATCAGCCTGAACTTCTCAAATGCTGCCCCATCCATAACACTCCATCACCTGCTTTCTCACCTACACCAACCCCTCATCACCTACACCAAACCCCATCAACCACACCAAACCCCCATCTGTTAGGAACCTGGGTGTCTTGTTCGACCCTCATTTGTCCTTTCTCCCCCATATCCGTGCCATGACCTGCTCTGCCTTCCCCCAACTCCGCAACATTGCCTGACTTGGCCACTGCCTCACCCCTCAGACCACCAAAACCCTCATACCCGCATTTGTCACCTCAAGGCTTGACTATGGAAACTCTCTCCTTGTCGGCCTCCCCAACTCTTCCCTCCACAAGCTGCAGATCATCCAGAGCTTTGCAGCTCGTGTCCTCTCCTGCACCAAGCTCCGCGACCCCATCACACCTGCCCTCGCCCTCGGATGGACTAACCGAGACTGATTCTGTTCTTTTATCTCTTTTGAACTTTTGACCATTTGTCGTCTTCCAAGTGGTTAATATACTAGCCAATTGGTCAAAGGGAATCTCGGCAGCTTATCCTAAGCACAGTGGGTATCTCTTTTTATCCTGGTGTTCATTGGCCCTTCTATTCGGGCATTCTTTGGCCCAATGTCCCTCTTCCTGACAGATTGGACTGATCCGATCCCCTCCAAAGACTGGATTGTCTTGGCCCAGACTGGTTTTTATTTTGATAATACAGCTGTCTTCGATTCTCATAATTAGGGGATAAACGCTCTCTGTTTTTACTCTCTCTCTGACTCTTAGGTCCCTCTACCTTTTTCAATCCCACCTTACTTTCCTCGATCTTGGCCTCTCTATGTCTCAGACTGAGATAATAAACCCAATCAGCAATCTTTATCACATCCTCCCATTCCATGTCATCAGTTACTAATCCCATTATGGCTGATTCGATTTCAGGGATGAGCTTCTGGAGAAATGCCTCTTGGTATATGTTTGACTTTCCTGCGTCCTTCTGAGCTCACTTCTTCTGTTTGTAACCGTTTGAACAGTTCCACTAGCCTTTCATGAAACTCTGCTGGGCTTTCGCCTCCTGCCTGCACTGCCTTCCCATATGCCTGGCTTATGTTCCATGCTTTCCCTTTTGTTAGCATGACCTTAACGCCCTTAAAAACGCTGTACCACATACTTCTGGCTTCAAACTATTCCGCGGCAAGCGCTTTTGTACTTTCAATTCGATTGCGCATAACAGTATCCTTTTAAGGTCTTTTTCCTCCAATTCAGAGTGACAGTCTATAAACAGATCATATTGTTGATTCAACTCAATGGGACAAGTTTGTTCTGCGATCGTGCCAAACTCTTTCACATAAGCCGCTACCTCCTCGGGTCTTAGCGCCCGACTATGTGTCTCCTCCCTATCGTCTGTGCCATTCTCGTCATCACTAGAAGTTGCCTCTTGCTGATCTTCCCCATCAAACACGACTCCTCGTCTACATTGGGTGAATCCAGCTCCAAATAGTAGTGATGACTGCTACTGACTTTCCTTATTCTTCCTCACACATATCCGGATATATTTTATCTACTTTATCTATGGCTGTTTTGACATTTCGATTATCCCCCATCATTCCCTCTGTCCTAATGGCCCATACCATCGCCTGCTTGCCCATCAGCATCTCCTTCAATTTCTCTATTTCTCTCCCACACTGAGTGTGATCTGTCTCAGTAGCTGAAGGCCGGTTAATTAAGGTGTTAACTGCTCCCTTGGCCACATTCAACTGGATGTTCATAACCTCACACTTCTCCTGACTATCCTGCAGCGCTATTCTCCTTTCTTCATGCTGTTCTCTCTCTAGCTTGGCTTGGCTGATTTCACCTTGCATCATGTGTAGGATGGAGGTTAGTTCTATTATCTTTCTTTCCTGGTTCTCACATACTCCTTCTATGCTCCATAATTCTTCTTCTATATCCTTTTTGTCTGACTTTAAACCCTTCTAAGTGATCTAATCTAATCTAAGTGATCTTTACACCCTTTTGTATTTCTGTCATCACCTCTCCGAGCTGTTCTGTCTTCATTTTCTTATCCTCTACTTCCTTGTCCTTACTGTCTTACAATTGTTTGGCTTTAATTTTCTTCCACTTTTGTTCTACGTGGATTAACTGGTAGTATGCTCTTCTTTACACACTATTAAGATCACTGTCTTATCATAAAAGAATTATTGCACCATCTTGGATTGTTGGGTCATATTTCGAACTCTAGGGATCGGAAATCCCAACCAGTGTGGAGCTAGTACACAATCACACACTAACGCCAGGTCTAAATAAATCTGAAAGCTAAGTGAGAAGTTCTGTGGAACTCACTATCACCAATAACTTCCCCTCCCCCGTCATTCCTTGTCACTGTACTCTGTACTTTATGATTGGAATAACATTTGATTAAAAAAAGCACATGTAAAACATTAAGAATGATAAAGGGCACTGATCACTGGAAACGTGAACAACTAAGTATTAAACAGTAACAGTGCAACATTAAAAATACAGGCAGATAGAGTCGAAAACAGGTAACAGAAGAGGTCGATTTCTGCTAAAGCTTCAGCACACTATTTAAAAAAATTATAAAGATATCAAAAGCAATCGCTTACATATCTAAAGTATTTCTCCCTGTTTGGTGCTGAGACGTTATGTGTTTAGGAGCCTTTACCGTTGTGATTGACACTTTTTCTTGATTTTCCCTGAGACGAGCGATGCCTCTTCACAGCTTTCTGTCCCTCTTGCGATCTCGCTGTTTGTATTGCTCATGCAGAGCAACCAGTTTGATACCAGATAGAATGCCTCAGGCTGGTCAACTCACCCACATTACACACTAACAGAAACACCCTGTGTAATTTAACCCTCTCACCCAGTTTAATAACTATATTCAAGTACTTTCATACCCTGAAAGAGGTGCATACTATTATATTCAAACATAGTCAACTGTAATCTTACCAGCATCTATGCTAATTAAGGGGTTAAGATAAAATACATTGACACTGATTTGCTGAGAACTTCAAAAATGCTCCCAATTTTTTCAACAAAGGCTTTGATTCTTAACCGGTCTGAAAGAGTGCATTGATGTTTAAGAGCTCAGAGATGCTACCCTGCATGGAGGGCGCTATATAGTGCAAGTTGTTGTTGTGTATTCAAACAGAAGAGACTGCAACATATAGCAATAATACAATAATCCTTGCGTTTGATATTTCGCCTTATCATGTCTTTGAGACGTCTCAAAGGACTTGCTCTATTTTGCCTTTGGAGTCCTGTAGCTCAGTGGTTAGAGCACTCGCTTTGCAAGCGAGAGACCTGAGTTCAATTCCAGGCAGAGGGCGAAACCTTGGGCAAGTTTCCTTATTCCACACAGAGCCTAATAATAATCCTCCAAAACCAAAAACAATAATAAATTGGTCATTTTCGATCTAGAACTGTTTGTGGGACATTGCTGTGCGCAATTGGCTGCCGCGTTCACCCACAAATATACAGTCAATTCACTTTACAGTGTGTGTTCTGTGAAGCGCTTTGGGATGTCCTCCCGACATGAAAAGCGCTATATCAAATGCAAGTATTATTATTATTATTATTATTTCCACATTTATTCCAAATCTTAACATCTCCAACTGTTGTGCAACACCCATAGACTAGATTACGAGATATCAACAACAACAACTTGGATTTATATAGCGCTGTCCGCACCGGATGGCGTCTCAGAGCGCTTCACAGTAACGGATCCCGGGGCTGAGCCAGGGGGAGGGGGGGGAAGGTGACCAAAGGCGCGGTCGAAAAGAAAGGTCTTCAGCAGAGACCTGAGAATAGGAAGAGAGGGGGCGAGGGGAAGTGAGTGAGGAAGGGAGTTCCAGAGCCTCAGGGCGCAGTAGCTGAAGGCACGGCCACCGAAGAGGGAGCGGAGGACTCGGGGGATGAGGAGGAGGCCAGACCCGGAGGAATGAAGGCAACAGGCACTGTTTTGAGGAGAGAGGAGGTCAGAAGAAAAGGGTGAGGATCTTAAAGTCGATCCTCTTTGGGACAGGAAGCCAGTGCAGTCTGGCAAGCACTGGAGTAATCGGGGAGCGGAGTTTGGTGCGGGTGAGAATAATCTGGATTTTGTGGATGGTATTGGAGGGGAGGCCGGTGAGGAGGGTGTTAGAATAGTCCAGCTGAGAGGTGACAAAGGCATGGACTAGGGTTTCAGCGGCTTTTGGATAGAGGTATTGGCAGAGACGGGCAATGCGTCAGAGGTGGAAGAAGGCGGTGCTGTTGAGGGACCGGATGTGGGGGAGGAAGGATAATTGGGGGTTGAACCTGATGCCTAGGTTGCGTACGGGTTCGGAGAGTTTTAAGGGGAGGTCGGGTAGGTGGAGGAGGTGAAAAACATAAGATTTTAGACGTTGACGAGAGCCAAAGAGTTTGGCTTCCATCTTGTCAACGTTCAACTGGAGGAAGTTTGCACTCATCCAACCCCTGAGATCTGACAGGCAGAACATCAGGGGACTGGGGGGCGCAAAGAGAGGTGGAAAAATAGAGTTGGGTGTCATCCGCAAACATATGGAAATGTACCCCATGTCTGCGGATGACATCCCCCCAAGAGGGAGCATGTAGATCAGAAAGAGGAGGGGCCAAGGATGGATCCTTGGAGTACCCACAGGTGACCGGGAGAGCGCGGGAGGAGAAGCCGTTGGTGCAGATGTACTGCTGGCGGTTTGTGAGGTACGACTCGAATCGGGCGAGTGCAGTCCCACTGAGGTGGATGACGGAGGAAAGGGGGTAGAGGAGGATGGCGTGATCGACTGTGTCGAACGCGGCGGAGAGGTCCAGGAGGACAAGGAGGCAGAGGGAGCCCTGATTACAGATACAGAGGATGTTGTTTGTGACTTTCACAAGCGCATTCTCTGTACTGTGGGCGGAAACCGGAGTGGAGGGGTTCGAAGAGGGAGTGGGAGGAGAGTTGTGCGCGAAGTTGGTTGGCAACAATGCGTTCTAGGACTTTTGAGAGGAAGGGCAGGTTAGAAATAGGGCGGTAGTGTCTGGGGTTGGAGGGATCTAGGGAGGGTTTTTTGAGGAGGGGGGTGATGACAGTAGTTTTGAGGGGGGCAGGGACTGATCCGGAGGAGAGGGACTGGTTGATGATGTCAGCCAGTAGTGGGCAGAACTGCCAAGTTCACAAGCTCAATGTTAACTCTTGAGAACCAAAGCTCAACCAAGGTCCTGTCTGCTGTTCAGGTGGAGGTGAAGATCTCCCTCTCTCTCAGTGGATCGATTTCAAGGTCCTCATCCTCACACCACAGCAACTCCCTAACTCTCTGATTTCACCCACAAAACTGTCACTACACTTTACAGTATACTCTATGAAGCGCTTTGAGACATCTCAAAGATGTGATAAGGCGCAATATCAAATGCGAACATTATTATTGTTATTTCCTCTCGCCTAAATTTAGGTACTTTTATCATAGTTATACGACATAGTCTGCATCAATTCAATATGATCTGTTCATTTATTAACTCGGGAGATTGGTTTCAGTGAAGCAGTGTACCTCACATTGGGGTCTAATTTGTAACATAAGTTGTTAATAATGGCTGGTGTCTAAACTAGTGATTCAGACTCGGAGTCATTAATAATAACTCCAAACTACAAATAGTGACTCGTTCTGGTAAGAATAACAATCATTTGATTTGATTTAGTGCCTTTCAAGTCAGGAGAGCATCTCAAACCGCTTTACAAGATATACTGTAAAGTGTAAAGATTGCCTATTTTGTAGATAAATGTGGCAGCCAATTTGGAGACGGGAATGTCTCATAAACAGCTGATGAAGGGAATGACCAATTTTATTATAATAATCCTTGTATTTGATATAGTTCCTTTTATGTCAGGAGGATGGCGCAAAGTGCTTCACAGGATTTTATTACCAAAGGCACGGTAGAGGTCGACTTTAATATGGGACTTTAAGACAGACAGGGAAAGGCAGAGGGTGTGAGACGGAGAGGGGAAAGGAGGAGGGGGTGAAAGGGAGGGGGAGAGATGAAGGGGGAGAGGGGGTGAGATGGAGGGGGAGAGGGAGAGGCGGTGATATGGAGTGAGTGAGATGGAGGGGGAGAGGGGAGATAGAGAGGGTGAGATGGAGAGGGATGGGGAGAGGGAGGGTAGAGGGGAGGGGTGAGATAAGATGGGGTGAGATGGAGAGGGAGAGGGTGAGAGGTGAGATAGACGGGGTGAGACGGAGGGGGAGATGTTCACAGATTAGGAATGTAAACTCTGAAACCTGTCCTTTTGAATCCTTTTTGTGTATAACTAACATGTTCAGTGTAAATTATATCTATTTGCTCTTGAACACAAGTCAGTCCTTTTCCAGTTGCACTCCTTTGGGTGTTTAGGTGCTGAACAGATTGGACCTGTTTTACCACATTTTGTTGGAGACGATTTATTACTGCTGCTGCCAGTATCCCCCAGTCATCATTGGGGAAATACCAAAATAATTGTTTACCTGCCAAGTCACAAGTTCTACTTTAACCCTTGAGAACCAAACTATTTTAGGTATTTTTATCCTAGTTTTAGGGCATAGTCTGCATCAATTTAATATGGTCTGCTCATTTATTTACAAACCGCGTAAACTTACCAGAGGCCACAGGTATAGCATGTTTGGTGGGTATAATTATAATAATCCTCTTATTTGATATAGCGCCTTATCGTGTTGTTGAGACGCCTCAAAGCGCTTCACAGGATATACTGTTAAGTGAATTGACTGTATATTTTGCAACTGTCTTCACGTAGGAGGATGTTTCAAAGATGGAGTTCTTGTGTCTTGTGAATTAGTGAGGGATGGTTTTGAAAGAATGAGGGGTCACCAGCTCTAGTATATTGTTGACCTACGCTTATTGATAAATAGATTTAGGAAAGCTTTTAGAAGAACTAACGTATACTAACATAAGGACTTGGACTATACTCGATGAATATTAGGAATCTGGAATAGTGTACAAGTTCTTACTTCATGCTTGGAAGGAACTTCAAAGCTATGGACTGAGTGAAAGTTAACTGAGTGAGTTAATTTCTCTACATTTTAAGTGAAGTCCCCAATTCTGGCAATACTGACCTGGCCCATCTATTGTCTCAGCAAACACTCACCTGCTTCATGCCACCTATTCCCACTCAGTCATTCCCACCACTGCTCTGGAAATCCACAGAGTCCCTCCACCTCCATCTCCTCCCTCCCTACATTTAACAACAAAATTACATTTACAATTGTACATCATCTATATATATAGATAGTTTTATGCAATTAGACTGTACATGTATCATTGAATCAGGATTGTGATGCCATACATAGAAGTGAGGCTGAGATATGATACTCTGCATTAATGATGCTCTCATTCGTTTGAGAAGCGCTATATCAAATACAAGCATTATTATATTATTATGAGCCCAAAGATCAGAATCTTTGAATTGTCAAACAAGCAAATAATGAAGACTTTCATCCGATCAGTTTGGTTTAATTCCAGCCCAGTTTTCAGGATTTGTCCACTCCACTGGTCAGTGCTGACACTTATTTCTGCTATTGCAGATTAAAGGCTCAATTAGATTCTCGAATACTTTATCTCACCATTTTCTTAAGGGCCTTCTTCCACAAAGAATGTCTTCTAAGGATCTTGGAAAGACTTTACTTTAATTACCTAAATTCTAATTGGGTATGATTTTCATTTTGGTGTAAGTAATAAAGTACAATATATGAAGATGTGACAATTTATACATTGTATGGATTAGTCACTTCTTCCCCAGTGTATAATGCATGACAATTCAAACTGTATTGGAACACTCAATATCATGGAGGCTCACGAAAGTCACCAAAAAAATGAATTAAATCCTACCGGGGATGAATCTTTTACACATATTTCTGTCAGATTTTTTGAGCCAATTGATGTTTGAATTCTTATTTTACAAGTTTTTTTACATTTGTTCAGTTTCCTGAGGTAATGACCTTCACGCTTAGATGGTAGACCCTCCCTAGTCTAATGTTCTGAGGTCATGATCTGTCACTTTTATCTACACTTGTGATCTGAGTTTTATTTACAGTATCTCAAAACACAACACTGTAGTGACAAATATTTCCATGTCACAATCTGCCTCAATAACAAAAGCCATTTCTCTTTGTTGATTTTTTTTCTATAATGTAATGGATAAACAAATGTTTTTGCAGCTTTGTTACCAATTAAGCCTGCAAAGAGATCACAAATGACACCTTCAGATATCAAGTGATTGTGTTGATGTGGAAATGTCTATAAAATCAGTGCCCCAGGAAGGAAACATTGGCTGCAACTGGAACCTCAACTTGTTCACAAAATTACACCACAATTGTGAATTTAGGCCTTTATTGTAAAAGCAATGTGTATTGCCAAAGACACAGTTTGTAAATATTTCACGTAAAACTAACGTGTAAAGCAGATATATTATACAACAATTACTGAATAACAGTTCTCATGAACATATATCTTTCTGATCCTGAGAAGATACAGTAGCATCTCTTGAGTGGACTTCATATGTCATCCACATCTAGGCTCCAGCCACCTGAACGTGTAATGATGCAAAGGCAAGGGTCATGAGACCTATATGTTGCATAATGTACGGATAGGGCACAACAGGAAAGAGATAAATCACAATAAATAAGACTAGTTTGCATTTCATGTATTAAAAAAATCGAAGAATGTAAACTGTAAGAGAATGTAAGAATGTCACATCAACAACTGATTTTTATAAATCGCCATCATGTGGGGTCGTGTTTGACCACTAAATGTCCAGCTCAGGCTGAGACCCCAGATAACACTTTTTTGTGGAACCACATCTTTTTTTAAAAGAAAGGACACAGGACCAGGGAACAATTAACTGCTTAAGATAAAAAGGGGGAAAAAAAGTGAACACAAAGTTCTCATGAATGGTCACACCCAAAATATCTAAACTATCTTCTGCTTTCACATGCTGATTGACCAAGTTGTTGTGTATTTAAAATATTTTCTGTTCCTGTTAACGATTTCTTTTAATCAAGATTGGGAGGTATTCGCTGCTGAACACAATGAACATTCCTGTGTGCTTCTAGAGAAGTCAAGGCTATGACTGAAACACACAGCAATCCAGTGGATTTTAAAAAACAGTGTTTATATGCCGACAGGGAAAGCAACTATTCTAAACAATATTTACCATCGTAAGCTGAACAGTGGAGCAGATTTCAACCCAAGCTAAATGACGATTGTAGGAGCCCAAACTATTAAAAGTCTAGGAATAGGCGTGAAAGTGTAGACCATTTTGGCTGATTGCTACATATAGAATACACATTAGTGAACCCAGATAAAACTTCAAAATGTTTATGACCATTATATAATGTATGGAACATGTGTAATAATTGTTCAGGGAGGTGATATACAGTACATTAAATGTTTTGAGGTTAATGTGAGCAGCTCTTGATAAATCGATTCAACAAAACAAAGGGGAAATAAACATTGAAGGGAGTATCTTTGTGGTTTAAAATACCTGTAATGTAAGTCACTGGAAAGGCTTAGTGCATATCAAACAGGACACCAGAGTATTACAGTCAATAGTTTCTCTATTTCTAAGGGGGATATACTTTGAATAAAAATAATTTTCTTAAAACTGCAATTTGTATTTCTATGTTTTAAATGCAGTATTAGGTTTTTAAGGCAAATTCCATTTTATTATTTGAATCAGAAAATAGTGCAGACTGTAAATATTTGTTACAATGAAATATGTTTGAGGTTTGAGTGGGAGGGAGTGGAGGGGAACATTAAACTTTTGGACCTAAGGTATGAGAATAGTATTGAGAACCTAATGCTCTCAAACATGGTACAGGAACATTTTTTTGGAAGGTGCTCGGTCAAGACAAATGGATAAACTCCTTCTATACCAGCCAGTTTAAGACTTTACGTTAACCTAAACAGCAAACTCTTTATCATATCAGTGAGCTTTTCCAGTTAATACCAGATATCTTATATCCCTGGAGTAAGATTTGAATTGAAGGACAAATTTGTGATGAATAGGCAACTTTAAATTGTCTAATCTGGCCACAAGGAATTGTTTTGAACATGTGTAACTTAATTCTCCCAGAACCTTTTACAGTCAAACCTGTTCAAGGAACCACCTCCATTCACCTCCATCCACCCGTCAACAACTACCCTGGAACAGCCTCCACAGCCCGGTTTGCACACTAATGAACCCTTACTCCGAAGCCACCCTTATATAAAGGCCACTTTGGCCCAGGCCCCTGAGTGGTTGTTGGAAGACGGGTTTGACTGACTTCCAATTGTCAAAATAGACAATTGTCCACCTTTCTGAACTTCAACCTAGGCCCTAGAGGTAAAGAACAATTCTGATCAGATAGTTCCCATAACATCATAGTTTCTCTGAATTTCCCTTGTCAAACACTTGAAACCCACTTATTCTAGAAACAGCTTATGAACGAGCAGCTGAACACATTTACTTTTCAAATCGAAACAGCTAAAGTATCTAGCTGAGAAGCAAATACAAATATTTAAGTAACCAGAGATGCTGCTGTGGAAGATGTCGAAAGCTGTCAAGGCAAAGCTCTTACTCTTTACTCATTCTTCTTATCAGGGCTGTCAACAAGGCTCTGAAAACAAGAAAATGTAATGAAACAGCAGATGTCAGTTATTGTTAATCAATAAAAAGCCTGAAACATTTAAACAATCTATAGTCATATGCTACAGACAGCAGCTGATTACTGCAGAAGATCTAGAATGATTTGAGTTATAGAGTTATTCAAAATGAGACTTACAGCAATACTTTGATAGAAACTTTACATTCAATTGTTGAGTGAAAGAACTGATGTAGCAAAAGTGTGATTTACCGCCATCAAAATGAAGAGCCTAACTAATGCTCAGTGACGATATAAGGTTAGTTCCACTTCAGAGTAATACACATGCTCTCAACCAAAGCCTGATCAGTCACCTGTTTTTATCAGAAACACATACATGCAATCTCATGAAAACACAAAAGTCCTGTTGATTCCCCCAAAGAAGGAAACTAAGAAACAGCTCCTAAGCGGGTGTAGCATTCATCCTTTAGCAGCAGATTATACAATAACACAGGAGAAGCCAAACAGGGTGCATGCTGTGATAGCAAACGAACAGATATAAAGAAATGTACAAAAAGAAAGCTTTTCACAGCCGATCCATACAGTAAATTGAAAACAAATTCATATTTAATCTAAAATTAGGACCAAAATGCTGTTCATGAACACAAGTTCTGTTCTACATTATAACTATTTCATTTTGTCTTATTTACTATAAATGAAACCCGATGAAATTACAATGAATTAAATGAATGTTGTGTAGATTTAATTGGTGTGAACAATTTACCTAACGTTTACCCAGAGAAACAAAGCGCAATTTGTGAAAGGTTAAAGTGGAAGCAATGGCTCCTTCAAATGGTCTTAAGAACTTTATTGTCAGATTGTGAAATGAGAGACTTACTTACCTGCAACTTGTCATGCTCCTGCACAAGAGAATCATATTCCCTCGTCAGACCTTCACACTGTGTTGTCATTGCCATCATATCTTTCTGTGACTTTTCAAGGGCTGTTTAGCAAATAAAACAAATTATAATTTAAAATATATGCTTTCAACGGAAGCCTGTTCAATCCACAGGCAAGAGATTGTTTGAGATTCCTTGATTTTATGAAAAAAACAATCATATATACACAATCTCAATAAATAATACTTGCATTTGACATAGCGCCTTATAACATCTTCAAGACGTCTCCAAACCGTCGCAGAATATACTGTAAAGTGAATTGACTGTATATTTTGTGGGCGAAATCTGCATTCTCCAATTTATTTAATTTAAATTTTGAATATTCTGCAATTTAATTAATCTTGAGAAATAAACAACCATATGTAAAACTTACAATAAATTGCTCCAATTGTAGAGCTTATTTCACAAAATTCAGAGATTCCTATTTAATATCGTATTCAATACAGAATATATTCTTGGCCTCAAAAGAACAAGACTGATGTGAATTATCCAAGTTTATACAGTTGTTGGGGATAAAGTTTGAGTTTCATTTGCAACTAGATATTTGGCCAGATCCTTTTCAAAGGATTCACATGAAACAATACATTAAGTTTCATTACTATAATCGACATATGAACATTTCTATTATTCTCTATTCTTGTGTCACAACAACTAATTGAATGTTTATGACCACGTGTTCCATGAACAGTTGTTCCATCCAACAACCTTGGATTTCACACATTATTATCCAATCACTAGTCACTCTTGGATTATTAATAAATAATAAATAATCCTTGCATTTGATATATTGCCTTATACGTCTTCGACAAGTCTCAAAGCACTGCACGTAATACACTGTAAAAGACAATATTATTTATAACTAGTGCTTTACGACATTTAGTTTCATTGCTTATGTTTGATGTTTTTATGCCATACCTTCTGTAGTTTCCTGCACTTCAGTCTGCAGTTTCCCAATTTCCTTGTTCAACTTGTCATTTTCTTCCACCAAATTCTCATTTTCCTGACCTTTTCCTCGATTTATTGCCTATTGATAAAATAGTACACTTGAAAAATAAAGTTAGCACTATAGTTTGAATAATATTAATAATCCTTGTATTTGATATAGCGCCTTATCACATCTTCGAGACGTCTCAAATATAACGTAAAGTGAATTGACTGTATATTTTGTAGGCGAGAAGCGGGTACCAACTGCGCTCAGCACTCCCAACTCCCAACTCTTCCCTCCACAAGCTGCAAATCATCAGATCTCTGCAGCTCGTGTCCTCTCCCTTACCAGACTCCGTGACCCCATCAATAATAATAATAATAATAATCCTTGCATTTGATATAGCGCTTTTCACGTCGGGAGGACGTCCCAAAGCGCTTCACAGAACACACTGTAAAGTGAATTGACTGTATATTTGTGGGCGAACGCGGCAGCCAATTGCGCACAGCAATGTCCCACAAACAGTCGTAGATTGAAAATGACCAATTTATTATTGTTTTGGGTTTTGAAGGGATTATTATTAGGCTCTGTGTGGAGTAAGGAAACTTGCCCAAGGTTTCGCCCTCTGCCTGGAAGTAGCCCTACCCTCAATCAACCCCTACCCTCGCCCTTCACTGGCTCCCCATCCCCCGGAGCATAGAGTTCAATATCCTCATCCTCGCCTTCAAGGCCCTCCACGGCCTTCTCCTCCCTACCTCTGCAATCTGGTAACCCCATACCAACTCTGCTCCCTCCGCTCAGCAGCTCCGGCCTGCTCCATGTCCCCCGCCTGCCTGCTCCACCATCGGCAGCCAGGCTTTCATCATATGGAACGTTCTGCCCCCACTTACTGCTGCCACTCTATGAAACTCCATTCCAATAACAACAAGATTACATTTGTATAGCGCCTTTCACGTCGGGAGGACGTCCCAAGGCGCTGGACAGAGTACAGCATTTCATATGTTCATATATGAATATGAGACATATTCCTTTTGTTTCACTCCCTCCCTTGCTTCCTTCAAGGCACATTTCAAAACCCTCCTCTTCGACCGAGCTTTCGGCCATCCTCCTACCCTCCACCCTCCCCGATCCTGATGCCCAGCTCAGGTCCAAATCCCTGACTCTTCAGCACCTTGGGACATCCTCCGGATGTGAAAGGCCCTACACAAATGTAATTTTGTATTGTTTTGTATTAACATATTAACATTGAAGACAACAAGTTCAGGCGGAAGTGAAGGCTCCAATTCAGACCCGTGACCCTGTGAATCTGAAGTGACTGTATTAGACTGTATTAGAAGTGGGAAGGCCATTCAGTGAGAGACAAACCGATGGTAATGTTTGCATTCATTTCTGAGGTAAGGGTTTCAGTGTTACTATTACCTTCTTTAGTTCTTCATTTTCTTCCATATGCTTCTTAGCGGCATCATTACAATCAGCAGCCTGAGTATTAAGTATTTGGTTGTCACCCATCACCACTGCCAGTTCTGAGATAAGAGTGATCACACGCCGAAGAACACTTAAAAGAAATGAGAATGCTTCACTGTAGAATTCAAAAATCATTCAGATCTGAAAGCAATGAACTACTGACTTTAATGTGAAAGCAGAGCGGCACAAACAATTGCAACTCCAATGTTATTGCTTCCTTCAGTATTCAGTCTGTTTCTTATATGGCTGCTATATAAATGCAATTTGTTGGGGTTGTGATTGTTGTTATGGTTGTTGTGGTAAATAAATTAAGCAGCTGGAACTAGTTTACTTCTGTAGCAAACCAGATATTCTAATGAAGAAGGCAAAAACTATTTTTGTTGAACATGTAATTTCTAATGCTTCAAGCAGTATAAACTAGGCATTAGAGGATTTCTATGTGGTGAACTGAGCCTTCTGGTCGGGTTCTACAAATAATAATCCTTGCATTTCATATAGCACCTTATCACAACGTTGAGATGTCTCACAGAATATATTGTAAAATGAATTGACTGTGCATTCCATGGGTGAAACACGGCAAACAATTATGCACAGCAGTGTCCCACAAACAGTTGTGGATTGAGTGACCAATTTTTTTTAAGGAATTATTACCCCTGGAGAAGCGATTTGCCAATCGACTAACAACTGTGTTCCTACTTACTACTAGTAAACAGAGGGGTATGAAGTAAAGAAACTTGCCTAACGTTTTGCCCTGCCCGGAAATTGAACCCGGATCCTCTCACTTGTGAGGTGAGTGCTAGCTAATACGCTACAGGACTCCATTTTGTGGGCGAACATGGCAGGTGATTTCCAGAAAACAAGATCATGGAGAATATTGGAAAGACCTACCCAAGGTCAGTAGAGAGATTAGGAGATGGGGCAGAATGACTTTAGGTACAGACTGAAGTCATTGAGGATAACATAACATAACATGTAGGAGCAGGAGTAGGCCATTCGGCCCTTCGAGCTTGCCCCGCCATTCAATCATGGCTGATCTTCTAATCTAATTCCAGCTAATAACCTGACCCCGCCTTACCCCCATATTCCCCTCCCCCCTCCCCTGCCTTATCCCCATATCCCTTAATCCCTTTTGCAATGAGAAATATATCTATCTCAGTCTTGAATGTGTTCAAGGACTGAGCGTCAACAGCCCTTTGGGGAAGTGAGTTCCATACATTCACTGCCCTTTGAGTGAAGAAGTTCTTCCTCAACTCAGTGCGAAAGGGCTGCCTCTGATTTTAAGGTTGTGACCCCTGGTATAAGTTTCTCCAACCAGGGGAAACAATCTCCCACTATCTACTCTATCATGGCCTTTGATGATCTTAAGGTTTCTATAAGATCCCCTCTAATTCTTCTATATTCGAGAGAATATAGGCCCAAACTGGTCAGCCTATCCTCATAACTCATCCCCTTCATCCCTGGTACTAACCGAGTACATCTACGGATGAGGAGGCTTAGTGTCCAGAGTGAGTTTGGTACAATAGGACAAAGGTACAAGGGAATTCCAATGAAGGAAGGGGAGATGGAGGATGGGAAAGGGTTATGAGAAAATGGGGGAAGCAAAAGGAAATTTAGAAATTGGAGGCCGGAAAATTAAGGAAATGAGCTTAAGCGGGATATAGATGGAAGACACAGAAATAGAGGACCTTGTGTCCTAGCAGATGAATGGAATTTTGCTATTTATACTTACAGCCAAAGGAACAGGGAGAATCCAGAGATGTACAGATTTCTTTGTGCTCTAAACAGCTTCATGTGAAAGTGATCATACACATTTGGAAACAGCTTTGCATCCTTTTCAACTGTGTGGCTTGCCGAGTATTTCCTCACTTCTCTGACAGCATCTACAAGCAGAGAAAGGTGTTTTAATATATAATTCTTATCTCAGACTTTTAGGTCCTTAAACTCAACTCATCCATTCATTTATGTTCTCTTCTCCTCCATTAACACGAACATTCACTCCTTACAGTTTAAAATTGCTTCAACATCTGGTTTCACTTAGGGTGCTTGATTATTTCCACTACTCAGTAACAACAACTTGCACTTATATAGTGCCCTCCACGCAGAGTGCTTAACAGAGGCGGAGCCTGACTCCGAGTCGGGGGGAGGGGGGGATTGCTTGCTTTGAGACTTCATCCTGATGTGAAAGGCACTATAAAAATGTAAACTGTACGGTATTGCTTGGCTTATTTATTATACAGAAATCGAACATCATTTGTGTAAGTCGTTTTACGTCTAAAATACTTGATGCACATATTCATAGTGGAAAGAGAATATTTGTTGTTTGACCTAACTCAACCAACTGTCCAATATAAAGAATAAGTCCTGTAGCTCAGTGGTTAGAGCACTCGCTTTGCAAGTGAGAGACCTGAGTTCAATTCCAGGCAGGTCAGGGCCAAACCTTGGGCAAGTTTCCTTGCTCCACACAGAGCCTAATAATAATCCCTCCAAAAACCCAAAACAATAATAAATTGGTCATTTTCAATCTACGATTGTTTGTGGGACATTGCTGCCGTGTTTGCCCACAAATATACAGTCAATTCACTTTACAGTGTGTTCTGTGAAGCGCTTTGGGACGTCCTCCCGACATGAAAAGCGCAATATCAAATACAAGGATTATTATTATTATTATTATTAATAATGTTCTACGTTCCAACCTAATTATATCCCTCAAAAGGGCAGATCTGGTTGGACCACATGAAAACTTACCGGTCCACCCTCAGCTCCGCTAAATTGTCCTTCTATTCCAAGGTAATCTTGGAGGGCAAGGACAACCCCACGCTTCTCTTCTCCAATACCAACTAGCTCCTTCGTCCATCCTCTCATGCCTCGCCCATCCTCTCCTCCAACTCAACTGTGAGGAGATGCTGGATTTCCTCAAGACCAAAATTGAGGGGATCCGTTCAGCTGCCTCCACCCTCCCAACCACCACCCCCTCCCCATCTCTCCCTCACACTCCGGCCCCTTCCTATCCCTCCCTCCACACCTTTGAACCTGTCTCCCCTTCCTCTCTCACCACCACTATAACCCGCATGAAGCCCACCAGCTGTTCCCTCGACCCCATTCCTACCCCTCTCCTTACCTTCCAGCTCCATCTCCTCGCCCCACTTACTCTCAGACCTTGTCAACTTCTCCCTGTCAACATTCCTACCCCCTAAAAACAGCTGTCATCACCCCTATCCTAAAAAACCTTTCCTGTGAGAAGAATCCTCACATTTAAACTAGAAAACAGGGTCATGTTTCATTCCTGTTTGTACTTTTTTTATTGACAACCAGTTATTGAATGCCTTAGATTAGCTCATCTGATAGCATCAACTTTGGCAATAATGGTCAAAGTCAGATTTCAAGGTCAAGTGACTGTCACAGTGATTTCCGAAACAAACAAGGTCATAAAAAATCACTCTGCGACCCTTCACCTTGGTTTCACAAGTAAATATTACACTGGTAATCTGCTCAACAACAATTCTGCACCTCCATTTACCCACATCACTATTCAATGCACTACTGGGAGGCGAGGCTGTGGAACTGGGCCCATATGTAAAATTATGTGCATGTGCACAAATTTACTAGCAACATGCACACACACAACGACCAGGTTTCATGAAACCAATCCTATTTTTTAGGATTATATTGTGTTGCAGTCAGGAAAGTTGGTCATCTTTGCTATTCCTAGTACATCTCCACCATTTTATCTGGGTCTGTGTTTTACCTTCTGATATAAAAGGCAAACATGGAGAGTTCCATCAAATTTGAGAGAAAAATATTTGTAACCCTTTATTTTTATATAAAACAAACTTACCAAAAAAAAGGACAACCAATATGATGATGATTGTCAGGAAAGCTCTGTTCCAGTACGAAGCAATTTTCCTCCAGAAACGAAAATTGAAAATCTGCAACCATCTGAAAAAAATGAGCACTTATTATACAAATTATCCATCGGAATTTAAGTGGACTCCCCCTGGAGCTGAGCTGGGAATATTTGGGGAGCAAAATATTAGAATCAGGTCAACCATCTGTGGTGGTCTTGACAGCCCAGTTCCTGAGCTGGTCAGATCCACAGTGCTCTATGGCACTGCTGGTGACAGACACTCACTGTGCTTCATCGTCAGGACTTGGACCAGGAGGAGGGATTCCTCCCATTCAGCTCCTGTTAACCCCGCAAACAAAATTTTTAAAGTGTAAGATGGTTCTGGATGGCAGGGTTTCTTGCCAGATATAGCGCTAAATGGCAAGCTACACAGTCTTAACTGATTAAATTCTTGCTAACCAGCCTGAATGTCTCTGGAATTAAGTAAGCAGGGTTTCCATGTCAGACACCTGGCTGACCACAAACAATTCCCCAAATAAGCATTCGACTTCATATTTAGAAACTATTGTAAAATCTAACAAAATTATATAACAAAATCTAACATTTTGCCATAATTCTGATTTAAGTTAGGTCCACATTACACAGTATAAGCATACCCAGCTAGGCTAAACCATGTGACTTTATGTTGGAGGTGTATTGCAAAATTGTAAGTCAATTTAAAAGTTATTAAGCTACAATTTGTAGGTTGAAATTTCTTTACATGACAATATTGATTTAGATAATTTTCTGCAAATTGAATTACTTCCAAAACAACCAATCCTCCTTAACTCAAAGCTTTGACATGGTTTAGGTAGATTTGACTCCATCAAATGCATGTGTATGCTCTAATGTATTATTCCATACCAGAATAAAAGTAAAAACTTAAAGATAACCAATGCTTTAGATCTGCAAGCTTACCTGGGAGGAGAGATGAATGGTAAACACAGAAGCAAAAGGCAACCTACTTCAACATACAGGAAAGATGCAACTGCTGTCCATTGCAGTGTCATTGTGTTCAATTAAATCTATCAACACAAACCAAACCATAATCAAACACAAGACAACAACAACTCGCATTAACACCCTTCATATAAGGGAATGCCTCATAGTCATAGCAAATTATAGTGACTGGGCTGGAGTAAGGGAGAGAGGAAAGGTGGAAGCAAGAGTTTGTGGTGGGAGGAGACTGCATGTTTGGTGCTCTTCTCGATTTAAGCAAACAACAACAACAATAACTTGGATTTATATAGCGCCCTCCACGCTGGACAGCGTCTCAGAACGCTTCACAATAACAGATCCCAGGGCCGAGCTGGGGGGAGGGGGAAGAAGGTGACCAAAGGCGCGGTTGAAAAGAAAGGAACATTCAGCAGGTCAGGTAGCATCTATGGAATAATAATAATAGTAATCCTTGCATTTGATATAGCGCTTTTCACGTCTTCTAGACATCTCAAAGCACTTCACAGAATAGACTGTAAAGTGAATTAACTCTACATTTCTGGGCAAAACACAGCAGCGAATTGCGCACAGCAGTGTCCCACAAACAGTCGTAGTTTGAAGTGACCAATTTATTACTGTTTTATTTTCTTGCGGGATTATTATCAGTCGTGTGGAGTAAGGAAACTTGCCCAAGGTTTCACCTGCCGGGAATCGAACCCAGGTCTCTCACTTGCAAAGCGAGTACACTAAGAAGAATCTGTGGAGGATTTTCCACAGATGTTGCCTGACCGGCTGAGTGTTTGCAGCGACTTCTGTTTTTGTAATCTGAAGGATTGTTGGCCAAACAAAATCCCTTCTCAAATATGGCCATAAGATTTTTTTTATATCAACCTCATGAAATAAGGCAATCCTAATATGATTTTACCCACAAAATATACAGTCAATTCACAGGAGCACAGACCTCACCCAAGCAGCGCTGATCACAACTGATCTCGATCTACCTTTATCATTTCAGTCTTTCTCTTGAAAATAAACAAGATAAATTTGAGTAGAGTGCGAGCAGCTTACATGAACTATTTATTGCCTGAAACTTAGGTTTTGTTGAGTTTATTATTTTGGAGGTATTTAATACAAAGAAAGCAACACACTATTTTATATTAATAATAATCCTTGCACAGCGCCTTATCACGTAATCGAGACGTCTCAAAGCGCTTCACAAGATACAGTGTACAGTGAGTTGACTGTATTTTGTATATATTTTAGCAAAGGTTATTATGGGATGCCAATACGGAAGCAGTGAAGCAATAATGCGGAAGTTACACTCAATCACCACAGATGAGATTAAAAATAACCGGTTCCTGTGTGGGGGCGGGGAACCGAACTGCACTGACGCTGGCAGTTTGCGAACTCACATTCCCCGAAACCTTGTCCAACAACAGCAGCAACAACAGCAACAGCAACAGCAACAACAGCAGCAGCAGCAGCAACAACAGCAGCAACAGCAGCAACAACAGCAGCAACAACAGCAACAACAACAACAACAGCAGCAGCAGCAGCAACAGCAACAACAGCAGCAGCAGCAGCAACAGCAGGGGGGGGTGCTGTGTGTAAGGGGGTTTATGGGGGGGTGCTGTGTGTAGGGGGGTCTATGGGGGGGTGCTGTGTGTAGGGGGTGTGTATGGGGGTGTACTCTGTGTAGGGGGTGTGTATGGGGGGGTGCTGTGTGTAGGGGTGCTGTGTGTAGGGGTGGTGTGTATGGGGGTGTGTGTTGTGTGTAGGGTGTGTATGGGGGGTGCTGTGTGTAGGGGTATGTATGGGGGGGTGCTTTGTATAGGGGTGTGTATGGGGGTGGTGCTGTGTGTAGGGGTGTGTATGGGGGGGTGCTGTGTGTAGGAGTGTGTACGGGGGGGGGGGGGCGGTGTGCGTATGGGGGGGTGCTGTATGTAGGGGTGTGTATGGTGGGGGGTGTATGTGGGGGGAGTGCTGTGTATGGGGGGGTGTGTGAGGGGGTGTGTGGGGGGGGGGTGCTGTGTATGGGGGTGTGTGTGTGGGGGGGTGCTGTGTATGAGGGGGGGTGTGAGGGTGTGTGTATGGGGGTGTGTGTATGGGGTGTGTGTGTGAGGGTGTGTGTGAGGGTGTGTGTGGGTGTGTGTATGGGGGTGTGTGTGTGGGGGGTGCTGTGTATGGGGGGGGTGTATGGGGGGGTGCTGTGTATGGAGGTGTGTGTGAGGGTGTGTGTGTGGGTGTGTGTATGGGTGTGTGTGTGGCTGATGCTGTGTATGGGTGTGTGTGTGGGGTGCTGTGTATGGGGGGGGGTGTATGGGGGTGTGTGAGGGTGTGTGGGGTGCTGTGTATGGGGGGGTGCTGTGTATGGGTGGGTGTGAGGGTGTGTGTGTGTGAGGGGCTGTGTGAGGGTGTGTGTGTGTGTGTGTGATGGGGCTGTGTGTGTGTGTGTGGGGGGCTGTGTGTGGGTGTGTGTGAGGGGCTGTGTATGAGTGTGTGTGAGGGTGTGTGGGTGTGTGTGTGGGTGTGTGTGGGGCTGTGTGTGGGTGTGTGTGTGGGTGTGTGTGGGGCTGTGTGTGAGGTGCTGTGTGTGTGTGTGTGTGTGTGAGGGGCTGTGTGTGGGTGTGTGTGTGTGAGGGGCTGTGTGTGGGTGTGTGTGAGGGTGTGTGTGGGTGTGTGTGTGTGTGAGGGGCTGTGTGTGTGTGAGGGGCTGTGTGTGAGGGTGTGTGAGGGGCTGTGTGTGGGTGTGTGGGGGGCTGTGTGTGGGTGTGTGTGTGGGGGGGCTGTGTGTGGGTGTGTGTGTGTGAGGGGCTGTGTGTGGGTGTGTGTGTGTGAGGGGCTGTGTGTGGGTGTGTGTGAGGGTGTGTGTGGGTATGTGTGTGTGTGTGAGGGGCTGTGTGTGTGTGAGGGGCTGTGTGTGGGTGTGGGTGTGTGTGTGTGTGAGGGGCTGTGTGTGAGGGGCTGTGTGTGGGTGTGTGTGAAGGTGTGTGTGTGGGGCTGTGTGTGTGTGTGTGTGTGAGGGGCTGTGTGTGGGTGTGTGTGAAGGTGTGTGAAGGGCTGTGTGTGGGTGTGTGAGGGGCTGTGTGTGTGGGTGTGTGTGAGGGGCTGTGTGTGTGTGTGTGTGAGGGTGTGTGTGAGGGGCTGTGTGTGGGTGTGTGTGAGGGTGTGTGTGTGTGTGAGGGTCTGTGTGTGGGTGTGTGTGAGGGGCTGTGTGTGGGTGTGTGTGAGGGGCTGTGTGTGTGTGTGAGGGGCTGTGTGTGGGTGTGTGTGAGGGTGTGTGTGTGGGTGTGTGTGAGGGTGTGTGTGTGTGTGAGGGGCTGTGTGAGGGGCTGTGTGTGGGTGTGTGTGAGGGTGTGTGTGTGGGGCTGTGTGTGTGTGTGTGGGGCTGTGTGTGGGTGTGTGTGTGTGTGAGGGGCTGTGTGTGGGTGTGTGTGTGTGTGAGGGGCTGTGTGAGGGGCTGTGTGTGGGTGTGTGTGAGGGGCTGTGTGTGGGTGTGTGTGAGGGTGTGTGTGTGGGTGTGTGTGAGGGTGTGTGTGTGTGTGAGGGGCTGTGTGTGTGGGTGGGGCTGTGTGTGGGTGTGGGTGTGTGTGAGGGGCTGTGTGTGTGTGTGTGTGAGGGGCTGTGTGTGGGTGTGTGTGTGTGTGTGTGAGGGGCTGTGTGTGGGTGTGTGTGTGTGTGAGGGGCTGTGTGTGTGTGTGTGTGAGGGGCTGTGTGTGGGTGTGTGTGAGGGTGTGTGTGTGGGTGTAACTTACCTGTGTGTGTAACTCGCTCAGAAGGAACTTCAAACCGCCTCTGGCGTTAACGCGCCCGACCGCACGCAGCGTGACGTCACCACGCACAGCCCTGGCCAGTGGGCCCCGCTCCGCGTGGTGGAGGGCGGGGCCAGAGAGCTGCTCCCGTGCAGCACGTGACTGTGTGACTGACCCTCCACTCAGCTCCTGGGCTTCTCGGGCTCCAACTCCCACAGGTGGCAACTCGCCGCCCACTGCAACCACAGTGCCTTGGCCAACCCAACCCACCCAACCCAACCCAACCCACCCACCCCACCCACCCCACCCAACCCAACCCAACCCACCCAACCCAACCCACCCAACCCACCCAACCCACCCACCACACCCAACCCACCCAACCCACCCACCCAACCCAACCCACCCAACCCAACCCACCCAACCCACCCAACCCCCACCCACCCAACCCACCCAACCCACCCAACCCACCCACCAACCCACCCAACCCAACCCACCCAACCCACCCACCCAACCCACCCAACCCAACCCAACCCACCCAACCCACCACCACCCAACCCAACCCACCCACCCAACCCACCCAACCCACCCAACCCAACCCACCCCACCCCACCCAACCCACCCCACCCAACCCCACCCAACCCACCCCACCCAACCCACCCACCCCAACCCACCCAACCCAACCCACCCACCCACCCCACCCAACCCACCCACCCAACCCACCCCACCCACCCACCCCCACCCCACCCACCCACCCCACCCAACACACCCCACCCAACCCAACCACCACCCAACCCACCCCACCCACCCACCCAACCACCCACCCACCCACCCACCCACCCCACCCCACCCCAACCCACCCCAACCCACCCCACCCCAACCCACCCCACCCCAACCCAACCCACCCACCCAACCACCCCACCCAACACACCCCACCCAACCCACCCCCAACCCAACACACCCACCCAACACACCCACCCACCCCACCCCACTCCAACCCACCCAACCTACCCACCCAACACACCCCACCCCACCCACCCCACCCACCCACCCACCCCACCCCAACCCACCCAACACACCCACCCCACCCACCCCACCCAACACACCCCACCCCACCCACCCCACCCAACCCAAACACCCAACCCAACCCAACCCACCCAACCCCACCCACCCACCCCCACCCACCCACCCCCACCCAACCCACCCCACCCACCCCACCCCACCCCCACCCACCCCACCCCCACCCACCCCACCCCCACCCAACCCACCCCACCCACCCCACCCAACCCACCCACCCCACCCACCCCACCCCAACCCACCCACCCCACCCAGGCATTCTCGGGCATTGTTGGACAATGAGCCTTATACAGACATTCACTCTTGTTTCAGTTTTAATGTTTCATGTGGGCATTGAGAAAAGCTCATTTGACCACTCAAGTTTGTTTTTTCCAGGACGAGCCCAATTTCCCATGTCATGATTTGGGAACACATCGTATCACATGGTTAAGGTTTTATAATGCACCCGAGTCTGGCGGACATTAATCCGGTGAACAACAACAACAACTAATATTGAAATATCAAGATTAGTTATAAGGGGCTATGGACAACAACCCAAGTAAAGAAGAAGCATAATTTTTAGAAATGATAGGCACTTTGAAAAATACGAGTTTACCTTTCTATCTAAATATTGCAAGTTGTTCTGTCATTCCAGCACTGGACTTAGGCCAGAAGATAATGGCTCATATTTTTGGTGTATCCACATGGCTCTTCACTCTTTTGAGGTAAACAACACAGGCTCAAGGTTGTGTTTCACTAAGTAGCTGTGTGTGAGGTTGATCAAAAATGTATATAAAAATTTTAGAAGTTTCCTTTTCCTGGGCACAAAATCCTCCACTATTTTCTAGAGTAATTTTCTAATATTTTGTACCAAAATACTAGGAAGGTACAAAATATTTCAGTGAGTTTTTCCCCCCAAATTCAACTTTGCAAATCTTATTGATTTTATTCCCTATATACAGGAAACGACTTAACATCATATTCAGTAACATAACTTTTTAAAAATCACTTATAGTAACAAAAAAAATTAAAAAATTCACAACTGGGGAATGAAGAATCGCAACTTTAGATTATAAGCATTTTTTTTGTATAAACTCAGCCATATTTAAAAGACTGATAAATTATGTTGTGTCTAACCACTTTGCTCTCCTATATGCTTCACAGGATTGAGAGCTATCATACATCTTTCATTCTTATAAATACAACATATCCATCCTCAGAGTTCTTCCCAAAGTCTCACAAGTCATAATGGCCACTAAGATAGTCTAAAACAGCCGAAGTGCTTGAAAGCACATTAAAAATTCTCTTCTCTTGTCTTGACGTTATTCGTTCCAGCATGTACATCAAATGATGATGAAAACAGGTAAAGGGAGTTCCATGCTCCAGGGCAATTTCAACCCAGTCCCGAACACACTGCAGAGGGGTTTCTTCATACCCTGCAAACATAGCCGGGTTTGCCAAAAGGCCACGTGCCGCCATAACACCTGTGGGTCGTGAGCAAAAGCAAGCAACTGAAAATTGAACACACACATTCAAAGGCATGATCATACTTTTGGCCATCTCCCTCTAATAATAAAAATAATAATCCTTGCATTTGATATAGCGCTTTTCATGTCTTCTTGACGTCTCAAAGCGCTTCACAGAATATACTATAAAGTGAATTGACTGTATATTTGTGGGTGAAACGCAGCAGCCAATTGCACACAGCAGCGTCCCACAAACAGTCGTAGATTGAGAATGACCAATTTATTATTGTTTTTGGTTTTGGAGGGATTATTATTAGGCTCTGTGTGGAGTAAGGAAACTTGCCCAAGGTTTCGCCCTCTGCCTGGAATTGAACCCCGGTCTCTCACTTGCAAAGCGAGTGCTCTAACCACTGAGCTACAGGACTCCACACTATGAGAAGCTAGAATTACGGTGCACTGTGCAGTTCATAAAAATAATTTCAGAAATGTTTTCAGTAATATTATTACAGTTTTGTTTCCTATGTTTATTTAAGTTTAGTTAATTAGTATATTATATAGTAGTCTTGACCTTGTACTGTTTTTTAGGGATTTCGGGTGGTAGAGGACACAGGATACAATTTGTCCAAGTTTAACCATAGTTATAATAAATTATCAATTGAATCTCAGAATCCTTTCAGCTTACAACAATAAATAATATACATGTGTAACCATTTTTTCTTTCCTTCCATCCAATTCTGTCTGACTTTCATTTGCCTTTGAATTAACTCAGTACAATATGGCATCAGTGATCCTTTCATACCTCAACCAGTTAATTCAGGGTTAGTCTAAGAAGGGAACATTTATATACTATTTAACCATGGGTCCATCACCAGCCTTAACTTCATCAGATTCTCACAATTATGGAAAATGCAGCCATAATTTGAAAGCTTGCCTTTTTAACAACTGTAGAACCTGGCTTAGATAGTAAGACTCAATGTAAGACATTTCTGTAACTCTGAGAGACCTTAAACTTTACGACATAATAGTTGTACAGGCTGAAAGTAGATAGAACTTCAGACCTCAGGTGCTCACGCACATACACATACACTTCTGAAAGGATTATCAAAATTATCAAAAGTGTTTTCTCAATGTTTTCCTTTTTATAGCAGACGTATACTACTGGCCCCGAATGAGAATGGATCATAATTTAACCTTATTTTCTTCAATTTGTTCCAGTGCTTAGAGTTGCAATAGGGATGAACAAATATATGATGCAACATAAATATGTTCTGCATTTTAAAAGATTTTCTGTCCTACTACATTACAAAATCATTTCTACCTTTATATACCCAATTTATTACCATGCAAACCTCCGATTCTGAGACCAAAATAAAAGGCAAGTCTGTACCTACTTTTCAATAAATTTAGGAAGATATAGAAAAAAATATTTTGGTCAGGCAGTGCCACCTACCATCAATGCCAGTGCTCTGATGCAGAAAGTCAATATCTTTTTTGCCCCTTACATCGCCATTTGCCACGACTGGTACAGTTAAGTTCTCTTTAATAATCTTGATGGCATCATAGTGCACTGGTTGGTGCCGCTCTTCCACTGTTCTGCCGTGTACAGTAACCCAGGAAACTCCAGCTGCCTCCACCTTTCGACAGAGATCTACAGTTCTTGCTAGGTCTTTATGTATTCTGGAATAAAAATAGATCACAAAGTACAAAACAACAGGGTTTAGCCTACAGTAAAACAGGATATTACTGCTGTGAGACTACAATCTAAATTAATACTTATACTATTAATCTGGACTGTATCATGCATTTACATACACAAAAGTCAAGTACAGTCAAACCTGTCTTCAACAGTCACTCAGGAGCCTGGGCCAAAGTAGTCTTTATACAAAGTAGTCTTTATACAGTCTGAGTAAAGGTTTGTTGGTGTGCAAACTGGGCTGCCCGGGCTGTTCCAGAGAGTTTGTTAACAAGAGGTTGTTGCTTGAACAGGTTTGACTGTAGCCCCAAAACACTGATGGCAACATAATTCATTATTATAATAAATATATATATTTTAAACTGTAACAATTTAATAGTGAGGGCTTCCCCTGTTTGTGGTATAAAGATCATCCCTAAAAAGACTTCATGCATTAGGTATTTTCTGGTCTAAATATGGTATATACAATAAATTTAAAATAATTTGTCAAAACAAGTCTTGCATATAATTAAAATATTTTGGTTCACTTATTGTGTGAGGATAATATTGTATATCTATCTAATATTTGTACTGTTCAGTATTTTACAATTAAATTCAATAAAGGTATACAGGTCTACAAGTAAAAAATGTTATTTGAAGATAATTTACCGTTATATCACCCATGCTACTATGAGAGAATTATGAAGCATCGATATACGCTTAAGCAATTAATTCCAAAACTAGATGCTTTATTATTTGCTTTTAGTAATATGATTTTACCTTATCTTAATGGAAACTGAAAAATTAGGCAATTCCACTTGATTCCTGACCTGACGAACCATGTCCCGAACAAGTTGTGGTTTATTGATTAGGCAAGCGCCGTATCCCTCTGCCATTGCCCATCTTCCAAAATACAAAATAGAATGATTGATAAAGCATTGATTACTGAATGAAAAGTAGTACATAAACTTTGTACTACACAATTAAAAATAACATGAAAGACAAGTGTTTGTATAAAGGATTTCCCCCCTACCCTGGCATTATAATTTGAGGTTACTTTTACAGTAATTTACATTTACACTGTGCCTTTCATGTCAGGAGGACGTCTCAAAATTGAGAGTGTGAGCTGGAGTGGGGGAAAGCTGAGGAAGGTTATGGGAGGGGGCGGGGGAAGGTGACCAAAAGGTTGAAAATGAAACATCTTAAAATGGGCTTTAAAAGTGGGGAGGGAATGGGGAGACAGAGGGAACAGGTTAAAGATCCAGAAACAAAATACAAATCATTTTAAAGTTTAATTTACCTCTGTGGACATCCACAGTTCAAGTCAACACCATCGGCAAAAGGAGAAACTATACAAGCAGCATCAGCTAGTTCCTGTGGACAATTAGTAGCAAACTGCACAACCAGTGGACGATCAACTGTCAAAATAAAATTCACGCTTTAAGGAACAATTCTTCCTTGAACTATTTTGCTTGGTTAAACAATTTTTTCTTTCATTAAAAATGTCCCTCATTTTATAGGTAAGGGCTCAGAAGCTCAATATCTGCACCAATTGGAACCCAGGTAGATGTAAATGGAAACAGTGCAGATATCCTGCAAAATACAATGATGAGCCTCCCCCACTAGAACTTAAATTGTTATTATACACCTTCCCACTTAGTGCTAATCTATTCCATCTCTCTACTTCTCGTTTCTAACCTTGTACTGTCCATTTCTCACATCTCTGACTATCTCACATAGCCATTAAGATGTATACCAAGGAAACCATTTTCCTAACTGGGTGAAATGCTGATTGTTGATTGTGAACAATTATAGATGATCATCGACAACATTGTCTTTGATTAGTTCCCAGCCTTTACACGTTACAGTTAACCAGACATTGAATTATCCAACAAAATGCAAAATACTGCAGATCCTGGAAACCTGAAAACAAAAACAGAAGTGGCTGGGAACACTCAGCAGGTCAGGCAGCATCTATGGAGAAAGTGAGTCAACATTTCGGGTCATAGCCCCGAAACGTTCTTACGAAGGGACGTGGACCTGAAACGTTGACTCACTTTCCTTTCTCCATACATGTTGCCTGACCTGCTGAGTGTTCCCAGCCACTTCTGTTTTTGTTTATTAAACTATCCAACCTTTGCAAAGCCTCAACTCAATGTCAAACCCATAGTCTCAAAGTATATTGAGTGTTGTCTCATTGTCCAGTGAAATCCTACTGACTATCAAAGTACCCGGATGGTAAATTTACCAACAATAGAGATCCACAATGTAATTTTCACTTTATTTCCAGATTCATCAGATAAATCATACTTGCAAGTAAAAGACTGTTTACCATAAGTTGTTGTGAATTCACTATCTCTGGCTTTGCTCGACTTCAGAAAGGCAGAGGCAATGATCATTGGAGTAAAACATAGTTCACAATTATACTTTCTGACCAGTGTTCTAAATCCCAACCTAAAGGATAAATGCAGAAATACTGTTAGCCATATAAAATACAGTATTCTAATTTTAATGAGAGTGGAATTGGAGTAATGGCCATGGTATAACTTACTTTGAATATCGGACCATGGGTGCACAAATGTTTACAACATGGCCAGGCTGAAACAGATCGACTAGACATCTTTGGTGCCTTGATGTTGACAGGTATTCACCATTCATGGGAAAGGTCAGTCGCTTTCACCTGTGCTGCAAAATCAAAATTGCTAGTTTACTAATCTACTGAGATTTTTATAAAATAGAGTGATAAGCCTAAGGAGCAAAATACAATAGATTAATTATTATCCAGTGCTGTATTTTCTTGGGAATTTTTCTGCCTTTGGGTATGAAATATCTTTAACCCTGCAGCCAAAGCCCTAAATGGGAGGCTGGTCTGAGCTGGACAAGCAGCGGGAAGCTTGGCCTGACAGCGCTCTCGATGGCCAAGCTGTGTGTGGGTTTAGCTGGTTAGACACCAGCAGTTACCCCAGCGCACACTCTGGGCTCCCCCCAAGCCTTGGCTCTTACCAACCTGCGCCTAATACTCCCCAGAATTAGGTAAGTAGGATGTGTCCCTCCAGGGAGAGAGAGAGAGAGCGCATTCCATCCCAACATTAACATAACATAACATGTAGGAGCAGGAGGAGGCCATCCGGCGCTTTGAGCCTCTGCCCCGCCATTCAATCACGGCTGATCATCTAATCTAACTCCAGCTAATAACCTGACCCTGGTATCCCCATATTCCCCCCCACCCCCAGCCTCCCCCCACCCCCCCCCCAGCCTCCCCCCCCCCCCCCCCGCCTCCCCCCCCCCCCCCCGCCTCCCCCCACCCACAGCCTTACCCCCATATCCCTTAATCCCTTTTGCAATAACAATCTCTCTCTGGGATTCCCAGTTGGGATGGGATGGGATGTAGGGATTCCCAGTTGGGATGGGATGGGATGTGGGGATTCCCAGTTGGGATGGGATGGGATGTGGGGGATTCCCAGTTGGGATGGGATGGGATGTGCGTTGGAGACTGTTACACACGTTGATGGGTTTGTATGTGTGTCAGACACTCGGCTGATCACAAGCAATCAGCAGATTATATGATTATATACTGTACCGGGGGGGGGGGTACCGGGGGGGGTACGGGGGGGGGGTACGGGGGGGGGGGGTACCGGGGGGGGTGTGCACGGGGGGGTACCGGGGGGGGGGGGGTATCGGGGGATATGGACTGTACCTGAAGTGACGGTGACGCTGTTCGCGCGCAATTTGAGCGTCACGTTCCCAGCAGCCTGTGCGCGACAATTAACGTCACCAACATGGCGGCGGCGCGGGGCTGGGAGTCAGGACTGTTACTGGAGGGTGAGGAGCTGTGTCTCTCTCTCGCTGTCTGTCTCTGTCTCTCTCTCTGTGTCTCTGTCTCTCTCTCGCTGTCTCTCTCTCTGTCTCTGTCTCTCTGTCTGTCTGTCTGTCTCTCTCTGTCTCTGTCTCGCTGTCTCTGTCTGTCTCGCTGTCTCTGTCTGTCTCTCTCTGTCTCTGTCTCGCTGTCTCTGTCTGTCTCTCTCTCTCGCTGTCTGTCTCTCTGTCTCTCTCTCTGTCTGTCTCTCTGTCTCTCTCTCTCTCTCTGTCTCTCTGTCTCTGTCTGTCTCTCTGTCTCTGTCTGTCTGTCTGTCTCTCTGTCTCTCTCTCGCTGTCTGTCTCTCTGTCTGTCTCTGTCTCTGTCTGTCTCTCTGTCTCTGTCTGTCTGTCTCTCTCTGTCTCTCTCTCTCTGTCTCTCTCTCTCGCTGTCTGTCTCTCTGTCTCTCTCTGTCTCGCTGTTTCTGTCTGTCTGTCTGTCTCTCTGTCTCTGTCTGTCTGTCTCTCTCTGTCTCTCTCTCGCTGTCTGTCACTATAACACCTCATAGACACTGCAAGTAATAATAATTCCTGCATTTGACACAGCGCGTTATCACCTCATTGAGACGTCTCAAAGCACTTCACAGAATACACTGTAAAGTATAGTGACTGTGTATTTTATGGACGAAACGCAGCAGCCAGTTGCGCACAGCAGCGTCCCACAAACAGTCGTGGATTAAGAAACCAAATTAATATATTTTTTTGAAGCAATTATTATCCCCGGAAACACGATCCACAAATCAACTAACAACCAGGTTCCTACTAACTGCTGATAAACAGAGGAATAAGGAAACTTGCCAACGTTTTGCCCCCTACCCGGGAATTGATGTTGGGCTCCTAGTTTAGGCATTTCAGGGTAATGCTGGGAGAGCGCTGCATTGTCAGTGTCGTCCCTTAATAATCCTTGCATTTGATATAGCGCTTTTCACGTCGGGAGGACGTCCCAAAGCGCTTCACAGAACACACTGTAAAGTGAATTGACTGTATATTTGTGGGCGAACGCGGCAGCCAATTGCGCACAGCAATGTCCCACAAACAGTCTTAGATTGAAAATGACCAATTTATTATTGTTTTGGGTTTTGGAGGGATTATTATTAGGCTCTGTGTGGAGTAAGGAAACTTGCCCAAGGATCACTTTTCTGGGGGTAATAATCCCTTCAAAAAAAAAATAATATATAAATAACACTATTGTCACTCAATCTACGACTGTTTGCGGGACGCTGCTGTGCACAATTGGCTGCCGCATTTCCCCTACAAAATATAGTCAATTCACCTTACAGTATATTCTGTGAAGCGCTTTGAGACATCTTGAAGATGTGATAAGGCGCTATATCAAATGCAAGGATTATTACTATCATTATTTACATGAAAGGTGCAATATAAATGTCAGTTGTTTATTAACATAATACCATACTACTTTTCAGAATGCTATACGGAATTCTTGAAAGAAGAATTTGATGTAAAGACCTATACCGCTCAATCCATTCATCAAGCAGTAATAGTTGAACAATTGGCAAAACTTGCACAAGGGATCAGCCAACTGGATAAAGAACTTCACATCCAGGTAAGCAGACTAAATGTGCATCTTTGATTTAAGTTTAAGCATCTAGCCATGAATATGGTTGAAATTGTTTTATCTAATAGATAATAAGGAACATTTTGATTTCCACAAATTTATATTTAATTTAATCAGAATACCTTTATGTATACATGTTGAACTTTCGCAGTTTTGTCTTCCATGCTAATAACCATGGTATTGTTCTATTTTGTAAATATTTACTAAAAACAAACAATAATTTCAAGATGGAATAAAATACCTAGCCTAACCATCCACCTTTCCAAACCATTTACTTAACATATTTACTCTTAAAATAGTTACCATTTGTGATTCAAACTGGTTGTAATTTGAGGATTGATCAGTGTTATATTAGACATAAAACACAGAAGATGTTTCATGCTGACACCCAATAAGTGTACCAAGATAAGTATAGCATAAGTTTGATGTATCTCCCAGACTTCGTCTGAAGTTCAGAAGGGCACACACACTAGGCATCCTCATGGCCTCCACTAAATGACATTGCCGGTTACTGTGAAATTGTCAAATCTGATTTTGATGTGGACTTTAATCATTTTAACATTGTTATTCTTTGCATTCTAAATAAAGGAGAAATTAGTGATATCACTACTTATATTTCCATAGGTTGTGGCAAGACATGAAAACCTTCTAGCTCAAGCCACTGGAATCGAGTCACTGGAAGGTAAATACTGCTGTTGAAAGCAATATTTTTCAATCTATTTATACTATATATTAGCAGTGTGAATCTATGTATTAGCAGTGTGAATCTGTATAATTTAAACCACCATTTAAATGCTTAACTTTTTGGTGACATCAAGCACAGGCATGGACTGCGATTGATATATTGTGGATTATCCACAAATCTACCTCTCTACTGCTGTCATGACAAGCTGCCTATCAGACAAGAAGTCCTGTATGAGTATTAACTTCCTTCAACCGAAAGTCAAAAAACCTGGCAAACCCAAACCACCTCTGGCTCCGACACTATTAACCTCGCAGCCGCCCACTGCAGATTACACAATCAGTGTGCAATCTTGATAATTTGTTTGACCTTCAGCTCAAGTCTGGTCCATGTCCCCTCACCTTAAATGCTTCCTCCTTACACTGTGGATTCAAAATCCTCTGAAACCATTCTTCTTTCCATGAACCTTCGGCCATCATCCTTGTAAACCCTCTATCCCACAATGTTTGGTTTCCCTCTCTGTCCACGTGAAGTGCTTGGAGACGTTTTTCAACATGAAAGGTACTGCATAGTCTAAAGTTAAATCCTCACAAAGTGGAAAATTAATTTTATGCCTTGTTAAAGAACTTTCAGCAATGAAGCAATTTCACTTTATTGCTCGATGTATGCTTCTACCCTTTGTAAGGTTAAACGTTCTTAGAATAGTTCTAAACTATAATGCAAGTCAAATAAAAGGTCTTTTGGGTATCAGTGCATTATATTTAGTTACTGACCATATTATGCTTTTGTAATACTGCTGAGATATGGATTTAGTAGGATGATGTATACTTCAATTTATTTATTAGAAATGCTCTAAATGATAGTTCTTAGTCGAACAAATTAACTGACTAACCTGAATCAGAACTTGTGTGGACTGTAGAGTGACTAAACTTTGGTTTTCAGGTGTGCTTCAGATGATGCAGACCAGAATTGCTGCTCTGCAGGGAACTGTTGACCGGTAAGTGCAAACCTGACATTTTGACTATAATAATCTAATAGAAAACTAGAATAATTATGTTGTTTGAAATAATATGGATGTACTGTTTTCACTGGTTATGTTTGAAGTGTTTTTTTTGGCCAGCTAGGTTGGCGCATGTGGAGTCCCATCACCATGCCTAAAAGTATCCAAACCAGACTGAGAATTCCATGTGTGACTCCTACACATGGATGTTTCTGTATCTGGAATGGAATGCCTGTCAACTCTGGAGGAATGCACCCTGGCAGAGAGTCTTGGGCTCAGGTTGGCAAGAGCCAAAGTTTGGGGGATCACCAAAGTGTGCATTGGGGTAACTGCTCAAATTTAATCAACTAAAATGGCATATCTTGTTAGTCGATTGGAGGATCGCTTTTCCGAGGGTAACAAACCCTTCGAAAAAAAATAATAATAATAATAATTTGGTCACTCAATCCATGACATTTTGTGGGACGCTGCTCTGCGTAATTTGCTGCCACATTTTACCCACAAAATATACAGTATAATCTGTGAAGCTCTATGAGGCGTCTTGAAGACATGATAAATCGCTGTATCAAATGCAAGGATTATTATTTTATTTATTTATCTGTCTGGCAAGCTTTCCCTCTGCTTGTCTAGCTAGGGCAGTCCTACACATTAGGGATTTGGCTTGCAGGGTTAACAGGAGCTGAGTGGGAGGATTCCCTGTCCCAGTGACTGGTCTGCCCTTCCAGATCCTGCCGATGGATACCACTGACAATTAGACCATGAGAATTTTAGCTGATATTAATAGAAATTGTCATCCTAAGAATGTAAGTTTATATGCACTCCCTATTAATGTACCAGAGATAGAAATGTTTGTAATTTGTCCTTTACCTATAAATATACTGTAAAATAGAGTGACTGTATTTTGTCGGCAGACAAATTGGTCCCAGTAATGTCCCACAACCAGCCATGAAGTGAATGACCAATTTTATTTTGGGGGATTGTTGACCAGGACATTGGGGAAAAACTCTCCTGTTTATGAATAGTGACACAGGATCTTTAATGTCCACCTGAAACAGGTAGACAACACTTCGGTTAAATGTTGCATCAAAGGTGGCACCTTCAACAATCCAACAACAACAAATTAAACTTGTATAAAGCCTTTCACAACGGAAAGACGTCCCAGAGCGCTGGACAGTTGGGGTCGAGGGGCGTGGAGGGCAGGGGGCAGGATCCAGACCATCATTGGAGTGTCAGCCCGATGTAGTTCTGTTTAACAGGAGCGCCTATTTGAATGGTTTTGTTTTCTATTGCTTGTAGCTTATGAAAAGTTAGTTCAGGTTTGACTAATCTGAATGTGGAATATAGTTTTTTCACACAATGAGGAATAAAAAAAAGGCTTTTATGTGAAAGGAAATTCATATATTTGCTTTTCTTTCCTTATCCCGGTTCATGTTTTTTCTTGTTAACAGGATAAGAGTAAAAATTGTTGATCCTTACAACAAGATTGTAGCTCGTACCGCACAGTTGGCTAAATTACAGGTACCGTATATCATGAGTTGTTTTGCATTTTCTCTTCATTGTGTAATAGAGAGCCAGTGGGGCCTGGCAAGGGGGTGATAGTATGGAATCTGGTGCTGGTATAGGTACGGATGACAGAGTTTTAAAATGACTGGATTTATGAATGGTTGAGATGGGGAGCCAGCGAGGAGGGCCTTGGAATAATGGAGGTGGGAGGTGCCGAACACATGGATAAAGGTTTTGACTACGTTGGGTGTGAGGTACGATTGGAGACGGGCAATGTAGCAGAGATGGAGGAAAGCGGTCCTGGCCAGGGACCGATGTTGGGTAGGAAGTAGTTGTGGAATGAACCTGATACCTAAGTTTTGCACAGGTTCAGTAAATCTGAGGTATAGGCCAGGGAGGATAAGGAGCTCCAAGCGCAGTTGAGACGAAGTTGACGGGAGCCAAAGAGTATGGCTTCCGTCTGGTCAACATTCAGCTGCAGAAAGTTGGTGCTTGTCTAGGCCTTGATGTCTGGGGTCACAGCTAGAGGAGAAGTAAATTTGGGTGTCATTGACACCCAAGTGGAAGTTGACCCCATGTCTCCGGATGACAACGCCAGGAGGGAGCATGTAGATGAGGAAAAGAAGGTCAATAATGGAATCTTGGGGTACGCTGCAGATGATTGTGGGGGGTGGGAGGAAAAAAACTGTTTGTAGAGATGAAGTAATGGTGGTTGGTTAAGCAGGATTCAAACCAAGAGAGTGCAGTCCCACTAAGGTAGATGAGGGAGGAGAGGCGGTCAAGGATGATGATGTGATTGACTGTGTTGAAGACAGTGGAGAGGTCCAGGAGGAGGCAGAGGGCGCTCTGGTCATTGGGGAGGGAGGGAGAGAGAGAGCGCGTGACTTTGATGAGCTCTGTCTTGGGGCTGTGGGCAGGTGCAAACTGGACTGGAGGGGCTCAGGTATGGAGCAGAGGGAGAGGTGAGGGGCTGGAGTATGGACTGAGGTGAGGGGCTACAGTATGGAGTGGGGGGAGAGGTGAGGGGCTGGAGAGTGAAGGGAGAGGTGAGGGGCTGCAGCATGGAGTGAGGTGAGGAGCTGGAGTATGGAGTGAGTGAGGGGCTAGAGTATGGAGTGGGGGGAGAGGCGAGGGGCTGGAGTATGGAGTGGGGGGAGAGGTGAGAGGCTGGGTATGGAGTGGGGTGAGAGGCGAGGGGCTACAGTATGAAGTGGGGGGGAGAGGTGAGGGGCTGGAGTATGGAATGGGGGGTGAGTTGAGGGGCTGGAGCATGGAGTGGGGGAAGAGGTTTAAGTGAAGTTGGTTGACAACACGTTTCAGGACTTGTCCACACGCAAAGCTCTGTTTTTCACCCAATGCTCTGTGTTTTTAACAGTTTAAAGCAGTCAGTACCTAGTAATGTAGTTCATGCTGATCTACTGCACTTGTACGATGGGAAGTTAAATGTTCTTATTTGTTTCCTATTCTTAAATTATAGTATTATTTGAACTTTCAGCTCATTATTAGCAGCGATTTTGAAAAAGCTTTGTTTTGTGAGCAATCATATTGTTAATAAATTCTTTAAATGTAAATTTTCTTAGGTAATTTACAATTCTAGCCCCTCACAAACACTTGACCAAGTACAGTACAGCATAATGTATAAATATACAAACCCAAATGTATCCCTGTTATTATCTTTTAAAACCTTTTTTTACTGACTGGAAATAGCATTTACAAATTCAGTGTCTACAGAAAGGAGTCAGTAAAATAAACTTATATTTATAACTTTATTCAGGCAGCTTGTGATTTGCTTCGACGGATAATCCGAATCTTGTACCTAAGTAAACGTCTGCAAGGTCAGCTCCAGGGTGGCAGCAGAGAAATTACCAAGGCTGCTCAGAGCCTCAATGAACTAGGTGAGTAGAGTATTAGCCTTGTTATAAGGTGGGTGGGTTTGTTATAAGGCATATTTGCTTGACATGATTGGAAATGTTGACTGGGGATCTGATGGACCTCAACTAAAAAATGGCCACTTTGCAAGTCAACAGGTCTATTGTAGTACAGTAAAATTCACAATTATTATTACAAGTTTTATCTTTATAAATCATATAATCACCTAAGTCGTACATGCACCCGAGACCCATTCAGTTTGTTATCAAAACCACTTAGATTTCTTTGCATTAGTCATACTAATTTCTCGTAACTCCACTCCCCTACCCTCCATTATTCCCGCACTTATTGGCTGTATGGAATCGCGGGAACCTAGTGACCTGATCTGTTGCCAAATGCACAGAAGAACTTCATTTCCCACGATTTAATGCGATTCCAACGCTTGCCTGTAAGTGAGCATCTGGCAACCGGTCAAGTCACATTGAATCACAGGAAACGTAGTATTGACCCGTCACCACATGTGCACTTACCAACTGCATTAAGTTACCCATGTGCTGTGTACATTATTGATTAAATTGGGTTTTATATGACTTGTACAAGTTTGCCTGTAACTCGGACTTCACATAAATCATAGCAAGTGTTATGGTGATGGCTGATGCATCTTATGTGAGTGTTGCTGTATTTAACTATACATTTTTAATTCAAATACTTTCTGTTCAAACTATTGTACTTGGAAACACTTTCATATATATCTTGTATAATCAATTCGGTAACTTGCTAAAATCTTTACATCAGAAATAATAGAAAATTATATTTTTTTATCTCATGACTACAACAACAACAAGATTCCATTTATAGAGCGCCTTTCGCGTTGGGAGGACGTCCCAAGACGCTGGACAGTTGGATCAGGACCCGAGCAGGGGGAAATGGTCCGGGTGAGGGGAGGGAAGGGAGGGGGCGAGGAGGGGGTAGAGAGTTGAGAGGGGAGCTGAAGGCTGAAGGTCAAAGAGAAAGGTCATTGAGACCGGCCTTGAAGGAGGAAAGGGAGGAAGCGGCGAAGGCACTGGGGGATGGAGTTCCAGAGCCTCGGAGCTGAGAGGCTGAAGGCCCGGCCACCGATGGTAGGGCGGTTGGGGCGGGGGATGTGGAGGATACCGGAGCCAGAGGAAAGAAGGGTACGGGCAGGTAAGTAGGGGGATAGTAGGTCGGAGAGGTAGGAGGGAGCGAGACCGTGAATGGCCTTGTAGACGAGGATGAGGATCTTGATTTCGACTGCAATGTTTGGGAGTCAACATGAAGGCAGCTTATTTTTTCAGTTAATGGAAATGTTCTGTGTAGAAATATAATGCAATTTAAGGACCTTTCTTGTGTCTGTCTGACTTTGCCGTTGTAGAAAACACATTCGGTCTCTAATATTGGTCTTCATAATTCATGCCTGCTGTTAGAGCAAGACAGCAAATCAGATGAAGCTGATACAAATAGAGGAAGAACAGATGTTAATAGGATATATACACTTGACCTTCTTGTTTGTACAAGTTTATATTGGTTTAGTGTAGTATCTTCAGGGGGAAATAAAATCGGAGGCTGATACAACTGTTTCTCATTTATACAAACAAAGAAATGCCTCAACTATCTAACTACTTTCAAAATAGAAATCCTTATGTTGGTGAAAAGCGAAGGTAAAGTTAAGTGACAATAGGTTAATCTGTTACCCACACTTTACTCTTCAGGGAAAAGTTAACACTGATGAATCTCAAAAAGGGCAGCCACCATTCAGTCACTAGCACGTATTAGTTCTGAATGTTGCTTAAGCTTTGGCAAATGGCACATAACCAACAAAGGCACTTGGTGTCTGTTGTATGAAGATGTTACCAGACTGGAGGTATCTGGTGCTCGCGGAAGGATATAGTCTGCAACAGAGCTTAGTTAGAAGAAGTCCAGAGCTGTGTGAGTGGGTGTTAGAGCTGGTGAAGACAACGTGGTTATTGACTTTAGCTAAAAATTCTTACATGTTTTTTAAGTTACTTTTCATATCAGCAACATCCCCAGAAAGTTCAGTTCTTTTCTTAGCCCCGACTGACAACTTTAACCAAGATTCCACTCTCTATTTAATGAAGACATTGCCATTATTGATCAATAGCTGCTGTCTACCTTTGAATACAATCGCTCCCTGGTTGGATGTTTTGAGGAAGTATTGTCGGGATTGATCTTTCTCAGCCTCTCTAGTGATTTACACTACCTCATGCCAACCAGAGCAAACAGCAGCAGAGATTCCATTTGCAGTATTCAGCACTAACTAGGGGACGTGGGGAGGGATCCCCCATGTACAAAGATTCTATTGTGATCCAACAGTCGCACATTTCCACTGCAACCGTTTAATCAGAAAATGTAAAGATATTACACTGCTTTGCATTTTGTGAACACTTCATAACATGTTGTCAGCCTGACTCATTGGTAGCTCTTGCCACACAACTGAGCTTTGGTCAGGGTAGAGCAAAACTCTGCACATCCATGCTCAATGTTTAACCTCTCCAAGAAGTAATAATAATAATAATCCTTGCATTTGATATAGCGCTTTTCACGTCGGGAGGACGTCCCAAAGCGCTTCACAGAAGAGATTGTAAAGTGAATTAACTGTATATTTGTGGATGAAACGCGGCAGCCAATTGCGCACAGCAATGTCCCACAAACAGTCGTAGATTGAAAATGACCAATTTATTATTGTTTTATTTTGGAAGGATTATTATTAGGTGTGTGGAGTAAGGAAACTTGCCCAAGGTTTCACCCTCTGCCTGGAATTGAACTCAGGTCTCTCACTTGCAAAGCGAGTGCTCTAACCACTGAGCTACATAATCCTTGCATTTGATGTAGCACCTTATCACGTCTTTGAGACGGCACAAAGTGCTTCACAGGATACACTGTAAAGGGATAGAGTTAGGGTTAGGATATAAATATACATGTGGGCGAAATGAAGGAAAAGGGGCAATGGTACAGTTCAGGCTGGGAGTTTTTTTATTTTAAAAGTTTTATTTTTAACTGCTTTTCAACTGTTTTCAACTGCTGGAACTAGGCAATTTTGTCTAATGCGATTTACAAAAGTTATTTGTTATCTTTCTATTAGGTTCTATCTGTGAATTGTGAATTAATGTGTTGTTAGGAATGGGATCAGCTATCACAATTGACACCACTCTCTTTTTCATTTTACTTTTGAGAACCTTTTGGAATCTCTGCCGAGCAAATGCATACAGTAAAGGGTGGAATATGGTTGTTCCGTAGGCCATGGTTAGAAAACAGTCTTACTTTTATCAAAAGATCACTTGGACCTTTATGTAAAATAACAGTATTTAGAATTGATATAGGTATCCAACAAATAAGAAATGTTGAAATAATTAAAATGGATATTCGGAAAACCCTCTTCTGTCGTTCTCGCCTTTCGCGGTGACGTTTAATAGCTCGCCTTAGGGCAATAATTACAGAGACCGAAGTTCGCATCCCAAATGTCATATTTTGGCCCACGTTACTTTTTGCTAGATCAGCATTTTCATGCTGTGTAGTAAGTGGTGTTGTCTTTTTCTTGGTTTTCTTCTGCCCAGTTGAGAAGTGTGAGCTTATGCTGATATTCAAAGATTGGACTATTTTGCTGTATGTTGTTAACATTATCAATACGGTGAAAAAGAAAATAGGGATGTGTACTAGGAGGTGATAATACATGCCTGAGGTACTGTAGTCATTTAGACCAATGCAGAAGAGTGTCTTATTCTGACAGGTGCTCTCACTATTCTGTGGGTTCAAAAAGCTGACTTCCATGAAGGGAATCAAAAATGCAAAAAACTATACAATCCATACTGATGTCAGTAATATTATAGCTCGTCCCAAAGTCAAAATCCGCTTGGCTTAACTGAAATGTCATAGCGATCGAGGCTAATAGCGAGAACGTTTACTGCAGTTCCCACACTGGCAAAGGAAGCACCAGCCTCATGAAAAATGCGAATCAGAGGTGTGTTTCTCTCTAGGGGGAGAAGAAGGATAACTATGGTGAGGGGAATGCAACCAACACAAATAATGACATCCAGTATATGTACGTTCATGGTGATAATATTACTGACTGAATTGATCAGGTTTGACTTCATGCAGTAAAGCACCAATACAGTTAAGTTACTAATCAGCCCTAACACAATTTCGAGTAGTAAAAAGCCACTTAGGAAAGCCTGAAAGCTTGATGCGAAGGGTAGGGTCCAATATACGCCGCCGTTGATGTTGTTGATCTTATCTTGAACTGTCAAGTTGATTTCCAATTGCATGGTGGCTTGTGAAATTAAATCCAGGCACATTCTCTTCAGAATATGTTGATCAGTCCTGTAAATGTAAAAAAGAGTCCTGTAAATGTAAAAAAAGTTTATCGATCTTTTTTGATTCCATTGCACAAAATCTATTCCACTACTTTGAAATCTGTAGGCTTAGCACAGATGTGTTGTTTATTAACTGAGGTGTCTCACAGTTGACTCAGTCAAAATAGATTTGCAAAATCACATAGCTTGCCATTGATATTGCTGTCGGGTAAGTTTCCTGTTGCTTGTCCAGCTAGGACACTCTACCCATTAGAGCTTTGGCTTGCAGAGTTACAGGAGCTGAGTGGGAGGATTCCCTGTCCCCAGTGACTGGTCTGCCCTTCCAGGTCCTGCCAATGAGCTGGGCTGTGCTGTCACCTGTACTGGAATACTGTGGACATATTTGTACAGTCAATACATGTCCATGTTGCTACAATTAGCAGGTTTTTGGTTTTTACATTGAAGAGAAGCTCCAATCAGTAGGCCCACTCCTTGAAGTGAAATTGAAATGTGTTAAATGGTACATTACAGGTTTGTACACCGTTATCTTATAAACCAGGTTGGCTTACACTTGTCCAATATCATGGTCAAGATGTTAGATTTCTTTTTTAAAAGAACTCTTATTTTAGGTATTTTATCCAACAGTGAGTTTCTAAACTCAGTGCTTTATATCAATTCATATAGCTGCAATAATTTATTTAGGTCTACAAACTTCAAAGGTTGGAGTAAATTGTAATAGGCTGCCTTGCTTTCTGTCCCTCCCCCCCTCAAAATACACAAGTGGGAAAATTACTGTCTTTCCTGGGTATTGTGACAGCAGTGGGTTTGGCATGATACCATCCAGTTCTTTATACCCCTGTCTCTAGTGTATAGACACCAGGAGAGATCCCAATGTAAGAAAGAGAGCTCCATGAAGTGATTGACAATTGCCAAAGTAAAACTTGTTGTTAAATTGTCTTCAAGATCCTAATGTAAGTTATTTATTGGGGCAAAATAGTTGTTTCTGAACCAGGTCAGCCAGTTTGAGTCGAGTAACTGGGACCCTGATAATCAACCTTTAGTTACAGCATCACTAGCTGAGGCTCACTGTCCTAGGCTTCACTTCTCAATGTCAAATACAATTCAGAACATTTTTATAATATTGGCCAATAAAGTGCTAACTTCTAAAATAATATTTTGTTTTTTGAGCAGTATTATAATTTACCATCTGCTTTATCTAACTCTGGCACCAAAGCTGCTCCTGATTAATGCATCTTTTCTGGCTATGCTGTCTGGCTACAGCTTCATTTTGCTGGGAATTATTTTTGCACAGATGGAAGTGATTGTAACATTATTTGGACTGTGTATAGCTTCAAACAATTCTGTTTGGCATTGCCTTGTTCTGCTCTCCAAACACACATTGTGGAGACTGAACTACAATTGTATGGGAGAACTGAATATCTGGAAAATGTCTATAAAGAAAAAGGTCAGAAATATCCAGCATAAGTGACCACCAGAAGTTAAATGTCACCAAAAAGATTTTTCAAAGTAATGTTTTGTAGTACATTTTTATCAGTAATTTTGTTGTCCTTTTGTACTATGCCTGTTTACTCAGTTTCTTAAGGTTCAGGAGTATTCATCAAAGCTATGCTTTGATGAACTTGATGGGCTATAATGTCAGCATATTGGTTCATATTGTTTCAGCGATATTGTTGGGTTTTGGTAGCTGACGGTAAACCCCAAGTAAATGAGTTGGTGTTTGTCCATGTGCTGTACAAATGTAATTTTGTTGTTGTTGAAACCACTTTTAAAAGCTGTTTTTCCCGCTCTTGGAGTTGTCAATCACCAATTCAAATCTGCAGCCATGAAACTGTTATATTCTGATCACTGCACAAGAGTTTCTTACAGTATGAATACTGATGCATTGGTACTCTAGCTAATGAAAAATATAAACAAGGCTTTCATTGAGGGGCTTATATACCATTTCATTATGTATCCCATCTCATTGTCCAGCTATTGTCATCTCAGGATTTCAGCAATGTTTGAAATAAATTTAAAAAAACAAAGTTCTGGAGTACCCTGTATATTAAAAACATTTATAACAACCGCTTTAATTTCAGCATTGCTGAATACTGATTGGCTTGTGTGTAATGACAGTTGTCTGAATAATCATTAGAATGCAAATCACTTGACATGTAGTACAAAACATAGACTGGGTTTCTGGAAACAATCAGCTGTTTGAAGTACAATCTTCTATTTTTTGTTTGTTTGTTGTAACTTGCAGTTTTTATTACAAAATCTCACAACATACATGTCTAATTTAGTATCAATGAGCTTTCCGCTGTTAAACTGCAGGTTATCTATGTAGGAAATATGCATATAATGCAGTATATTGCAGTGTCCCAAATTTGTTTAAATAATCTAAGCCATTCAACCGAGATTTGTGTTCTGGTGGTATAAGAAATATTTCCGGCTAATAACATTTGTGTATGCACTTTCAGTTGAGATTTTAAGGAATTTAAACTAAAAAAGCATACAATATTACAACTCAATTCCTAATTCTATATGTGTATATTGAATATCTTTAGGGATATAAAAAAAGTCAGTATTTTTGTTTGTTAAAAAGGTGTATATTTTATGTTCGCAAATATTTTTTTCCCCTAATTTATTTATTTTGGACCCACTTTTATAAGAGTGACTGATAACAGTAATGTGACACTGTTAGACTTTCAAATAGCAAGTGTCAATCACATTCATTCTACATGAAAGGCGCTTGTGTGTGATGTACACATCAAATGATGTCAAACAATACCTTAAAAATGGAGATTACTTCAACAAGTGCAATTTCTATTGTACCACATTTTCTTTGCACATTCAGGTGAGTTTTAATATATGACCATTACTGGACAGACTATGTTTTCTTATACGAGTATAATAACAATTGTACATATGTGAAACGTTAAGTATTGTTGCCGGTTAGAAGAATTAATATGTACCTGAATCTGAATTATTAATTTTCCTGCTGTGCAGATTTGACTAAGCTAGTACAACAGAATATCAGCAGTTGTTCGCTTGCGTTCCTGGCCTATATTCTTTTATAATCATAACGTGGGGAATTGCATGTGGACCAAACAGTGAAATGTATATGCCTTGTTGAATGCTAATGCTCTTGCCTCTGAGTCAGAAGGTTGTGGGTTCGGGACGCCACCCTGTGTGAAGGGTGCTATATAAATGTAAGTTGTTGTTGTTCGAGCCCCCTCGTCAGGACTTGGAATCACATTGTCTAATGTAACGCTCCACTGGAGGAGATGCTGTCCTTTGGATGAGATGTTAAACCGAGGTTCCGTCTGCCTGCTCAGGTGGATGTTAAAGATCCCGCGGCGCTATTGGAAAAGAGAAGGGAGTTTGTTCTGGTGTCCTAGCCAATAATCTCCCCATAATACAATTGGTCACTCACTCCAAGGTTGTTTGTGTTCCAGATTATCTTTCTCAAGGAGTGGATCTTTCTGGAATTGAAGTTATTGAAAATGATCTGCTATTTATTGGAAGAGCCCGTCTTGAGGTTGAAAGTCAAGCTAAACGATTGCTTGAACAGGGAATGGAGACCCAGGTAAATGTTTAAGTTGCATTGACTTCAAAGTGAGACCAAATATTGAAATATCTGCTTTTGAGACACCACCATTTCACTAAATGTTTAAGGGGCATGAAATACACCATGATACTAAGTGTAATGTTTGACAATGTGCTAGCACAAGTAGAATGCCATTCTCTGTGTACTCTGCCCATTCTACTACACTTAGGCGGTGAAGAATATCTGTTACTCAAAATATTTTGTTTGATTTATATAAAATAAAATATTGTCATGCAAGCCCCAGAACATTATCAATTAATTTAAGATACTCTTAAGCATGGTGATGGGTTTGTGCATGTGTCAGACACTCGGCTGACCCAAAAAAAATTATAGTTATAAACCCAGTTACAATAGGATATGCCAATCTATATCAATACAGGTAGTTTGTGAATAAAATATGTATGTCCTTGAGAATCCTGCCAGAACTCTACTAGATTTGATGTACCTTTCTCTCTCTCCTGTCCCCATGATCGTTGCATAATTGGCTCCCGTTTCTAACTGTGAAACCTGAGGTTTGCTCAGTTTTGCATATCCCTCTGCCTTGCCCGCTTATAATGACTAATCATAATCCTTGCATTTGATATAGCGCCTCATCACGTCTTCGAGACGTCTCAAAGCGCTTCACAGAATATACCGTAAAGTGACTTGACTGTATATTTGTGGGCAAAACGCAGCAGCCAATGGCACACAGCAGCTTCTTCCCCATTGTCAGACCACGACCTGAAGACGTTCCTCTTCGACCTCCCGGCTGAGTGTCAGGCTCCGCCACTGTGATGCTGCCCTGCGTGAAGAGCAATATAAATACAAGTTGTTGTTGTCTACAAACAACACTAGTTGGCAATTGGTGCTAGCAATTAGTAAAGTTGTACACTGTTTTTGAAGAGATGCAGAGGCTATACAACAAGCATGGATTACCGTGAGATTATATATGGCCTTTTTTTAAATCGTTATTAAACATGCAATATTGTAGGAAATAATGCAAGAGAAATTCTTGTTTTTAAACGTTTGCTTGCTGCAGACGAGGATATTTGGTGTGCTCTGGTATATTGTATACAGTACATCTGTGTAGCTTGTTTAGCCATTTACGCATCTGCTCAAACAGTTTATATTGTGAGAGTAAGTACTGCTGTAAGAAAGACATTTGTTAAAGTACATGATTTAATTTTGCCAACTACATTCTAAAAGCAGCATAAGGATTGTAGATAATATTAACATTTAAATCCAATAGAACCTCTTTGTCTGCCAAACAGATTTCCCTTATTTATTTGGCAATCTGGGGAAAGCTTTCTGAATGCAAATTGAATGGCAGTTTCCAATGTATTTTCAATAACTTATGCTCGTAGAAATAACATTTTTCCAGAACTTTGCCTGCCTTAATATAAAATAATCAATTTGCAATAGATATAAATTGGACTTATTTTTATACAATTACAACAACAACAATTGCATGCTTATACAGCACCTTTCTCGTCAGGAGGATGTTCCAAGGTGTTGGATTATAATTCTATAAAAGCAATCATTTTGCAGATTTGTATTTTAGGTAATTCCACATTCCATGATTAGTGCACTCCTAAAGTGATTATAATAATAATAATCCCTGCTTTTTTGGGTGTAATACTCTATGTTGCTATTCTGCTCATGCGGTGGGATCATTTTGCAATATTAAATATTTCATTGGAACCCTAAATTGTTACAATTTTTAATACAATGCAGACCTTTACATCAAAATAAAATAAATAGCCTCTCAAAGATTTAAATAAGTGTGTGGGGGGTTGGGACTAATGGGTTCCATTTGGTATAATATTACTTCATATCTCTAATATCCCTTCATAAGCATTGGTGTTTACATTAGGATAGAAAGTTCCAACTTTAAGTAAGTGAGGCTGCTTTGATTTAACTCCATTAATTACTATTTTAAAGAGTTAACATAATAATAATAATTATTGCATTTGATATAGCGCCTTATCATGTCTTCAAGACGTCTCAAAGCGCTTCACAGAATATACTGTGAAGTGAATTGACTGTTTATCACAAGCCTACTTGCATCTATATAATCTGTGCCTCTTCTCATTTTAATTATCTGGATTGTTTGCCTTTTCAATCTTATTTTTCTAATGTGAAAATGTTGATCTAGTCACATTAATAGTGATATAACCTGCAAAGATGTTTTTCTTTTTTAAAAAAACATTATTTTTAAAACAGAATCCAACACAGGTGGGAACAGCACTTCAAGTCTTCTACAACTTGGGAAGTTTGAAGGAAACCATCAGCTGTGTAGTAGATGGGTACCGTGTGTCACTGGAAGAAAATGTCAGCAGTGCTCTGGATGTTAAAATGTTAACTCAGCCTCTCCAGGCTTCCACAAGAGGCAAGTTCAACTTTATGCACAATAACATTCACACAGCAATGGTATCAACAGCCAGACCATCACATTGATGATAACAAGTGACTCTGCATAATCAACATGCAGTCATTCAATGTAGCGTATCAGAGACAGCAAGACTGGCACCTCGTGCCAGAGGAGGCCTTTCTGCAGCCAAATCCTTTTATATTACGTACACATACTCCTATATATCATGTACACACACACCTCTGTATATCATGTGCACACACACCCCTGTGCATCATGTACACACACACCTCTGTGTATCATGTACATACACACCCTGTGTATCATGTGCACACACACACCCCTATATATCATGTGCACACGCACACCCCTTTGTATATCATGTACACACACCCATGCATATCGTGTGCACACTAGTTCCAACCTGTTATACACCTGATATACACAGGTTGGAACTACGGTGTGATGTGTGAGGATTACTATTATTATAATGTACACACACACCTCTATATATTATGTAATAATAATAATAATCCTTGTGAGGATTACTATTGCTATTGGAGATAGCAGTTCGCATCACAAGATGCTTGTTCCCTGTACAAGTTGTCGGGAATGCGGTAATTTTGCTGATGAGCTCTTTTTCAATCCCTCTCTAAATGTTCCTATGCTACAATGGCAGTCTTTATGTTTACTTTTTCCTTTTGCCTTTTATTGCTATTGTTTATTCTGTGGTTGATAAGACAGGAGGCCCAGGTAGAGCAGCGATGCCCACTCCTGGCAACACACCAGCATTCCGTGCTGCCCTTTGGACCAACATGGAGAAACTTATGGATGAAATCTGTGCTGGATGTGGACAGGTAATACTCTTAACAATTTCAGTCATTAAGTGGGGTTAGAAATTATATTGTGTTCTTTTTCTCCCATTAGTGCTGGAGATGTTTGCCTTTGGTTCCCACACCAAAATCACTGTTTTTTTGTCGTATTTTTGTTTACAAATGAGGAATGCTAGCATACCTGATCAGGAATGATTTTCCTTGTTCTTTAAAAATGTTCAACTTGTATATAAGATGTTCTGCTCTGTACACCCAGTGTTTCTGTTTCTGATCCAAGAGGATTGTGGAGATCCTGTCTGGTTTGCTGCCTTGTTTCAGTCTCTAGTTGAGGTCTCAGTGCTGTCTCTAATTGAAGGACTAAGAATGAGGCCTTAGAGTGGGGGAAGATAATATAGCAGCAGATGGCACAGATTTATTAAAGGGACCGTGTCCGGATAGATTCCCTGTGGATGGCAGTTTGTGGGGATACTAACGAGGAAGCCTATACCAGTGATAATTAATTAATACATGTTCACCAACACTACCTACATTTTGGCAGATACACTGATGGTTTCCTTTTTTCAGGTTCAACATTTACAAAAGGTTCTGACAAAAAAGCGAGATCCTGTGACTCATGTATGCTTCATTGATGAAATAGCAAAGGTAAGAACAAATATTTTTAAAATGTTATTGAGAGTTCCTTTTACAAATTAAACACCTCACCCCTACCAGACAACCTATGGCGTGTGAAGCATATCTGTCGATTGATTGAATGATTGAGACCTGTTTATGTAGAGCCCTGACTTTGCTGGTAGTGAGAGTAATAATTTCTGTCAATAGATTTTGTTTTGAACAAATAATAATAAAAATAGAAATAAAAAATGCGACTCACTTTGGGGACATCTCAGAAATCAGCGTACTTCAGACATTTTTGTTTTACGACAACAGCAGCATGCGCTTATATAGCAACCACCAGGTGTAGAGTCTCAGAGAGCTTAACAGTGGTGGAGCCTGACTCCGAGCCGGTGGGCGGGGGGGTGGGGGGGTGTGGCGGGGATGCCATAAGCATGGTTGAAGAGGAAAGTTTTCAGACGGGACTTGAAAGAGGGGAGAGAGGGGGCAAGGCGGAGGGATTGAGGGAGAGTGTTCCAGAGTTTCAGGGCGTAGTGGCTGAAAACGCGACCTCCGATGGTGGGGCGGAAGGTGTAAGGAGAAGACCGGTGCCAGTCGAGCGGAAGCGCCGCGCCTGGTGGTGGATTGGGGAGTGAGGAGGCCAGGGAGGGAGGGAAGTGCCAGAGAGTGAAGGGATTTGAATGCGAGAGTGAGGATCTTGCTTCAATTGTTTATTAGCAGTCAGACATGTAGAATTTACTATTCCAATTGCGAGCATATGATTTGTTGCTTTTCTTAATCCTTTGAATACTGAAATACTATTAACATATATATATACATATAATGAATACGAAAAAATAAAATCGTTTATTTTCTTATATAATTTTCCATATTCTGTCTACAATATCTCCTAAACGAAGTATTTACCCAGATAAACTCTGCGGATGAAAACCTTTGAAATTTCGACCTAATGTCAAAAGTAATTGAACACAGCGCCCAAGTATTAATTTGTTTATTTTGCTAAGAAAAAAATGTTTTCTATACTATTTCCTAGTTCATTTGTTTGAATTCTTGCCTAATTTCTCAGAAGTTTGTTTTTAAATCACAAACTTTAGTCCTTGTCTTCACTGATGACAGTTTCAGATAATATTGAATTGAATCTATTTTAGTTAGTAGTCAGACTTTGAGATGTGAGAGACGATACAGCAATTACAAGAGTTATTATTGTGGTCCTCGCTCGAGTGCCTCTAACTGTCACACGCTTTGTCTTAACATCATCCAGAATTTTGGAAAATTCTTAATGTGAAAGCCAGTTTTCCACAGTTGAAGTCCTTGCAAAAAATAACTTGTACTTTAGTAATAATTTTGTAATACACATGCCACAAGTCAGTATATTACACAGCTCTAGAGATTACTGCCTGTCACTGAAGCAAGGCAGAGATTATTTGTTTTAAGCAGTGACCTTCAATCAATGTTCCTTGGACACAGAAAGGCAGTTGATGGATGAGTGACTGCTTGGTATTGCCCATGATTTATTCATTTAGTGGTTTCATAAGGAAGTTCAATATCATTAAGCGCAGCATGTATTAGGGGAGGTGGGCAGGAGAGAGAGAAAGGTATTGAAAGGCAATATTTTTTCTCTCCTTCCTTGTATATTAGCTTTGGGCCAGCAGCCACAAAGTTTGGGTAGGTTTAAGTTCACGGTTAATTAAGTTTGTGCATTGACCACACACTGGGAACAATCATATGTAGTAAACTGTAGTAAACCGTATTCTTTAGGTCTGTATATTCAAGTTATTTGTCTCCTTGAAAAAAGAACTGAAACTTGTCACAATTTGTGGCCAGATGAATTATTGCTGACAGATTGCACTGTGAGGGTGGCTGATGGGAGAAATGGAAGCAGTTATACTGATGCAGTAGGGATTAATCTTTTCATTAAGGCACATTATTTGGGGAAGAACTATGAGTGTCTGTGTGTAAATGTGTGCGTGCGTGTGAGGGAGTGTGTGTGAGTATGTGTCCGTGCACCCGTGGGGGTGGTCCGCGCGTGTGGGGGCGTAGTTGTCGAGGTGGGGGGAACGCTGTAGAAATTCAGAAGTAGTAGAAGATACTGTTTTCCGACCCAATTTGTTTTTTCTAGTTAATAAATATTTTGAAAATAATGTGACTTATAACATAATAATTCTTTGATTGCTAAAATGTACATTATCTATTCATATGTAGATTATATATCATATTTATAATTAATATTGATTAATATGTCATAGGATGGCCAAGCAGACATTTTATACACTTTCTGGAACTCAGTTACACAAATCCTGACAACGAAATTTCAGCAATCTACAAACGGTAAGTATTCCTATTGATCCCTTTCGAGACTTGCTGTCAAAGCAAACTGTGTTGGGGTCTTGGATAGGTCCCTCCCACCCAATTTTCTTACATGATTGTTTCCTCTCGTAAAGGTGTTAACTGATGCCAGTTTGTGGTGGCATTGCCAGCCTCTGGTATTGTACCCGCATGTGAACCTAAACTGTGCTGTTTAAACATGGAGGGTAAAGCCTCTGAACCGCATAGTTACTGAGTTGACACCAGCTATATTTACTGAGATGATACCAGGTATATTTACTGAGATGATACCAGGTATATTTACTGAGGTGACACCAGGTATATGTGGTTTGACCTATGAGCAGAGACTAGATTAACTTGACTTATTTCATGGAGCAGAGAAGATTGAGGGGAGACCTGATGGAGGGCTTTACAATTATGGGAAACCCCTGGCTTCCTAACACACAGAGGATACAATTCAAGATCCTGGTCCTCACCTTCAAAGCCCTCCATGGCCTTGCTCCCTACTCTGCCACCTCCTAACCCCCTACCATCCTGCTCGCTCCCGCCACTCAGCCTGCTTCACTTCCCCCACCTCACCCGCTCCACCATTGGCGGTCGGGCCTTCTGCCACTCTGCCCCCACCCTCTGGAACTCCATCCTGCAGTTCCTCCAGCTCGCCCCCTCCCTTGCCTCCTTCAAGACCCATCTTAAGACCCTCCTCTTCAACCGTACCTTTGATCACCCTCCTTCCCCTCCAGCCTCCCCGATCCCAACCCCCAGCTTGGGACCGAAACACTGATTGTCCAGGACCTCGGGACGTCCTCCCAACTTGAAAGGCACTTTACACATGTAATTTTCTTGTTGTTATGAGGAATTTTAATACAATACAAAATTACACTTGTGTAGTGCCTTTCGCATTGAGAGGACGTCCCAAAGCGTTAATAGAATAGATAGGGAAAAAGTATTTCCAAATATTCGGTGAGTCGGTGACAAAAGGAAATGAATTGAAGGTTATTGCCAAAGGAGCAAAAGGGGAGATTAGAAGAGTATTTTGTACCCCGATAATAATAGTAATAATAATAATAATATCTACAACAGAGTAATCTGAAGTGTTCTGGAGAAGAGACAGGCGATGGGATTAAATGGATTGCTCTTTCAAAGAGTCAGCACAGACTCAATAGGCTGAGGAGCTGCTTTTTGTGCTGAAAAGTTTTGTGGTTCTAACGTTATTATAATAATGAACATTATATTTTGAGAACCATCCAACCAAAAATTATAATTGTAGTAAAGCCTGTATTTGGAAGTGTCTTGTGACCCTGCAGTTAACTCAATAATGTTGAGGTTTCAGGATTAAAGCAATCAATTCCGATTGCCTTGGCTATCACTGTGACATGCTGGGTGGAGCACCACGAAGATGATGAGATGATCAGTCTCCGTTTGAAGAAGAAAACCCCCATAGAATTAGTGTTTCTCACAAAAGCATTGCTCTTGTTGGCTGATTACAGAAAGTGAGGCTTAGAGAAAATCAGGTCCTTAATTCCAAATGTTGTATAGTTTCCAGCTCCAGTTATCTTCCGTGAAGGGTTCTAAATAAATGCAAGCTATTGAATATTTTTATTAATATAATATACATTTTAATTTAAAACTTAATTTATATTTATAGTATTTTAATCAGGTTTTTCTATTGGGCATAATATATTTATGATTTGATGTATAAGTGTGTGTGTTTTAATAATATCCTTAAAAATGAGAAGCGATTAAGATGAGCTTGGGCTCTCCAGGCTTCAGGGAAGACAACTCAGAGGGACAACATAAAGGTTATAGAATGTTAAATGAGATTGAAAACGTAAACCCAGATCATTACTTTAGGTTTAGAATTGTAAAGAGCAATCTCAGGATAGATGCCAAGATGGTTTTCTTTCTGCAGAGGGCAGTCAGCGACTGCAAGAGGAAAGGCAATAAAGGTCAGGACACTGGATTGAATTAACAAGCAGCTTGATGCAGTGATGAACGGATAGTAGGGAGACTGGTCACTGACTTACTGACAATGGAAATAATTTCTCCCCGTCTATTCTCTCAAAATCCCTGATCATTTTAAAGACCACAGTCAGGTCTCCCCTCAACCTTCTCTGTTCCAGTCAAAATCGGCACAGTTCCTCCTGTCTCTGCTGATAGGTCAAACTCCTACATAAATCTCCTCAGCACCCACTACTTGGCCTAGATATCCTTCCTAGAGTAGAAAATATATATTATATAAATGTATATTTGTATTGTAGTTCAACGAGGAGGTAAAAATAGTGACTATAAGAATAGAAAGAAGTAAAGAAACATTCTTTTTCATTGTTGCTGTTTCTTAAAATGAGTCTTATTTCAGCATCCACATTTCTGAAGCAAGCGTTTGAAGGAGAATATCCTAAGCTGTTACGATTGTACAATGACTTATGGAAGCGTTTACAACAGTACAGTCAGAGTATCCAGAGCAATGTAACCAGCAGTGGAAATGCCGACATTACTCCTGAGCTGCCACCAGGACAGGACGACACACAAGATGCGTTTATGGTGAAGAAACAGGATTATGAGTAGGTTTTGACAAGGTTCATAATGTGCAGTATCTGCAGAGTCTGACAAAAAAGAAAGGACATTTTTTGATTAAATATATATACTATATATAGCAATATTTTAACCAGGTGTTTCTATTGAACAAAATCTGAAGGGCTTAATAAGCATAAATAGATATAGTTTCACTTTTTCTCTAGGTATGTGGTGTTGCTGATGAAAATTATATTTAAATAATTACTGTAGATTGGATTATTTGTTTGCCCTGGTCCAATTATAACCAATTGTGGAGGCAGAATACTTAAAATAAAGCCTATAATTGTATAACTAAAGTCATTGATCAGACTTGAGAACTTTTGCAGTATGTTTAAATATTTAGTCAATGTAAACGATACAGGCTGTTTTGTAATATTTAAGATCCATAAATATCATGTTATAGATTTCTAATATAATTCTAATACAAGTGCAACTCTTTCAGCCCTGAAAAAACCTTGAAAGACACCCTGCAACCTTACGAATCTGCTTATCTATCAAAATCCTTATCCCGGCTGTTTGACCCCATCAACCTTGTCTTTCCTCCTGGGGGACGTAATCCACCGTCCAGTGATGAGCTTGACAGCATCATTAAAACCATTGCAAGGTACGTGCCATCTGAAGGATCTATAAATTACTACAAACAGAAACAAGCAGTTGCTTAATTATCACTCAGAGGGTAGTGAACTTATGGAATTCACTACCCCAGAAGGCTGTAGATGCTCAGTCCTTGAACATTTTCAAGGCTGAGACTGATAGATTCTTGAAAAATAGAGGGATTAGGGGATATGGGGATAGGGCAGATAATCAGAGTTAGGGGAGAAGATTATCCATGATCTTATTGAATGGCGGAGCAGGCACGAAGGGCTGAATGGCCTACTCCTGCTCCTAATTCTTATGTTCTTATGTTCTTATCACAGTCTGTCATAACGGTTGAGCTTGGACTGGTAGGGACCTGTAGCTCAGTGTGGAGTCCTGTAGCAAGTGGTTAGAGCACTTGCCTCGCAAGCGAGAAGACAGGGCAAATGTTAGGCAAGTTTCCTTACTCCACACGCCTCTGTTTACCTGGGAGTAAGTAGGAATCGGATACTATTAGTTGATTGGCAGATCGCTTTCCATGTGTAATAATCCCTTCAAAAAAATAATAATAATAATGTGGTCACTCAATCCACGACTTTTTGGGACATCGCTGGGCGCAATTGGCTGCCACAATTCTCCCACAAAACACACACACTCCACTTTACAGTGTATCCTGTGAAGCGCTTTGGAACGTCTCGAAGACATAAAAGGCGCTATATCAAATGCAAGAATTATTATTATTTCGTGAGATGTGGATGACTTTGTGCTTTCAGTGAGCTCAACGTGGCGTCTGTGGATCCAAGCCTTAGTCTCGCTGTTGCCAGAAATGTCGCTAAAACTGTGCAGCTATTTGGAGTAAAATCTGAACAACTTGTAAGTATTGTAAGCACAATATCTGGTGCATTTGTAGTGTCAATAATTATCGTAAAAAGATTAAAAAGTTTAAGGTTACAGGCAAAACAAATCAATGGGAGAGTTTTAAACTAGGAATTGTAAACAAATCCTGAGAGTTCAATAGAACAACCATAGTTCTACGGTACTGTATTATAGAAAATCAGAGAACTGAGCATATTTCAATTCAAAATATTCTCTGAATAATAAGTCATTTTTTCATTTGGATGACGATTATTTTGATTAGTTTTACACACACTTGCCATGTGGAGCTGTCTAATCTGTAATGTCCATAGATAGAGAGGGGGTTGAGTTTATTTAGTGTGATTAACTAATTGACTAATTGACCCAGTGGTGAAGCAGACATCCTGACACAATACGGTTTAAGTTCAAGAACTGGCTGAAGATTTTACAATACATCTGCCTATATAGTAATCTTGCTCACAGACAGAAACACACTGTATATTTAACAGATACAGGTTAAGAAACATCTTCTGTGGTATACAACATCGTGTATTTATATACAGTCAGGGAAGCTGCGATATAATGATTTTGCTACTCATAAACACCCATTTTTTTGATTTAGCTTTGTGTAACTAGAATAAGCAGTACAAAAGTGGGGCTTTTGATTTAATAATAAAATAATTTCCACTCAGTTATTTTATTATTATTAAAAGTAGAACCTCATGGTTAGTATTATCATATTTCTCACTCTATTACAGAAAAGGAAAATATAATCATTGTGACTAGAGTATTGCTTGGTTTGGAGCATGTAATATAATCATAATATTATAATACTAATATAATAATATGTACATGGCTTGTTCCAAGGGCTGCACAATGCTCCCTGTGGTTGATACTCAGGACTCAGGAGATTACTCAGGCAATAGTACACACACTGTCTGTACCTGACACAGCTCAGAAACTGGACAGAGGAGGATTTGAATATTCCCTCTGTGGCTATATACATAGTTATCCTGTGTTCACACATAAAATTCACTGTTTTATTTGATTTAAACTGTTAATTTATTCACTTATTGAATTTAGTCTTAATTTTTTAATTTTTCTTATTTGTACACTACTTCATGCAATAAAGTGGGAATGTAGAAAGCAGAACAGCAATATGATGAATATTGAATTACAGTCCTATTGATATATTGTCTTATTCCATTTTGCTATCTGCACAGCTGTCCACACAGGGTGAGGCTAGTCAGGTGATTGGGCCACTAACTGATGGGCAGAGGAGGAATGTGGCTGTAGTGAATTCCTTACACAGATTGTCCCAGTCTGTGCTCAAGGTAGGAAATTAGAGCCTCATCTCATTTCCCACAACGATTCGCTTCCATTTTCTTTTCTGAAGGTGCGTTGTCTCTTTTTTCTCTTTTTTGAATTAAGCTAAACTTCTGCTAGTTTCCTTAATAGGAATGTACCTTACTTACGCTGGTTACTTAATTATTAATTAAACTGCCAAATGACCAATCATAGATTGTATAATAATAATAATCCTTGAATTTGATATAGCGCAATTCCCGTCTTCTAGACGTCTCAAAGCGTTTCACAGAATATGCTGTAAAGTGAATTGACTGCATTTTTGTGAGCGAAACACGGCAGCCAATTACGCACAGCAGCGTCCCACAAACAGTCTTGGATTGAAGTGACTAAATTATTATTGTTTTTTTTCCTTGAGGAATTATTATCAGGTGTAAGGAAACTTGCCCACGGTTTCACCCTGCCAGGAATTGACTGTGCTATAAAATAACAATTAGAATGTAATAGAAAGTAAAACAAACATAAGACGACTTTTGACAAAACAAATGTTCAATTAGTCTTTTTAATGAATTAATATTTAAATTATTATTTATGATAACCACCATGTTTGGTTTGATGTGTAGAATAGTATTGTGTTGTCATAGCAGCCACTATTACAAAGAAAACACCTACGTTTCAGTGACTAATGGAATTTTGTGACTATTGGGATTTTTTTCCCTACTTCCCAGGTGCTGTGTGGCCTGAGTTCGTTCCCTGTAACAGCTGAACAAACCATTCGAGCCACGTTAGAGGTAACGTCACACTATCATGATTGTGACTTGGATTTTCAATCCATTCTTTTCCTATAATAATAATCATTGCATTTGAACAGTGCCTTATCACGTTTCCGAGACAGAATACACTGTAAAATCAAGTGACTATATTTTTGTGGACGAAATGAGAGAATAAGGTTGACATTTTACTTCCTGTCACAAAGTGTAACATTTCCCTTTCCTTCAGACAATTCAGGATCTCATGGGAAATGCAGTTCAGCCGCTACTGAAATCGGTGGAAGATTCCATTGAGGCCATTATTATCACAATGCACCTTGAGGATTTTGCAGGGTAATAATTGATGAATGTTGTTCCTATGAGTTCCACGTTGGATGGGGATACTGTTTACATTGGTTGACTTGAAGATGACAGAACAGCCCAGCTGTAACAAAGCAGAAATGCTGGTGTATTTTGTATACACCTGGCCACCTTGTACCTACATCCCACCTAAATCAATGCCCAACATTCAGGTCATCAGATGTGCACCCACATGTGCAGCTTGTGAGAAGCCATTGTGGGGGTGACCTAAAATGATATGGAAGTTGGCCAGTTTAGCGCAGAAACGAGAAGGACATTAGTGTGTGTCCACGCTGCTCTGTATTATAATCCAATCCAAACTATAAGAACATAAGAATTAGGAGCAGGAGTAGGCCATTCGGCCCCTCGAGCCTGTGCCCCGCCATTCGATAAGATGGTTGATCTTCTGACCTAACTCTAATTACCTGCCCTATCCCCATATCCCTTAATCTCTCTATTTTTTTAAAAGTCTATCAGTCTCAGCCTTGAAGATAATAATAATAATCCTTAGATTATTATTATTATTAATAATAATAATTCAATAATGTTCAAGGACTGAGCATCTACAACCTTCTGGAGGTGTGAATTCCATAAATTCACTGCCCTCTGAGTGAAGAAATGTTTCCTCAACTCTGTTCTAAAAGGCTGACCCTTAATTTTAAGACTGACCCCTGGTTATAGATTCTCCCACCGGGGAAACAGATCCTCAGTGTCTACTTTATCAGCCCTTTAAGAATCTTATATGTTTCAATAAGATCCCCCCTAATTCTTCTGCACTCTAGAGAATACAACCCCAGTTATTCAGCCTATCCTCATAGGTCAGTCCCCTCATCCCAGGAACTAACCGAGTGAATCTACGCTGCACTCCCTCGAGGGCAAGTATGTCCTTTTTTAAATAAAGAGACCAAAACTGCACACAATATTCTCGGTGCGGTCTCAACAAAGCCCTATACAGTTGCAGCAAGACTTCCCTACTTTTGTACTCTAAACCTTTTGCAATGAACGCTAACATGCCGTTCGCCTTCTTAGTTGCTGCTGCACCTGCAAACTAACTTTTTGAGGCTGGTGTACAAGGACACCCAAATCCCTCTGAACACTAACACTATCTAATCTCTCCCCCTCTAGAAAATAATCTGTTTTTCTATTTTTTCTACCTACCCAGGTGAATAACTTCACACTTCCCCACATTAAATTCCATTTGCCACCTACTCGCCCACTCCCCGAGCCTATCTATATCCCGTTGCAATCTTTTTGCATCATCCTCAGAGCTACTCTCCCACCGAGTTTAGTGTCAACCGCGAATTTAGATATGTTACATTCAATGTCCTCGTCGAGATCATTGATGTAAATTGTAAATAGCTGAGGCCCAAGCACTGATCCTTGTGGCACTCCACTAGTCACATCCTGCCAATTCGAGAATGACCTGTTTATCCCTACTCTCTGTTTTCTACCCGTTAGCCACTCTTCAATCCATGCTAATATGTTCCCATTAATCCCGTGGGCCTTAACCTTGTGCAATAGCCTTTTGTGTGGCACTTTGTCAAATGCCTTCTTAAAATCTAAATATACTACATCTACTGGTTCCCCCCTATCTAACCTGCAGATACATCTTCAAAAACCTCTAAAAGATTAGTTAAGCATGACTTCCCTTTTGTAAAGCCATGTTGACTCTGCCTAATCTTGTTATGGTCTTCCAGCAATCCCATAACGACATCCTTAATTAAGGAATCGAGAATTTTCCCTACCACTGATGTCAGACTAACTTGTCTATAGTTCCCCATCTTTTTTCTCCCACCCTTCTTAAATAGTGGTGTCACGTTTGTAATCTTCCAATCAATGGGAACCGTTCCAGAATCCAGAGAATTTTGGAAGATCAAAGACAAGCCATCCACTATCTCAGTAGCCACCTCTTTTAAAACCCTGGGATGTAGGCCATTAGGTTCAGGGGATTTATCAGTTTTAAGACCTGACAATTTATCTAAAACCATTTCTTTACTAATATTCATTCCCAAGTTGCTAACATTGTCTTCTTGGTTCCCCTCTATTCTTGGTAGGTTTTTGGTGTCTTCTAAGGTGAAGACAGTTGCAAAAGTACTTGTTTAATGACTCTGCCATGTCTTTGTCCCCAACTATAATCCCCCCGTCTCTGCCTGTAGCGGACCCACATTTACCTTTGATAGCCTCTTCCTCTTTATATATTTATAAAACCTCTTGCAGTCTGTCTTTATGTTCCTCGCTAGTTTGCCCTCATATTCCATTTTCTCCCTCTTGATCACTTTTTTGGTTCTCCCTTGTTGATCCCTAAAGTTCTCCCAATCCTCGGGTTTACTACTCATCTTAGCTGTTTTATAGGTTTCTTCCTTTAACTTTATACTTTCCCTAACTGCTCTAATTAGCCGTGGTTGGGCCACCTTTCCCGTGGCATTCTTATTCCTCAAAGGAATACGTGCTCCCTGGGAATTTTACATTATCTCCTTAAACGTCTGCCATTGCTGGTCTACTGTCAAATCCTTAAGTCTAATTTCCCAGTTTATTTTAGCTAAATCCTCTCTCATACCAGCAAAGTTGGCTCCACTTAAATTCAAGACCTAAATAGACCTATATGGAAGCACTTTATAATAATAGTAATAATAATAATAATAATCCTTGCATTTGATATATATTTCAATGGGCATCTGTACATTCAAAGATACAGAATTATGGATTGGACTTGTTCAAAATTTTCAGAAAATACCCCAACTCTAAGTTGAATTACTAGCTGTCAATTTCTAATGATATATTACATGAAAATGCAGGTTATTATTTGGTCCAATTCCCAATCTTTAATTTCACACAAATCCTAAGAGGTATCAATTTTTTTGTCATATAAATATACATTATAAAACTCATCAAAAATTTAAATCCATAAAGGATAGATCATTTACATTAGAATATACAGCACAGAAGCAGGCCATTCAGCCCAACTGGTCTGTGTCGGTGTTTATGCTCCACATGAGCCTCCTCCTGCCCTCCCTAAACTAAGCCTTCAAGAATAACCTTCTATTCCTTTCTCCCTCATTTTCCTCTTTAGCTTCCACTTAAATATATCAATGTTATTTGCCTCAACAACTCCTCGTGGAGCATGTTCCACATTCCCACTACTCTCTGTGTAAAGACATTTCTTCTAGCTACCCTATTTGATTTATTGGTGACTATTTGATATTGATGGCCCCTGGTTTTGGTCGGTTCTCCCCCCCCCCCCCCCCCAAGTGGAAACATCTTCCCTATGTCGACCTTATCAAAACCTTTCATCATTTTAAAGACCTCTATCAGGTCACCCCTGACCCTCCTCTTTTCAAGAGAAGAGTCCAAGCCTTTCCTGATAGGTCTAACCTCTCAGTTCTGGGATCATCCTTGTGAATCTCCTTTGCACCATCTCCAGTGTCTCCACATCCCTTCCATAATGTGGGGACCAGAACTGCATGGAAAGTGTAGTCTAACCAAGGTTCTATAGCAGCTTACTGTAACTTCCCTGCTTTTCATTTCTATTCCTCTAGAAATGAACCCCAAAGCCTGGTTTGCTTTTTTATGGCCTTATTAACCTGCATTGCTACTTTTAGTGAATTGTGTATGTGTACCACTAGGTCCCTTTGCTCTTCTACCCCATTTAGGTTTTTATTTTCCAGGCTGTATGTGACTTTGTTATTCCTTCTGCCAAAATGTACCACCTCACACTTTTGTACATTGAAATGCATTTGTCATTTAAATGCCCACTCAGCAAGTTTATTAATGTCTTGCTGTAATTTGTTGCCGTCCTCCTCTGTATTAAGTACTTTCCCCCAATTTGGTGTTGGCTGCAAATTTTGAAATTGTACTGCTGATTCCGGAATCCAAATCATTAATGTATGTTGTGAACAACAGTGGATCCCAATACTCATCCTTGTGGAACACCACTGCCCACCCGCTGCCAGTCTGAGTGGCTACCCTTTACCCCTACTCTCTGTTTTCTGTTTGTAGCCAGCTTGCTATCCATTCTGCTATTTTTCGCCTGACTCCACATGCTCTGACCTTATTCATAATTCATTTATTGTTGTTGAACTTTGTAAAAATTATTGCCCAAACATTTAGCTTTTCTACTCTATAAATTTCTTTTTTTTTAAATAATTGTGTGATATTAACTTGTTTTACATTCATTTGTTCAGGCCTTTGTCTGGGAAACCAGAAGTCCCCTGTTCTCTTTACATGAAAGAACTGCAAGGTTTTGTGGCACGGATTATGAATGACTATTTTAGAACCTTTGAATGTGTGGACTTCATCTATGACAGTACAGAAACCATTGCCCAGAGAGCCATCCAAGTGTTCATTCGCAATGCAACGCTACTGAGACCCTTGGGTGAAGGAGGTAAAATGAGATTGGCGGCAGATTTTGCACAGGTAACAGGCTGGTGTCTTTCTTTCTTGTCTATACGTTGTAAATTTGTTATTTTGAGATTATTAAACAACACTATGCTACAGAGTCCCATAGTGTAGTGGTTAGAGCACTGACCTTGTAAGCGATAGGATCTAGGTTTGATTCCTCGGCAGAGTGAAACCTTAGACAAGTTTCCTTACCCCTCTGTTTACTGAGCAGTAAGTAGGAACTCAGTTGTTAGTTGATTGGTGAATCGCTTTCTGGGGGTAATAATCCCTCCCAAAAAGTAATAATTTGGTCACTCAATCTACGACTGTGTGTGGGACACTGCTGTGCACAATTGGTTGCCGCGTTTTGCCCACAAAATACACAGTCACTACATTTTACAATATGTTCTTTGAGATGTCTCAACAATGTGATAAGATGCTATATCAAATGCAAAGATTATTTTCTTAACAAACCCAGATTAATAATGAAATGAATAAAAATGATTACATTGCATTACAGCCAGTTATGCCAATATTATATCAGGGACAACATCACTTCTGAAGCAGGAAATATAATTCCCTTCCAATTAAATATAAATTGAGCCGGCCTTAGAGAACTGGCAGTTTCAGTAGCTATCATTACAAATGATGGACATGGAATGAGGGAGTCGAGGTTTCTAATCCAGATATGGAATTAATCTCCTTAATTGTACATTGTATTGGAGTCATTGATCCACGCATTTCCTTTTGAAGTTGAGAGAATTATCCCTGTTTTTGTTAATCCCCTTGTGCTCTGGTCACTGAGTCTAGGCAGCTCCACGAGCAGCTATGGGAGGTGAGGGCAGTAACCAGAACACATTATTATAAATTAACAATGGAATTTTCTATGATAGAATGATTATTATTACTAGTGATAATTAACACATTACAAGATTTTTTACCCTTTTTCCTCATATTAAAAAAGTTACTTTAATAGGTTTTATCAAGCTCCATGTCCTGTTATTGAGACAGAAAAAATCTAAATTGGGTGTAGGTGAAAATCACCAATTTACAATAAGAATAATCATTATAAAATATAGACTGCACTTAATGAATATTTGGAGACTGTGAATATTGAAACTGTTTCTGTAGAAGAGGATTTTTTTATCATCATGAGTTTAGTTCAGAAATGGCGATTATGTTGAACCATAAAAATGACATTTAACTCTCATTAGGTCAAAGCTAACGGAGTTGGTTCAGTAGATTCTGACCGCTTGTTTCAGATATTTTAGTTAGAAAGATACAAAGCTACTATTGAAATATTGGTGATTTAATGCAATAATTGTTTGCCTAAATGAATAACAACAGAATAGCATATTGGACATGCCCTTTTGTTGTGCACCTTATTGCTGTTTGATTTGTATCAGAACAAACTGGTGAGGAAGCCATTAAATTACATCTGCTGATCTTTACCTAAACCAAAGCATGAGATCAGAATAGGTTCCTTGTTGAACAATCTGACGTTCACGGTCACTTGTCACCGAAAAGTTGGGCACTAAGTACAAGCTGTATTTAGGATCAATCAGGACAGACTTTAATCACTGTTAGTGAACAGAATATTTTTCAATACAACAAAAGATATAAGAAGTAAAAAATATTTTCTGATATTTATTATAATAATCCTCAGAATAGTGTTGTAATGGGAATTGATTCCTGGGCATTTCCTGGGAGAGTCCATGTCTTAACAGCACACTCTGGCCCACATCTCTGACAAGTGAAGCCTATGATGTTTCTCTCTCTCGGCCTCTGGTTGATTTGGTGCTGAGGAGCACCTGCAAAGCAATGAATATTCAGATAACTGGATTGGGAAACATCAAAGCAAAATGTTTCTTTTCAAAACCAAACTCTTGGGGAATGTTGTTTACCTGCAACTACTGACAGCTGAAGGTTAAGGTGTATATGTATTGATGAGGGTTAAGGTGTATATTTATTGATGTGAATTAAGGTGTATATGTATTGATGAGGGTTAAGGTGTATATTTATTGATGATGATTAAGGTGTATATGTATTGATGAGGATTAAGGTGTATATTTATTGACTATCTGTATCCATTGCAGCTAAGCTTGCAACTAAAGGATCCACTGTGGAATGTAGATTTCAGTGATACCACTCACAAACCATTTAACACGCCATAAACACTGTGTGTACATCTTAAGCAAAACTGCCATACATGTGTGATGATCTTATTTAGGTCATAGCTTATCAACGATAGGAGCTCCCTGAAAAAACTATGCCCATGACACCCCCCCCATGCAAGACTTTACAATGAGATATAAATCATGTCTTAAGTCAATCGGTTATTGGTGGACAGACCCACAGACAAACATTTTGTCTTTATTAGTATAGATAGATTATTATATTAAATTATCTACATGCGGGGAGTGGGAGGGGCTAAACCCCAGCCCCAAGTGAGGCCACAATTTGAGCCCCAGGTTTCACCCTCTCTGGCTAGTCGCTGCTGGGCCACGGCGCGGAGGAACCTGGAAATTTGATATAGCGCTTTTCACGTTGGGAGGACGTCCCAAAGCGCTTCACAGAACACACTGTAAAGTGAATTGACTGTATATTTGTGGGCGAACGCGGCAGCCAATTGCGCACAGCAATGTCCCACAAACAGTCGTAGATTGAAAATGACCAATTTATTATTGTTTTTGGTTTTGGAGGGATTATTATTAGGCTCTGTGTGGAGTAAGGAAACTTGCCCAAGGTTTCATCCTCTGCCTGGAATTGAACTCGGGTCTATCGCTTGCAAAGCGAGTGCTCTAACCACTGAGCTACAGGACTCCGCATTATGTCTTTATTAGTATCGATGAGGGTTAAGGTGTATATGTATTTACTTCCTCATTATAGTTCGCTTTATTATCACCTGAATTCCCTGATAATGTGGTTGCTATGTGGATGCCATTCCCTGTCCGTTATTGCTGCCCGATCAGTCCCCACTCAATTCTGCAATTGGAATTATTAGCTAAACTGATTATTGTGATCGTGTGGAAGAGAATTGCGGATTATATCATATACGTTCCCCTCTTGGCGCCAAACCTCTCTGCCTCCACCCTCTGGAACTCCATCCCACATTCCCTTTGCCTTGTTCCCTCCTTTGCCTCCTTCGAGGCCCATCTCAAGACCTTCCTCTTCGACCGTGCCTTCGGCCACTCTCGTACCCTTCTGCCCTCCACCCTCCCTGATCCCAACCACCCCACCTCCCCACTCGAGTCCTAATCCCTGACTGTTCAGCACCTTGGGACATCCTCCCGACATGAAAGGCGCTTTACAAATGTAATGTTATATTGTGGCTGGACATTGCAGTTATATATAAACTTGTATCATATAAACATCTGTTCAGAAGAAGCATTTGCTCGACAGAGACTTTTCACAGAAATTGGTTACATTTTTCAAATGACCAGAGTTTTCTTTGGTTTGGTTCAGAAATAAAGAGAATCTATAATTTTTTGTTTACAATAAATATTAAGACTATTGCTTTCCCAAAGCTACATGTGTTTGTGTCCCATTGTGTGTATGTGATGTCAGATCTTTTCCTCTTCAAACGTTGCAGATGGAATTGGCAGTGGGGCCACTCTGCAGGAGAGTTTCTGATCTTGGAAAGTCCTACAGATTATTGCGGTCGTTCAGGTCAGACACTCCCTCCAGGAAATGTTTGTGCCTGTGTCTCATTGTATGATATCCTCTGCTTCTCGTTACACTTTTTACATTCAATGCAGATTCCTCAAAATTCATTGGGTTCTAATTCCTCGCTGTGAGGTTTCTTAACATTTGTTCAATGCTTTAAAATAGCAGATCTCCATGAGCAGTTATGTTCTATGTTGTGTCTGGTCTATTATTACTGACAAGGAAATGTCAAAATCTGCATGTATTGCTGTTTGTCTTTATACACCTCAATAATATGAAGAATATCTGAAATTGTTTAAGATTTTGCTGGTTGAGGCTAGAGTTCATTAAACTGTTGCCAAATTGAGCAATCCTGGGGCTTTGCCCAAATCCACAGAATATTGATTACTCTTAAAGTGTTGTCCTGAAAGTTTTGTTTTTAATATAATTGTTAATTTTACACTAAGTCCAGCAACCTGTGATTTGTTAATGTATATTATAAAATAAATAGGGGGTTTTCAATCATTTAATGATGCAGCAAATTCAGCATCAAACACTATTGCCACAGCTGCACCTTAAGTAATCTTCTTGAGTAGTACTGTACATATTAAACGTTGATAATCTGAAATTCTCAAATAGAAAGGTAAATGTACTCCCAACACATTGATAAAATAACATGAAATACAATGAAGTGTTGTTTGACTATTATACAACAGTCAGTAGTATAGAACTTAGTAAATCTGCATAAACGTGGCTAATGCAGTACTTTGTTATAAAATTACCTTAACTATGTATTGTACTTCACAGACCATTGCTCTTCCAGACCAGTGAACACATGGCTAACAGCCCAGCTGTAGGAGATATTGTTCCCTACAGCAGCATTCTTCATTTCCTCTTTACCAGAGCTCCACCTGAGCTGAAGTCCCCTCACCAGGTACTCAACGCATCAACTCTCCCTTTACTGGAACAGACAGACTTGTCACACAAACTAGTCATGTAGAAGCTTCTGTTAGTCGTTTTGTTAATGTGAAATTCCAGGTTTGCATCTTGTGTTTCTGTCTTCAAAAAGACCTTCATGAAGGGAAGGGGGGGTTATTAATATTTTAGCAGAAAGGTTTTGTTGAAGCAGCATGTTTGCGGAGTATTTATTTATGTTAGTTTATAGTCCAGCTAACTAAACACTGTGAACTGATTGCAGAGGGCAGAGTGGTCAGTCGCTCGCTATTCTCAATGGCTCGATGACCATCCAGCAGAAAAGGACCGGCTGGTTCTCATCAGGTAACATTAACTCTGCTAGTGTTTGTTCTGGATTTACATCATCTTCTCACTCTGTTACATATGTCATGTATCCTCTTCTCTAAAAGTATTTGTTGTTTTCTCAAAATGTATCAAACTACTTACTCCAGCCTAGGTTTATGTTGAAAATCTAATTTTTGGGGGAATGTTGGAAATCTAAAATAATCAACCCCTGAAAGAGAAATCTAGGACAACCCGTCAATTCCTGCTTTGCACACGCGCAGGGAACAGGAAGTGACATTGCCCACAACCCAGTAAACCAGATGTTGGCCATTCGTTTCCTTTAACGTGGGAACTGGCCAGTGTGGAAATAGCGAGAGCTGGCTGTGGGCACGAGTAGGAAACTGAACTGCAGGAAGGGTGGGAGTTTATGGATTCCAAACACCGTGGTATATAATATTATTATAATAGGACTGGCCTATATTTCTCTTTTGGAAGATGATTATTTTAGTTGTTTGTCATTCCCTTGTGGATATTCTGTCTGACAAACGCTAGTTATTGATCACTCTGGTGTTCATTTCACGCAAAATTAAATATGTTGACCAGAGTACATGACAGAAAATGTCAGTGTTGGAAGGGGCAATCTTAGGGAGCTGAGTGACATTTTCATGATTAAGGTTGTGCATAAGGTTGTGCTGTTAAACTGAGCTGAACTGGCTGGTGTGTTTCATGTGCAGTGGTTTAGTGTTTAACGCAGCCTTGAATCTGTTTCAGCTCCTCATATCTTGCTGCACCGAAAGCCGATTCCTCTTTATAGTCAGGCAGTTTGTTCATCAGCCTCCTACATTCCAACTGCTCTTATATTTTTATTCTTATAATTCCATTGGAAAGCAGTTTAAAACCTCTTAACACTTATCCTGGGTTCCTTTCTGAGTTTTTAAATATAATTCAGACAACAACCTTATTAATGTAATATCTGTGTGAGACTTTATGCTTATTACAAAATTAAATTCAGCTGGCGAACTGTTTAAAAGCAGTTGCCCAAATGTGACCTTGTTAAATCAAGTGAAAACACCTTGGACCTGCTGTATTGGCAGTCGAGCATTCAGCCTCTTTAATATCTATCTATGTGCTCCTGCTTGATGTCAGACACAGGCATGGGGTTAATTTTCATGTGTATGTGGATGACGATCTCTCTGTCTCCACTGATATCAGACATCAAGTCCTGGGTGAGAGCTAACTTTCTCCAGTTGAAATCGACAAGACCGAGGCTCTCCTGATTGGTTCCTGTTGGCGCCTCCTCACCTCAGCATCACCATCCAAGGATGAACACTCCACCTCACTGAGCCAATCTGGAACCTTGGGGTCCTTTTTGACGCTCATCTATCCTTTAATCCTCACATCCGTGTCATGACCTGTTCTGCCTTTCCCTCCCACCACTGCCTTGCCCTCATTCATTGCGTCCAGGCCCGACTATGCTAACTCCCTGCTCACAGGGCTTCCCAACTCTTCCTTTCCTTTGTGTCCCCTCCCATAACAAGGCTCCTATCCCTCAGAGGAACCAGTTTAAAATTCTCATCCTCATTTTTAAAGTCCTCAAGTCTTGCTCCTCCCTACCTCTGCGACCTATTAAACCACACCAACCTCTCGCTCCATGTGGACGGGAGAGATAGTCTTACTAAGCTCACAGATGTTGTACAGTATTTATCAATGTTAATGATTCTGAGTTCTTTTTCAGAGGTGCACTTGAAGCCTACGTTCAATCTGTACGAGCAAGAGAAGGGAAAGAATTTGCTGCTGTCTATCCAATAATGTTGCAACTGCTGCAGAAAGCCATGGCCACTGCACAGTGAAAGCTTTCAGATTAAGAGTTCCTCACATCCATTCTTGTCATTTGCATTGTAGATAGAATTGGGGCTCAGAATTGTTGTATAGTTTTAGTTATATACAGAATAATCATAATAGGGTTTGAATTTGTTTTCTGTTAAGTGAGAACCATACAATTAGCATCTTAAAAGATTACATACTCTAGAACTATAATTAACAAGAATCTTTCATTTTTTAAAGGTGCTTTTGATTAACAGTGAATGTAATTAATTGTGAAGCAGAACACTGTTAGAATCAGCATTTAGCCCCAGAGTACTGAAGTTTAATTAGATATCAGTAGATTAACACATCAAGGTGGGTAATTTGGAATCAAAAGTTAAATATTCACTCCCTTAATTTATTGGGCTCAGTAACTCTTTCAAACCAGCTACAACTAATGATGTAATTACTCCCTACTGTTAAATAAAAAATATTTGTAAAATAAAGCAGTGTACACACAGTATTACATTTTGTTTAACATCTCCAATAATGCAGCATTGTAATAAGAGTGTCAGCTCCTAGGTTTTATATGTAAAATATATCTCCTGGAGAGATAATTGATTTAACAAATAGCACAACTTTACAGATAAGTAGATTGATAGATTTCTTGTGGATAACGGGATATGGGGATAAGGCCGGTAGGTGGAGTTAGAATAGATCAGCCATGATCTTATCGAATGGCCTACTCCTGCTCCTAATTCTTATGTTCTTATGTAAACTTTACAAAATTCTTTAGAAAATATGTAATTATAAAAATATTAGTCATAAGAAAAACGTTATCAAACTTTATCAAACACACAGCATCAAAGAAGGTAATATTGTCTTTAATAGCATGCTAAGAAAGGTTACTGCCACCTTTTTAAAATCACAAAATATAAAGAAATACGGAAAGACAATTAATATTTTACAAATTTATTTGAACTTGAATACAATAAAAATAGTCTGTATTTTTGTGCAAGAGTTCCTGTGGGGCAACAGCCTGTATAAAGACAAATTTACTTGAGTTAAAGCAGTTGCATAAATGTTGACCAGTGACTGTAAAATCAACACTGTGTGGCATAAATGCCATTCCATGAGAATGCCACATTGCATGAGTCATTATCATGTGCTCGTTTTCATAATGTTACAAGAAACATTAAAGTGCAAGAGTTTTTAGCACAATTCCAGCCCAAGTGCTTGTTGTGCCCCAATCTCTGAATACAAGCCTCGAGTTTTATGGCAACTTTAATTGGCTAAAACACCACAAAAGTAAATTTGGGAGTTTTCCCCGCTACATACATATACTAATTCCCCCCACCTGCTGCAAATAAAGTCAATTGAATTAAAATTGTGCAATATAGTGAGTGATACAACAGCAGTTATACAGAATTTTAAAACTTTACCCATTTACATTCTTAAAAATAGACATCTTTATATACCTACTTTCCTTCTTTACCTTAGCACCACAGGATTTTTAGTACAAAGTTTTCAAGCCTAAAAGCTATATTTACCTGAAATAACCTTTGAACTTTGGAAGAACAAGGTATTATGGCCATTTACAATGCGCAATAGTTTTAGGAAAGTCAGAAAGATTAAATGCTTTGATTTACAATATCAGCCACATATAAAAAGCAAACTAACTTATTTTAGATTTATTACAGTTGTCTAAATAGGTCATATTTGTTATCACACAAAAAACTCAAATTAAAACAAATAGATACACAAGAGCCATTTGCTCATTTGCATCCAGTTTTATAGAATTCATTCCGAATGGTGAAAGTTGAGAATAAAACGTTTCAAAAGTTGCTTGGTTACTGCTGTTGAGAGCCCTGTTCAAAACAAAGTAAATACAGGAAGTTAGCGTAACACATTTGTTTTTCTAAATTAAAACATGAAATATATAGTTAAAAATATTTCCGGTAATCACATGGGATGCTTTCACTGGCCTTCAATCAGTGCTTTGTTATTTATTTACAACAACATCCACACACTCACACCAACAATTTTATTGATGCTATCTATATTGTACTTTTCATAATTCATTCAATCAAGACAGACAGACAGATTTTCCCTCATCCAGCTATTAATTATGAGACACTTTAAATGTTAAGATGTCTGTGTATTTAAATGTGAAGTTTTAGCAATTGATTATTTGGTTTAAATGGACATCAATGAAGACAATGTTCCATTTCTTTATAATTGTATCTGAAATAATTGGTTTTCTGTTTAACTATAACTTCTGGCACTCAGTCTATGTGAAGAAGTCCTTCCTAAACTCCCTATTAGATCTACTACTAGTTATCATATTTGTGTGTTTCGCCCACAACATTGAGGACGTGATAAGACACTGTCACTAATAAACACGAGGATTATTAGTATTATATTTATGCCTCTAATTTGGACTCACCAACAATTGGAAACAGCCCATTGACATCCATCCTGTTGAATCCTTTCATAATCTTAAACACTTCTCTCACCTGTTACATACAGTTACAAGGAGTGTTTTGATACAAACACTTTAGAATTGAAACGCAATAACTAAATAAATAATTGATAATTGTTACAAAACACAAACTACTGCAGATGCTGAAAATCTGAAACAAAAACAGAAGTCGCTGCGAACACTCAGCAGGTCAGGCAGCATCTATGGAGAAAGTGAGTCGACATTTTGGGGTCCACAATCCTTCATCAGAACTGGGGTATGTTCGGAAGGAGAGGTTTTTAAAGACTAACAGAGGGGGGAGGCAGGGCAAGGAAGACAAAGAAGAAAATGGGGTAGAGGACGGGGAATTGCAACAAAACGGGCAGACCAGAGAGAAGAAAGGAGTGCCTGGGACCCAGATGATGGTCAACATTATCTTTACAGGGCCCCAAACACAGATTTAAAGTGAGACAGCGATTTGCATGTATTACCACCAATATAGTTTACTGCATTCGCTGCTCATGATGAGGTCTCCTCGACATTGGGGAGACAATGTGCAGATTGTGTGACCGATTTGCTAACCCTAACTAACCCTAACCTCCATTCTGTCCACAAGCAAAACCCTGAGCTTCCGGTTTCTTGCTGTTTCAACTCTCCCTCCTGCACTCTGACCTCTCCATCCATGGTCTACGCTGGTCCAATGAGCCACAGCACAAGCTCGAGGAACAGCACCTCGTTTATCTGATGGGACCTTACAGCCTCTGGCCTCGATATTGATTTCAACAATTTCAGACCATAACAGCTCACCTTCCCTCTCCCATTCTTCTGTGACCTTCACCACATCATCCTGGTCCCAGACACACCTCTCTCTGGTCGGCCTGTTTTGTTGCAATCCCCGTTGTTCTGCATCGTTAACACCTCTTTAACTCATCATCTCCCACCCTCTACCCCATTTTCTCCTTTGTCTTCCTTGCCCTGCCTCCCCCCTCTGTTAGTCCTTAAAAGCCTCTCACTCCCAACATGCCCCAGTTCTCACGAAGGGTTACAAACTGATAATTGTTGTCTGGTACATTAGTTTGAAGATCAGTGAAAGTCTTAACATATTTTCACTCAAGGGATGAAGCAGCAATACCCTGGTAACGTTTGTTAATTGCTCTGGGATGCTACCCTGCATGAGGGGCACTATATAAATGCAAGTTGCTGTTGAAACAAATACTTATTCTATATTAACATTCAGTAGAAGGCACTAAACAGTATCTATATAGCAATCTATGGTAAGATGCAGTTTGCAATCTAATTAATCAAGTTATGTAAAGTACTTTGAACCGTGCTTTTATGTAAACATTATGTTGTTGAGATGATCCTGGATTACAAACACCAGCTACATTATTTCCAGGTATTTGGGAAGGAAGCAGGAAGCCTTAGAGCAGCCAATGGCAAATGTACATGTTCGAGTCTCCAATCTACTGAGTTTCCCCGACTGTGATCAGTATGTACGCAAAGTCACAAACTTGCAGAAGTGATTCTTGCAGAAGTGAATACAAATTTAAAAATACGGTAGCTCCCAGCACTCTGGGACACAACACTGTACGAAAGCCGCTATATAAATGCAAGTTGTTGTTGTCTCTTACACAATTCTTCAGTGAGATTGGAAATAATATGAGGTTTTGTGACTCTGAGAAGTTCTTGATTCAGAAACACCTAAACTAAACAAAGTGAGAGATATCCTCCCGATAGACCAACAGCACAAACATAAGCTATATAAATACTTACAGAGTTGCTTCGCTTTCTTTTCCAGCAGTCTGGATTAAGGCGTTTTTGTTCCTCTGCCAGAGCCTTGGCTTCCAATGTGTAAACTCTCCGTTCTTCATTCCTCATCTTCTTCCACCGATCGCCTAAAATCACACTGATGGCCCTGCAGTATACACACAAAAACTGGTCTTACATTTTACAATGATCAGATAGTGTCCTACTTGTTTTAAAATTGGGTTACACACTGAAATCTTATCAGTTTCTATTTCAGAATTCACACTAGTTAGTTAGGGTTAGCGAAATGATTTTTCTGAACCTGAATATTAGAACAGCTTTTACATCACATCACAGTATCTTACTTGTACTGTTAGGTTAAGGACTTTTTACTGAGACTCAAATTAATTTCTTACCAATGTCAATACATACTGTAGTCCGTGTTTTTGATACAGGACATTCAGACATTTACACTGAAAACCTGATGCTAATTATTTCCTTTGGCTCTTATCCTGACACCACACACTGAGGTCATTAGTGTTGCTCAAAGTTTGTATGTTATCTGGTTAATTGTCCAGCAACTTGTATCAATGTGGATAAATATTCTAGTTGATTACAGTATTAAATTAGCTCTGGTGACCTCCGCTGGCAAGAGGCGTCTCTGAGTTAAATACACAAACTAACTTATTGCCATAACTGAGTCTTGTCAAAAGTCACAAGTATTCAATGAGGGAGAAATCACCCAATGGTTTACAATTAGTGGCTTCAGATGAAATGATAAATCAATTATCAGTTTCCATTTTCTCTATTATACAGGCAAGGTACAGCAATACAACAATTGTATTTAAATAGTGTTCAACAAGTAGGATAACCTGACTTCAAGTGTCCGGAATTCAGGATTAGCCAAAAATCCAGCCCACAAATTTCCAAATGCTGCAGCCACAGCTGCCCACACTCGACAAGTAGTTTAGTCGCAGCCATCGAGTAATTGGTGAGTGCAGAACTACATTAAACTCCTGATAACTTGTCACTACCACCCAACGCTGTCAATATCCCAGCCACATTTATTTATGTATTTATACACTTGCCTATCTTCCCACTCTGGATAACTCATCATTGAGCCCTTTTCTCTTGGAGTGGTCAGTTACCAGGAGTGACCAGTTATCAGGAGTAACTACACAGTTTTTTTGGAGGGAGGCATTTTATTTCAAATTCATTTTTTATTCATTTTAAATGTTGTGGAGGATTTAATTGTAACTTATTTTTAATGTTAGGAATAACACTTAGGCAGACAAGATCTTGCTGTTAGTTTGGTTAGCTGGAGTAGACTGGACATGGAGTGCAGAGATGGGAAACAACACTTTACTAGTTGGAATGATTGTTCTTAAACTGAAAGATTCTGCCCAGAAAGCTCACATACTGCATGTTATACAGGTTTGTTTGATCTGAGCACGTGTTTGATCTGTGAGCAATGATACAACAAGCTGGAGCTCTTCAGTTGAGCTAAGAGGAATGTTTATCATCAGTGTTAACAGGAGACATCTCAGAGAACCCCTCATACAGGGAGTGAAAGAGTGACAACAATACTTTCAAATACAAAAACAGAAGTTGCTGGGAACACTCAGCAGGTCAGGCAGCATCTATGGGGAGAGGAAAGTGAGTCAACGTTTCGGTTCCATGACCCTTCATCAGAATACTTTCAGATACACTGAGACAGCAGAACAATTTGCAGGACAGACACAAGGAACTATTTATTTATCCAGATGACAATTTGCCTACAGAAAACAGCTCACTACACTTTACCGTAAATCCTGTGATATGCTTTGAAACAGCCTCCCTGTGTGAAAGGCACGAAGTCAAATGCAAGGATTAATGATAATAAATGACAAACAGGTTGTCAGGATGCTAACCCTAACCCAATGCTTCTTTACAATATGTACATTCATACTTCACTTAGTTTTACTCTGCTACTAATCATGGAGTCAGATTTAATTTATTGACTGTATTGGTTTTGGCAAATAGTTTCTAGCAGAAGTTTAAACATAGCATTGAATCATAGGTGTACTCAGTAAGCACCTTCAGGCGTTTACTCACAGACACTGAATAAGTTTATTTTTTGATGAGGCAGAACTTTTTCAACGTATGGATTTTATATGAGCAATTGCAACATTTGTATCCCCCACACACACATTTTTCAAAGTGATGAAAATGTTTCAAACGCCCAGATTTTATTATTATTTATTATCGTCTCTTATTAAAAATCCTGATGATAATCCCTAAAAATATTATAAATTGGTCATTTCAATCCATGACTGTTTGTGGGGACACTGCTGTGTGCAATTGGCTGCCGCGTTCGCCCACAAATATACAGTCAATTCACTTTACAGTATATTCTGTGAAGCGCTTTGAGACGTCTAGAAGATGTGAAAAGCACTATATCAAATGCAAGGATTATTATTACTATTATTATTAAGAGTGAAAATAAGAGGTTAAACATATTTCAAAATGTGGGCATCTAAATTGTAACATTCATAATGGAACTTGTAAATGATTTGTGAACATTGAATCTCGTCAGTAACACGAATGTGAACTCATGTGACACGAGAGAAGCAAAGGATTCAACATTTACAAATCCTGTCACCAATGTTTAATTGTGGATGCTGTTGGGAACACCACCAACGAATTACACTTGTATAGCGTCCTGCATGTCAGAAAGACATCCTAGCACCCTGCACAGTCAGGGGGTTTGGGACCTGAGCTGGGAGATGGGGTCATGAGGGGTGGAGGACACCAAATCAAACATCACATTCTTTCAGCCATCTTACAAGAAAATTATTTTTCAAATAAAGGATTATTATTATTAAAGTATGTTTTATTAACTGCTGTGTAAAAACAAAACAGAGCATTTATTTCACACACTGCATGTATATACATTAGACTGTAAATCAAATACTTGTCAGTCTTGTCTGCAAAATATACTAAAGAATATTTGAGAATGGAGCCTCAGCTGCAAACAAATCATTTGATTGGATTTTAAAAGTTAAAACTATAATCTGAAGAAGAAAATAAGTTGGAAAGCAAATATATTCATTTGTAGAAATGAACGATTGTGATACCAAGACAAATCCAATCAGATAATTATAATTATACTAACCTGTTATCCTTCCCAGGATACATCTGAGTGTATTCAACTCGATACTTTTTGGCAAAGAGCATGAAGGCATTCATTGGTCTTTTGCACTTGTTACTTGGGGGAGAAGTGGTGCTCACGGTCCCTGAGTTCAGACTTTTGCTGGATTTGTTATAAGAATGACAAGGCAGATGTGGTGATCGAGAAGCCACAGAGTCTCGGGTCCTGTCTGCTGTGTCACAGTCGGGGCTGCTAGGGCAGCCACTAGTTTGGGAAGCTCGACGCTGACGAGCCATACTACTCAGTACATAGACAGCAGAGGAATCCAGTGGTGTAAAGTCATAGCTGTAACCAAGAGAGTTAGTTATAAGCAACAATTCTTATGTTCAGAATTGATTATTCAAGATTATTAACCTATATTAAAGGGGTGTGGGGGTGGAGATAGGAGTGGGGTGTGGAGGGTTAACAGAGAAACGACACCATGGCCTTGTTTCCATGGACATCAGAGACAGGACATCGACCTGCCCTTTAACTATAAAATAGACATGTGGAAAAGAGGGAGAGAATTTACTGACTGAAAGGAACATGAAAATAAAACATTGATTTCCACTAAATGTAATCGCTTCAGAAACAACAACTGACATTTATATACAGAGCCAACGCCAGCCACCAGCCAACCAGCCAGTGCCACTCCAGCGAGCGCCCCTCCAGCCAGCGCCAGGCCAGCCGCCAGCCAGCGCCACATCACATAGGTGACAGGAAGCAATGGATACTATTGGAAAAGAGGTGTTTCTCTGTGTTTTGGTCAATAACAACATTACATGTGTAAAGTGCCTTTCACGTCAGGAGGACGTCCCAAGGCACTGAACGGACAGAGTTTCGGACCTGAGCTGGGGGTCGGGATCGGGGAGGGTGGAGAGCAGGGGGAGAAACAGGGAGATCAAAAGCACAGTCGAAGAGGAGGGCCTTGAGATGGGTCTTGAAGGTGACAAGGGAGGGGACGAGGCGGAGGGACTGCGGTATGGAGTTCCAGAGGGTGGGGGCAGAGTGGCAGAAGGCCTGCCTGCCAATGGTGGGGCGAGCGAGGCAGGGGACGTGAAGCAGGCGGAGGGAACGAACAGGATGGTAGGGGTTAGGAGGTCGGAGAGGTAGGGGGGAGCAAGACCATGGAGGGCTTTGAAGGTAAGGACCAGGATCTTGAACTGTATCCTCTGTGATGGGAAGCCAGTGGAGTTGGGCAAGGTTGGGGGAATAGGGTCACGGAGTCTGGTGCGGGAGTGAACACGGGCTGCAGAGTTCTGGATGATCTGCAGCCTGTGGAGGGAGGAGTTGGGGAGGTCGACAAGCAAGGGAATTTGCAAAGTCGAGCCACAATGTAATGAATGATGTATGAGGGTCTCGGTGGCCTCTGGTGGGAGACAGTGGTGATGTTGCGGAGGTGGGGAAAGCAGAGCAGGTCATGGCGCGGATGTGGGGTAGAAAGGATAGTTGAGGGTCAAACAAGACGCCAAGATCACAGAGGCGTGTGGAGTAAGGAAACTTGCCTAAGGTTTTGCCCTTCTAGGAATCGAACCCAGGTCTCTCGCTTGCAAGAGGTGAGTGCTTTAACCACTGAGCTACATGACTCACTGCCTGACCTGTTGTGTGTTCCCAGCGGCTTCTGCCTTTAGCTCATTTTAGTGTTGGGGATATTATTCTAAGGTATTTATTCTCATTATTTGGGATCAGTCTGTTACTGATATTCATCTGTTACTCAGACACATTAGCCAATTCATTATTGTAATCGGGATAGCTATTATATATTATTATAAACGGTTTCTCATTTCATAACCTTTTAAGATTCAGAAAGATTTTGTGTCAAAATAGTCAACAAAACTTGATCACCTCCTAAATGTGTCAAAAACACCTGAATCGTCAAAGTTGTTGGCATCAGGATGGCCCGGAGGGAGGCAGACATCTCCCAGCTCCATCTCACAGCACGGGATTCCATGCTGCACTGCTGTCAGGCTGGGGTAAAAGGAACACCAACCTGCATTGATTAAAAATACATCAGAAAAAATATAGAAAGGAAATCATTTATACGTACCATGCTATGAGTAAGAAAAGAAAAAATAATTCACAATGATGATGCATTTCTAACCTTTATTCCTCACATAAAAGGGATGATCCAATCTGCACTCCACAAACAATCTGACAACTTCGGATTTGCCAGGATCAAAGGTCAGTTTCAGAACTGAACGTCCAAAGGAAACAGTTTCTTCATGTGAGACCAATGTTAATCCTTCAGAACCATATCCATATCTCTGTGAAAGGAAACAGCACAACATAGGAACAGCATAACCATAGATTGGTAAACAAAACAGCTAGAAGATGATTTTCTAATTACAATTCCAAATCACAAAGAAATGTGTCTGTTCTTCCACAAATAACAAATGTTACATGTTATGACACTATGAGAATTTTACTTTTTAAACAGAAATGATTGGCAGGTGAATTTCCCCAAAGTTTGGATTTGTGCCAGAATATGACAGAACCACAGAAAGTCATTTGCCCAATGGTGCCTGTGCCACTCCCTCAAGAGCAATCCTTTCAGCCCCAATTACTCTCCCTTTCCCCACAACCTATAATTATATTATTGTAATTATTATTATTAACTTGTAGCTGACTTGTTTTAAAACTCTATTTCCCTCTTGAAAAACAATATGGATTTTGCCTCAACCACTGCTCCCGGCTGGGCCTTCCCTATCCTTACTATTCTCTGAGGAAACATTTCTCCTAACCTCCTCTTTCGTTGTTTATTAATTATCTTAAACTGATGCCCTCTAGTTACCAACTCACTCGCCATTATTACCACTTTTCTTTAAAAAACATGGGATGTGTTTGCAGAAGATAACACACGTGTTGTGTTGGTCAGACAGGTATGACACATGCAAACATCGAACAATAATACCTAACCATCTCCAAACCAAACCACTTAATGTTCCACACAGTGGTTTGGCCTATAAATTGAGACGGCCAATTGTAATGGCCACCAATCGTCACTTTCAGGTTGTCAGGTCAGCACTAACAATACTTTCTCCCCAAATACATTACACACAGGAAGCACACAGACATCAAGCATTTCATCAAGTACGCAGTGTATCCAAATTTCAAAATGATAGGAATCTCCCAGATTTAGTGCTAAACATGTCTACGGTCATACCTTCTGTAGCAGGACTCGCTCATCGCCAGGACTAGTTTCAAATTTTGCAAACTCTTCAACATCCTGCCAGGCAGTATTCTCACCCTTCTGGAAGCACAGACGTGTTCCTACAAGAACAAATCACACTTCTTTTTTGCAGCAGTAAGAGTAAATTGTGCATTGCATTAATTGTATTGAAATAGAAAAGACTTTCTCAGTTGCTAAAACTGTCACCTGTTATGAATTCTGCTTTAACCCCATATATAAACCTGTATATAACTAGACAATAACTGCTGTATTTAATTATCCATGTATTGTAAAGAACCACTGATGGTTGCTAACCATTAACATGCTAGATTGAAAAGTTCCAAAATGCACTGGAACCATGGAAAATGATATTATACAGAAAATTGCAATACTAAGATACTATAGATTCTTACATATGATATTTTAGCATTGTACTTACATTCAATACTGATAACATGGCTATTCCCATACCTTACCAGGTTAATATTAAGTTCACCTTTCATGAAACAGTTCCACGCAGTGGAAGGCCATGAGTGGGACCACCCAAGTTCATCATCATCTGACAGAGAAGAGAAGCAGAAGATGTCTGACTCCGATTCACTGCTCACCTGCCACAAAAACAAAGCATCCAAAAATAAAGCTACCATGCCCTTCGTCCTTTCATTTGTTTCACAACTCAATGGAAATAGTAATGGAGGAAGATAGTAATACTATGACAGCAATTTTTAAAAAAAACACTATTTCTCCCCCTTTTTTCCCTTCTGCCCCCTCCCCCCCACCATGATGAAAGGTTTGTTACTTTATAAATTTACAACAGAAGAAAGATGCAACTAGTTTGCTAGTAATTCTACTTTTAAGCCAAACACCCGAACAAATGAATAGCAGCTAAAGAAAGACTGCTCTCCAGATCTCCCTCTCCCAGAGAGATGTCCAACTGTTATTTGACTCAGTAGCAACACTAAACTGAGTAGAGCTGGGAAACCATTCTAGTTATGTTCTACTCCATGGCACTGCGACAATGTGGAACCGTCTAGTATATTAAAGTAAATGACCGAACTTTGCTTACTCAGCCTACAATCTACATAGTCTATGAGTTAGTTTGATAAGTTTATCAAAGCACTTAGCTAGCGCACACCTGAGCCCAATGTGCAGCATCACTTCCAACAGTTTTATTCTGTTGGTGACAATGTGCTCTGGGACGCTGCCCCGCATGAAGGGCGCTCTACAAAATGCAAGCTGTTGTTGTTGTATGTGCTTTAGTGATTATGTTAAAACCAGCAGAAATAAAAAGATTCCCAGAAACAATGAATCAATCCTCATGCCTGCCATCCCACAACATTCCCAGTAACAAAAAATCCTGTAACCATTGTTACAGCAGGTGAGGGCCAAACTTTAAATGATTTAAACAATGTCGCTACAAATGCTGAGCAAACTCTCATTGATATCTCAAATAGGTGCTTTGAGTTACAAATTGTAGATTGACAATTTTTACAAGTGAAATTTTTAGGTTTCAAAATGACAACTTGAAGATCAATTCCACTTAGAAACCTAATGTTGTGTTATATGGCCAATGAAATAGAATAACATGTTGAATGTGAATAATTCTACTAAAAAGGCGTTCAGAAAAATATCAAACCAAATAGAAATTGTCAAAATAATAATGCCCTAGATGGAAGTATTAGGTTGAATAAATTCATCTGGTAAAGAATATCATTAATGGACTAGTGTTGTAGCAGATGTTACTGGAGACAGAGCACACTATTATCTAGTGGTTGTCACCCTTGATTCCCAATACACATTTGGCAGAAAGGAGCCTAAGATGAGAGCAGATGCTAACAAACAGGTCAAATATAGACATACCCTTTCCCGTTTGATGGTGGTCTGATCTGCCCAATGAGCTGAGGAGAAGCCGGTCTCACTGTCACTTGCTGAAGGAGTTGGAGGAGGACGAGCGTAGGAATGTAAACTTTTACTTGTGGCCAATAAATGCACTGGAGCTCTGAAACACAAACTAAACTGGAACCTTGCATAATTTAAGTACAATTGTAAAATAAAAATTCAAGGTATAGCATACATTTTCAGCAAATCTATCATCAAACTGAAAAGCATTCCAGGAATTCTGGGAATAATAAACCACATACTATGTTACAATATGAACATTAAAGGGATAGATGATCAAACTGGTATACTTTCTACTCAAACAAGTTATTTTATTATATTTGCTGATGGCAAAATGTTCCAGGTTTCTGTAAATGACCACTTTACACTAAGCAGGTCAACAGATCTCAAAAATATCATTCACTGAATACACTCTGTACTGTATGAATATTTAGCAATGCTTCATAAAGCCTGTTTTGGGGTAAACAGTCTGTTGTTTGATAAAGGTTTAAAAGCACCCAGTCTGAAAGAAAGCACAATTGAAGAGAAAAAATAGCTAATGTTGCCATTTATCTCCTGTGGCAACATTCATTCATCTTCAGTCATTACATTGGAGTCCTTTAAATTACAAATGTCCTCAATGGCATTTACACAAACCTGTTATAAAATGTGCACTGCATGAGAGGGCTTTGTGGGCTAGTGGCAATATTAGCCAATTCCGTGAGCCAATTCATACCAGAATCACCCGGGAGAGGTAAGGCACTGTTAGAGGAGCTGGAGGTACACATGGGCTGAGGCCTCAGGCATTGTTGATGAGACACACCACTGAGGTGAAAAGCTGGAGGTAAAGTTCTGTCTGTTTCTACAGCTTTCAGTTCTGGGAGATCATCTAGAAAACAAGAAACGCAAAATACTGAAAAACTATAATACATTGTCGAACTGCACAATAAATGATTTGCATGTACTGTATCCGATTTTACCAGAAATACTTAATATCATCTAACAAAATACACATGTACAATCCCCACGTGGAAAGATGAATGGAACGATTTTAAAAAAATGTCTTAATAGCCTAAAATAATATTGATGACCACATTGAGTAACTGAACCTTAACTTAGTTGAGATTTTGAACATAAAGACTAGATTCTCCAGAAAGCATCACGGCCAGAGTAGTATCCCAGCATATACACACAGGATAGCGCTCAGTGTGGTAATACACCAGTGACATGGGGTCAACTTCCACATGTATGTGGATGACACCCAACTCTACCTCTCTGCCTCGACCCTTGACTCCAGAACCTCTGCTGTCGTGACAGAAGGTCTGTCAGACATCAAGTCCTGGATGAGAGCTAACTTTCTTCAGTTGAATGTCAACAAAGACCGAGGCTCCTGATTGATTCCCATCAGCGCCTCACCTCAGGCCCTGACAGCATCACCATCGATGGTTGCACACTCCACCTTGCTAAGCCGGTCCGGAACCTTGGGGTCTTGTTTGACCCTCAACTATCCTTTTTACCCCATATCTGTGCCATGACCCGCTCTGCCTTCCCCACCTCCGCAACATTGCCTGGCTCTGTCACTGTCTCACACCACAGGCCGCCGAAACCCTCATATGTGCTTTCATCACATCGAGGCTCGACTATGCAAACTCCCTGCTTGTTGGCCTCCCCAACTCCTCCCTTTATAGACTGCAGATCATCCAGAACTCTGCAGCCCGTGTCCTCTCCCGCACCAGGCTCCGTGACCCTATCACCCCCATCCTCGCCCGACTCCACTGGTTTCCCATCACACCGAGCACACAGTTCAAGATCCTGGTCCTCACCTTCAAAGCCCTCCATGATCTTACTCCCCTCTACCTCTACGGCCTTCTAACCCCCTACCATCCTGTTCGCTCCCTCCACTAAGCGGGCTCCAGCCTGCTTCACGTCCCCTGCCTCGCTCACCCCACTATCGGCGGTCGGGCCTTCTGCCAATGTGCTCCCACCCTCTGAAACTCCATCCCAGTCCCCCCTCCTCGTACCCTCCCTTGTCTCCTTCAAGACCCATCTCAAGACCCTCCTCTTCGACCGTGTTTTTGATTGTGCTGCTTCCCCTCCTGCCCTCCCCGACCCCCAGCTCGGGTCCGAAACTCCGTCTGTCCAGCGCCTTGTGACATCCTCCCGACGTGAAAGGTGCTATACAAATGTAATTTTGTTGTGGTTTCAGCGCCTTGGGACGTTCTCCCGACGTGAAAGGCGCTCTATAAATGGAATCTTGTTGTTGTTAATAATAATAATTATTAATAGTGACCGTATCTCTGTATTGATAGTTTACACTGACAGAACACAGCTAAATTATGGGGTGCGTATAAAGCCTTTGCTAGAGATGGCAATAAAGAACTGCTCACACTGATGGCTTGTCAGTACCAAAAATGGCCGTTGACATTGATTACTGTTATGAACTCCTAGTGCACAATAGCATAGAGCATGTTTGCTCAACACCTGGCATAACCAATGTATTTTCAACATGGAAGCCAATAGTTTGGTGTTGAGTTTCCAGCTGAGGGACAAGCTCAGAGTAAAGGGCTCAGTTGGTGTCTGATGCCAGACCAGCCAAGTACCCAGAAGCAGGAGCTTTATTGATACTCACACACAGAGCTATTATGCATCCCAGAACTAACAGCTGGTGTTACACTAGAATACATTCGAGAAGGCCTGACAAGTTTTGCTTGATCACATCAGCCCCTGATACCTGTCTGCTGGTACGGTAAGTAAAGCTGCAGGTTAACTTCTGACTTACCTGGACATTCCCTTGATTAATCGGGTCTAAAAACCAAGATTTCAGGATTGTTTCCAGCAGTGGAGGGAAGAGGACTGTCTATTCCCTGTTCCTAAAAGTTCTGCTGTTCCTGTATTCTACAATGCTGCATTAACAGCGATAAATCGATCTGAATACTTCAATTGGAAGCAACACATTAAAGTAAACTCTCAGATGTTTCTCAAACCACAAAAACACGAGTATCAGTAGGCGAGGTCTTTAAAAACGCATCGCTGAGCTTGTATTAATAAATATCAGGGACATTTTATTTTTACAAATATGGACATTATCCAGTGATTTGGGTCAGCGATTAGTGAATTAAAGGGCAAAAAAAATAACAGAATTTCACATATACACTCACTTACATTAATAGAAACATTATTAATATATAATATATAAGAATTCAGACAGGATCAAAGTAAAAGAATAAGAAGTTGAACACCAGCTAATATCTGCTTTAATATTACACATTTTTCATTTATTTTATGGCCAGATTATCGTCTTAAGGCAACAACAGCTTTAAATACATTTGAAAGGAAAAACAAATTGATCTGTAACATATTCAGCACATTGGGATCTGTCTCTGCCATCCATAAACCTTGAAAATTACTTAATATTCAATAACTTTCTCATAATAGCTAAGTTAATATGTCCTGTGACCCAGCACCAATTTTATTTGACAACCTACAGAAAATTCTGTCACAGCATGAGAGCAGTTACTTGCCTCCATTCACTTTCCTACCGAAGATAATCGTGAACCCACCACAAAATGAGTTAATCAAAATATTGATTAACTTATGCTTTGCACCATTAATACAAATATTCAAATAAGCATAGATCTATACTATATATTTTACAATAACAACACTACATTTGTACAGAGCCTTTCACATCGGGAGGATGTCTCAAGTCGCTGAAATACATGATTAAACAGACATAAAGGACCTGGAATATAAAAATACATCAAATGTCACTTTTCATTAATGTTTAAAAAAACAGGTGGAGGAGTATTTCAAGATAAACTACTTTCGAGTAATATTCTAAAGTCTGAACATTTTCTGTTTCTTAGAAGTTTTATAATTTTTCACTCCACAAGAAGCAACTATTGTGACTGTTCCTTGATACAGGGCACAGTGCAGAGGTTGTTAATTGTGGGAATATTACCAAACAACTCCATAGAAAATCCTGTATGTCAGCATTAAAGCTGCTGTGAATCACGATCATGAGGAAAGCAGGACAGGAAACACCTTTACTGTCTCTGAGTCCCGGTCTAACCTATTCAACCTCCTCTGGACTCCATAAAGATACTTTGCTGCCGCGTTTCATCCACAAAATATACAGTCAATTCACTTTATATTCTGTGAAGCAATTTGAGACTTCTTGAAAACATAATAAGCCACTTTATCAAATTCAAGAATTAGTTATTAATATTACTTCCTGCAGAAAGGGTAAGTATCATAAGACTGAATAGAAATAAGACAATAATATTTTCTTAAAGAAAGGAATATTGTGTACATAAAGATATGGTCACTTTCATGGCCTTTGCTCAACATTTCTCTATTAAATGTGCTATTAATAGGGATTGGACAAATATACTTACCATATTCCATACTTTCATCATTATTTGCACATCCAGGCGAAGAAGGCAAATCTTCATTACACTTTAATAATTCAAATGAATCATCCATCCCAGAAACTCTTTTGTCGACTACAAGCTGAATTTTCTGCACTCTGTTAGCCGTACTCTTTGTTTTCATGTCCCACACCATGTTATGCCATTGGACTGGAGTCGACTTAAACAAAAAAAGAAACTTACTGTAAATAAAGAAATGAATAATAAATATCAAATATTTGGGCTGACAACCCTTTGGGATTCTACAAAGTAATGTAAGGCATATACAAAAATAACACCAGTGTTTTGGTAGAATTGTGCATAACGTGGGAGAGTGGAAGAAAACACGTTCTGAACCATTATCATGTTACATGGATAGATAGCAATGGCTAGTTATATAGCATCCTCCATGTGGGGTAGTGTCTCAGCACACTGAACATACAGCTGATCATATTGATAGCCATAAAAACTATGGGGTCTTATTTGTTAAATTTAGAAAGTCCTTAAGTATAGAATATAAAACATACAGGTGTACAGAAGGGAAATTCTCCCTCCCTTTCCCCAGACAACAACAACAAAATTAAATTTGTACAGCTTACACTCTCAATGTCAACCTTCATGAAGTCAGGTCATACACTTGTCTTCTGGATCAGATCAGATAACTACTAGCTAACTTTTCACTGTACAAAATGCAAAGATCCAGCAATCAGTAACCATAACATATTGAAACTGTACAGCGGCACCAAGAAAATATTCTGATAGTTTTTCTTATATTACAGGTGACTTGAAAAACTAGAGGTCACCTTATACAGTAATATCTCATTTATATTGGAAATGTTTATATTTTACAAATAACACTTTTCTGAATTAATCCTGTTTTTGCTACATACAATGTTAATTATTTAAAAGTCATAATTTTATATACAAGCTTAGTTTTTTTTAAAAACGTCGTTAACATTTTAAAAAATTCTAAGTCTTTTGGACTTAATTTGTACCAATTCTAACCAGTTTGGATTTTTTAAAAAAATGTCAAATAATTCAGACAGACAGAGATAAGGAAAGAAAATGAGAGACTTTGCTTCTATGACACATGTTTTGGCCAATTCCAGTTATCCAATTTGTAAAGACCTAAAGATCATTATGCTTCTAACAGCGTCCCGTCATGCACCAATTCTAGTTTATAAAAGACGCAAATAGCCAGTATGATACAGGAGCTTGTGAGTGAGAAGCTGGCGAGTTCAAACATAAACATCCTCCCCTACTATTTGCTAAATGTTCTATTCCTAAACATTTCAATTTGAAAATACAAATGTTGTATCTTCCGAATGACACTAGTCACATATCACTGCTTATTACAATCTGAAGTAGACCAATAATCTTAAATGTCAAGTCCACAAACTGAACTACCAAACATAAATATGCCTGTAAATATTTATGTTGACGAGCCATAAACATTGGACAAATAAAAGAAAATATTTCTTGGATAAATAATCTAACTGTGAGTGCAAACAAATGTAACTACCTGTGAAATGGGAAATTACATTATATGAATAAAAATTGAAACTAACTATACTTGTGTAACATTCCTGCTTGACGTTTACACAAAGATTAAAGATCTTCTCACAAAATGTTTCATGTTGTATTGCCACATTATACGATGACACCATCACACATTCTTAACTAGCATATCCATTAAACTAATATCTGGATTTGGGAAAAGGTACATATTCTTATATGCAATAAGTCATTGTGCTATTGTTTCCTGAACAATTCCAATCCACCACTCTTTCACGAACATAAGTAAAATAAGTGGATGTGTGATTAAATTAATAAATAAAAGAGCAACACTAGAGTTCCCTCACTGGGAAGGAATTACACAAAACTCCAGTTTATTGCCCTTCAAAGTTTTCTAAATGTTGTACATTTGCTGTCACCAGATTACACTCCATCGCCTGTAGAAAATTTCCAAAGGATTCGGAAGTGTTCTTTCTTTGGTTCATTATATGAGCATCACTTGCCATATATTATATATATATATACACACACACACACACACACATATATATATATATCTGTATATACACACACACACAGCCATCACTGCTTTAATACCACGATGGTCCATTTCAGGTGAATTCTCAGTGCTTGTTCCTATTTGGCCACCTAACACAACAAACATATAAATATTAAACCTCTCTATCTTAGGGTTAGCAACAACAACAACTTGCATTTATATAGTGCCCTTCATGTGGGGTAGCATCCTGGATCTAACCAAATAATGAATCCCAACCTCCAGCAGGCATTTTCATGCTTGTCACTAGATGAACTGAACATATTTATATCTCAATAGGAATGCTCATGCATCATTCTGAATTCTCCAAGCTGTGCTGTTTAACACATTAATTACCCGTGTATCGGCTGCACTTCAGGAGCAGGAAGGATTAAGTCAGGAACAATTACATATAAACACCCAGAAATGTTAGAAAGTACAAAGGTGGGAGAAAAGGCTGAAGAAGAGAAATAAAGAACAGAGAAGGAACAAAAGTGAAAAATATTTTCAAACAACAAAAACAACAAGTAGTAAGCAACAATAGTGAGAGGGAAAATTACTACAACAAAAAGACAGGGCGTTATTAGCACTTCCCTTTTGGGTGGCAACACTCTACTGAAATCAAAGTATCAATGCTTTAAATTATTATTTACCCAGAGGAGTTTCTGATGGAAACAATAACAACAAATTACGTTGTATAGCACTTTTCACATTTACATTTAGTGCCACATTGGGGGCAGTTTGTGCTTGTGTCGCTGTGTGGAGTCTGCCAAAAGCATTTCATACAGCCAATCAACATGCGTGCACCAGTCTGAAGCTGGGTATTGAGGTGAAATTCAAGTGTGTGTCCCGTCGTCCCCCCTCCCCGGAGATCCAAACACAGATAAACTCGGAACTCTCCAATGATGGAATATTGTGCTTATATCTGAGATAAATCTTCTAAAAGGTGCATAATGCAGATTTCTCAAAAACTATTCATCTAAACATTAATCAGCCATAAGAGATGGAAAAGCACATTAGCTTCATCACCAGCTGCACCAAGACTGAAGATGGTCAAGATGGTCATTTCTAATCCAATTGTGTGGAATGTAGCAATGCTGACGATAAGTACCAACCCTAATTAAAGACAATAATATATATATATGGAACTTGATTTTCTTTTAAAAAACTCTCAATACATGAAAATAATCAATGAATTAACACTGACCGACTGACCTACTGATTTGGGTTGACATTTTGATGCAGTTATGCATTTCACCATCATATTCGTATCGTAGCATGTTGCATCAATACCAATTCCATGAAATGTTTCTCAATTTAATCCATTTTAAGGTTTCAATTAGCATATATATATGAATAATTTAAGAACTGTAACTTAAGACACAGAATAAAATAGCTCGCATGGGGGATTATCAGTCTAATTTAAAAATACATTTTAAATTATTTTAATTGATACAAAGCTCTTGTCAAGGGTTGCTATTTTCAACATCCACAAGCTAAAAAAATTTACATCTTAAAGCTACCGCCCACCTGCAGAATATATTAATTCACCGACTATCAATGGGAGAGTGACAGATGTGACAAACTCAGCATCTTGTTTGTCTTTCCATTTGACCTAAAGGGAGCAAAGTTAACTGGATGAAGGAGAACATTCAGAATAAATTTAAATTTTAAAAAAACTATCCCTCCAGATGAACAGGGGTTCTGTCATTTAAAAATAGCAAACACTTTGCTCTTTCAGTTTCACTGGTTTATAATTACAGAGGCATACTTTGGGTGTGAATTCATTTTAAATGTTATCATAAATTGCAAGTACAGGGACATTGATTTACACCTGAGAGTGCCGTTTCCAGCCACAAGGTTAATTAGGTTTGAAAATAACATCCTTCAGTCCAGAGCAAAGGCTTCTCAGAGTATTCAGCCAATATATAAAAGAAAGACATGATTTTACACTATTACATTTTGCGGTCACTCCAACCCTCTCCCATGAGAAACAAACGGCCCACAATGTCTCCCTGGGCCCAGGATCGGCCTCACGGTGCCCTGATGACTGTCTCACAGTAACGGCCCGAGAGCTGCCGCTGCTTTACAGAGAGACATAAAGAGCTTCGCTCCGCACTCGGAGGGGAAGGTAAACAGCCATCATGTGACCCACAGCCCGCGGCACTGAGCATGCGCGGCCACTCATTCATTCACAACTGCGTAACCGCTGCTGAACAACAAGTAAATAGATCTGAAGCTCAGGGGCGGCGCGGGGTCTGGGGGGGGGGGGGGGGGGGGGGCGGGGGTCTGGGGGCCTGTGGGGGGGGGGCCTGTGGGGGGGGGGCCTGTGGGGGGCCTGTGGGGGGCCTGGGGCCTGTGGGGGGGGCGCGGGGTCTGGGGGCCTGTGGGGGGGGGGGGGGGGGGGGGGCGCGGGTCTGGGGCTGGGGGGGGGGGGGGCGCGGGGCCTGTGGGGGGGGGGCCTGTGGGGGGGGGGAGCTGCTGTGACACCAAACCAACCCCTCCCTGGCTGAGAAGTTGTTTAACTTGGGGAGGTAGGCCCGGGGGGTGGGGGGGGAGAGGCCCGGGGAGAGGCCCGGGGAGGAGGCCCGGGGTGGGGGAGAGGCCCGGGGAGGAGGCCCGGGGGGGGGGAGAGGCCCGGGGAGGAGGCCCGGGGTGGGGGGGGGAGAGGCCCGGGGTGGGGGGGGGGAGGAGGCCCGGGGTGGGGGGGAGGAGGCTCGGGTTGGGGGGGGAGGAGGCCCGGGGTGGGGGGGGAGGAGGCCCGGGGGGGGGGGGAAGAGGCCCGGGGTGGGGGGGAGGAGGCCCGGGGTGGGGGGGGAGGAGGCTCGGGGTGGGGGGGAGGAGGCCCGGGGTGGGGGGGGAGGAGGCCCGGGGTGGGGGGGGAGGAGGCTCGGGGAAGGCCCGGGGGGGGGGGGAGGAGGCTCGGGAAGGCCCGGGGGGGGGGGGGAAGGCCACTTTCTCTCCGTCCTGAAATGAATGGGGACAAACGTCACCGAGAAAGCAACAACAACGGCCGCCGCTCTGACCCTGATGCTGACCCCGGCGCCGCGGGCGGCGCTGCTCTGGCTGGAGCTCGGCCATTGCTGTGTGCAGAGCCGCGCTGACCCGCGGTCGGTGTGTGTCTGACTCACCAGCCCGGCCGCCATTCCCCTCGGTCTCTCTCTCTCTCTCTCTCCCGAGCGCGGGGGTGGGTCCTAACACCTCCTGGTCCAACGCTGATTGGTTCGCGGCCGCGCGTCAATCCATCCACACTCGGTCCTCATTGGATGATGCAATGTTGACGTCACCGGGAACAGCTACGTCACCGCCGACAACAATGGTTCGCGGGGTATTATGGGGCAGAGCCGTGTTTTGTTTTCGCCCCGACAGCCCCGCCCCCATTACCCCACCTGTACCCCAACACCCCCTCACAGCCCCCCATTACCCCACCTGTACCCCAACACCCCCTCACAGCCCCCCATTACCCCACCTGTACCCCAACACCCCCTCACAGCCCCCCATTACCCCACCTGTACCCCAACACCCCCTCACAGCCCCCCATTACCCCACCTGTACCCCAACACCCCCTCACAGCCCCCCATTACCCCACCTGTACCCCAACACCCCCTCACAGCCCCCCATTACCCCACCTGTACCCCAACACCCCCTCACAGCCCCCCATTACCCCACCTGTACCCCAACACCCCCTCACAGCCCCCCATTACCCCACCTGTACCCCAACACCCCCTCACAGCCCCCCATTACCCCACCTGTACCCCAACACCCCCTCACAGCCCCCCATTACCCCACCTGTACCCCAACACCCCCTCACAGCCCCCCATTACCCCACCTGTACCCCAACACCCCCTCACAGCCCCCCATTACCCCACCTGTACCCCAACACCCCCTCACAGCCCCCCATTACCCCACCTGTACCCCAACACCCCCTCACAGCCCCCCATTACCCCACCTGTACCCCAACACCCCCTCACAGCCCCCCATTACCCCACCTGTACCCCAACACCCCCTCACAGCCCCCCATTACCCCACCTGTACCCCAACACCCCCTCACAGCCCCCATTACCCCACCTGTACCCCAACACCCCCTCACAGCCCCCCATTACCCCACCTGTACCCCAACACCCCCTCACAGCCCCCCATTACCCCACCTGTACCCCAACACCCCCTCACAGCCCCCCATTACCCCACCTGTACCCCGACACCCCCTCACAGCCCCCCGTTACCCCACCTGTACCCCGACACCCCCTCACAGCCCCCCGTTACCCCACCTGTACCCCGACACCCCCTCACAGCCCCCCGTTAGCCCACCTGTACCCCAACACCCCCTCACAGCCCCCCGTTAGCCCACCTGTACCCCAACACCCCCTCACAGCCCCCCGTTACCCCACCTGTACCCCAACACCCCCTCACAGCCCCCCGTTACCCCACCTGTACCCCAACACCCCCTCACAGCCCCCCATTACCCCACCTGTACCTCACCAGGCTCACAGCCTCCCTCATCCCGCCACTAACACTAACCCCCAACATTAACCCCGCTCACAGCATACACAACCCCCATTATCCCAACTAAACCCCAACACCACTCTTGACAGTGCAGCTTCCCCCATTGTACCAACACTAACCCCAACAAGCCCCAGAATTGTACCCACCTGGCAGCACAGCCATCCCTCCCTTACCCGAGCACTAACCCCGAACCTTACTCACTGACAGTACAGCCCCCCTCTTCCTTACCCCAACCCTCATTACTGCCACCCTAACCCCAACCCTAATGGTCCAAATCTCTGTCTATCCCGTGTTTTGGGACGTCCTCCCGATATGAAAGGCGCTGTGTAAATGTCATTTTGTATGGTATTGTAACACTAACCCTCAACTAAACTCCCTCACAACAACAACAAGATTACATTTATATACAGCTTCCATTGCACCAACCCTTACCCCACCCCCCTCTTCCACTCCCAAAACTAAATCCAACGATATTCCTCACACAGCACAGCCTCTCTCACAGGGCACTCACACCCAGCCCCCTCCAACCCCAACGAAACCCCCACACCCCTTTGTCCAACACTAACCCTAACCCCAACTGAACCCTTCTGACAGCACCACCTTGCTTCCGCCTTACCCCAACCCGCCTTACCCCAACTCTAACCCTAACTCTCACAGCACAGCCTCCCTCACAGGGCATTCAACCCCAGCTCCCCCAACTCTAACCCCAACTCCCTAACCCCTACTGTACCCCTCTCACAGCACAACCTCCATTACCCCAACTCACACAGCCCCCCACCCCAACTCTAATCCCAACTGTAGCCTCTCACAGCACAGCCCCTCCTCACCCCCAAACCATTATCCCCAACTCTACTCACCCTTACCTTCACCCCAAACCTTTACCCCAAAGTAATGGGCAATGGTCTTCATAGATTCATAGAATCTTACAGCACAAAAAGAGGCCATTTGGCCCATCGAGTTCTGTGCTGCTCTTTGTGAAGAGCAATGTAATGTCAATCCCACTCCCCAGCCCTTTCCCCATAACCCGCAAACCCGTCCTCCTCAAATACCCGTCCACCGCGTTTTTAAAAGTTGTTATCGAATCGGCCTCGACCGCCCTTTCAGGCAATGCATTTCAGATTTGAACAACTCGCTGCGTGAAGCAATGTCTCCCCTCGGCTTCTCTTAGATACTATTTTGCATCTGTGACCTCGAGTCACCGACACAACCACCAGTGGGAACAGTTTGTCCCTTTCTAAGCTATCAAATCCCCTCATGATTTTGAAGACCTCTATCAGGTCCTCGTAACCTTCTCTGCTCCAATGAGACTAATCCTAACCTCTCCTCATCATCACGGTCCCTCATTCCTGGTACCATCCTCGTTAATCTCCTCTGCACACTTTCCAATGCCTTAACATCCTTCCTATAGTGTGGTGCCCAGAACTGGGGCAGTATTCTAACTGAGGCCTAACCAGTGTTTTATATGGGTTAATCATCACCTCCTCACACTCTTGTACTCTATGCCCCTATTTATAAAGCCTAGTATCCCATATGCCCTTTTTACAGCTTTATCTACCTGTCCTGACACCTTCATTTACCTGCACCCCCAGGTTGCTCTGTTCTTTTACCCCCCTTAAGATTATATTGCCTCCTCTCATTCTTTCTACCAAAATGCATTACTTCGCATTTCTCCACATTGAAACTCATCTGCCATGTGTCGCCCATTTTACCATTCTGTCTATGTCTTCCTGCAGTCGGCTCCTATCCTTCTCACTGTTTACCCCCTCCCTAACTTTGTGTCGTCCGCAAACTTGGAAATGGTGTTTGCTATACCCAAGTCCAGATCATTTATGTATATTAAGAAGAGCAGTGGTCCTAATACCGATCCCTGGGGGACACCACTGTACACTTCCCTCCAGTCAGAAAAGCAGCCGTTCACCACAACTCTCTGCTCTCTGTCTCCCAGCCAGTTCTGGATCCGCTGCCACTGTCCCTTTTATACCATTGGCTTCTATCTTTCTTACAAGTCTTTCATGTGGCACTTTGTCGAATGCCTTTTGAAAGTCCATATGAACTACATCAACTGCACTGCCTTAATCCACCCTCTCCGTTACCTCATCGAAAAATTCTATGAGATTTGTTAGACAAGATTTGCCTTTAACAAATCCATGTTGGCTGTCCCTAATTAACCCATATTCTTCTAAATGAAGATTTATTCTGTCCCGGATTATAGTCTCCAGGAGCTTCCCCACTACTGATGTTAGGCTGACTGGCCTGGAGTTCCCAGTAAAAATTGTAGCCAAAGCCTCCGCTATTTGTACCCGTGCCTCCCATAGTAACCTTGGTTGCATCCCGTCCGGACCGGGCAACTTATCTACCTTCAGCCCAGTCAACCTTTTCAGTACTTCCTCTCTGTTTATACTTATCCTATCCATTTCCTCTGCCCTCTTCTCCGATGCTGCGGCATTTGGTGCACCCACTTCTTTTGTGAAGACAGATGCAACGTATTCATTCAGTACATCAGCCGTGCCCTCTGCCTCCACAATAAGATTTCTGCCTTAATTGGCCCCACCCTACCTTTGACTAACCTATTTTTCTTGATATGTTTGTAAAATATTTTAGAATTCCCTTTAATGTTACCCGCTAACCTTTTCTCATGTAATCTTTTTGCCCCTCTTATTTCCTTTTTCAAACCTCTTCTACACTTCCTATATTCTATTTGTTTGTCTTCTGTATCTTGGATTTGACATTTGTCATACGCCTCCTTTTTCTGCTTCATTCTAGATACAATTACCTTCGTCATCCAGGGAGGTTTGGAAGCCCTACTTTTCCCTTTTATGGGAATGTATTTATTCTGTCCCCGAACTATCTCATCCTTCCCACTGCTCTTTAGTTGTTTTACCTGCCAATCCTTCTTTCCAGTCCATCTTGGCTAGGACCCTTTTGAACTCACTGAAATGTGCCCTCTTCTAGTTGAGTATCTTCACCTTAGATGGTTCCTTGTCTCTTTCCATATGTACTCTGAATCTAATGATGTTATGATCACTATTGCCCAGATGCTCTCCCACTGAAACTTGCTCCACTTGCCCTACTTCATTTCCCAGAACTAGATCTAGCACTGCTCCCTTCCTTGTTGGGATGGAAACGTACTGATCAAGAAAGTTGTCCTGTATGCATTTTAGGAATCTTTCCCCCTCCTTGCTCTTTGTGCTGTTGTTCTTGGCCTCCATTAATTCCAGTCCATATTGTAAATGGAAATGTTCCTCTAGAATCAAATAGATATTTAAACAGGAGACAGACAACAAAGAAAGGTTGGGGAAAATTAGATAAAAAATCTATCATGATCTTCAACCGGTGGAGTAGGCTTGATTGGCCAAATGGCCTCCCTGTTTTTATAGACCTCATTTACATTGCAACTTTTCCCAAGTCATTTAGATGGGATTGTGTCACTTGAAATAATCTATGCAACGAAACTAAACCACTGTTATTGCTTGATATCAAGGGATATGGGGCAAAGGTGGGTAAATGGAGTTGGAGATCAGCTATGATCTAATAGAATGGTGGAACAGGCTCAAGGGCTGAATGTCCTGTTCCAAGGTTCCCATGTTCCCAATGCCAGTTTCACAAGGCTTAATTAGTAAGATGAGAAAATTGTGCATTAACTAAACATTGCAGTAGTACACTGAAATAAAGCTAAACATGTTGAAA